CACGTCTAGCCTCTCCTCAAACTCTCGCGCAGTTTCCGCTTCTTTTCCGAGTCCAGTCCAATTCCGCCGCGATTCTCCTTCACCGATACCCACAGGGGTTCTCGCAGCCGTTGATCCGGCTCGTCACTTTCAGACCCGCCTGGATTCTGCCTGCCAAGAGCGCTGCCGGGTTTGTAGCCCAGTTTGGCCATCATCTTGAAGCCCTTGTTGGACGCATCGAGGGTGCTCTTTGCAAGCGCCGCCTCGCGTCGTGCTGCTTCTGCGGCGGCCACTTCGGCCTTGGATGGGACTCGCGCTCTTTCTTCTGCCTTTACTCATCAAAACCAATCAAGTTAGCATCCCGGTAGGTTCCTATTGGTAGTTTGTTACTCACCTCTCGCTGCTTTCGGAGCTTCTTCTGTGCAAAGGTCTCCCTTTTAGTCTGGGGCTCCTCCACGAAGGACATCGACATGTAGTCGTCTTCCTCGTCCTCGCCATCGTCCCGTCGCCGCCTCGCTGAGAGTTTGTCCATCCTTAGTCACGGGGGACGAGCAACCCCACGCATCTCGGTCTTTTTCTCCCTTGTAGGATACTCGCTGCAAAAACAGGGAATCAACACAGTCAAAAAGTAGAGCGTAAATAGTTAAAAATCATACAACGCGCAAACAGCTTGAAAGGCAAAGCAAAATCCACCTCTTATCTTTTATCGATAAGGTAAGGATTATGTAATGTCTTTAGTGTCGTGAAAATAAGGTTGGAGCCTCATTCAGTCACGTGAGTAGTCTAAATTTAAGCTTAGATAAGCGAGTTCAAGGGGTTGATAGGGGGTCAATTCAGTCAATTAGGGGGTAAAAGATGTGTTTCTACTGCAGTTTATGCATTTAAACATCTATTCTGACAAGATAGGTGCTTCTTCTTGATGTGTGCAATAATGAAATGTCCTCGATTGAGGTCGATACCTTGCAGGAAAGATGGAGAAATGAAGGGCTATAGCTGGCAAGAAACCTAGGTCTATAGAGCAGACATAATATACCGTGTTTCGCCGCATCTACTTGCAAAAGACCGAATTACTCAACATGGCCCAGCTGCGAATACGCATTGAGAGCCAGCTGCCCGCCCAGATGGGCATACAGGATATTCCCAGCCTTGATCTCGCCATTTCTCACATACCCCAGCAAGCCAGCAAGGCTCTTCCCTTCATACACCGGGTCAGTAATGAAAGCATCCATCCTCGCCCCATACTCAATCGCCTCCCACGTCTGCTTGTCGGGGACCCCGTACGTCCCAGCATGGTATCTCTCGTCGAGCACTATATCTGCCTCCGTGATGTCATCCGCCTTTAACCCAATCTTCTCAGCAGTGCCCCTGGCAATCCGCAGAACCTGGGCCCGAGTCTTCTCCGGAGTCGCAGATCCGTCAATCCCAATGATCTTCTTCCTGGGCTCGTCCGGATAAAGCTTCTCGATCAGCTTGAAGCCCGCCACGATGCCTGCCATCGTAGACCCCGTCACTGCACACACAAATATATAGTCGAACGTCATGCCTTGTTCTTGCTCTTGTTCGCGTACCTCGAACGCCCAGCGAGCAAAACCCAGTCCTCCGAGCGGATGATCCGAGGCACCCGCGGGTATGTAGTAGGGTTTCTGGCCCTTGGCTTCATATTCCTTCACCAAGGACTTCAGGGTACCCTTGTGCTCGATGCCAAAGGAGGTCATCTTCTCGATCCGCACGTCTGCGCCCATCAGGTAGGAAAGCTGGATGTTGCCGACCTTCTCGTAGCCCGGGTCAGCCCATTCGACCCATTTCTCCTGTACTAGACCGCACTTCAGGCCCATCCGGGCGGCAACGGCAGCAACTTGGCGGGTATGGTTGCTTTGGATGCCGCCGATGCTGACGAGGGTGTCGCATCCCTGGCCAACAGCATCGGCCGCCAGGTACTCGAGTTTGCGAGTCTTGTTGCCACCGTACGCTAGGCCGGAACTGATATCGTCTCGTTTCGCATATATTCTGACCTGGCCACCGAGATCTGCTGTCATCCGCGGCAGAAGGTGGATGGGCGATGGGCCGAGGAGGAGCTCCTGGCGCGGGATCGCGGCAAATGGCTCAGGTAATTTGACCATATTATTAGTTACTTTTATGGTGATGGCAAGTAACACACCTCAACTTGCAGATTAGTGTATAGAATGCTGTCGTTAATTGATTCGAGCCACGGCAGCTTATATACGAACCGTTTGGTGACTTGGTCGGCTAGCTAACTACTTGTCCCCCGCATCCTTCAGCTGGCCGAGACTTTGTTACGCCTAGACGTCCTTACCTCGGCCTTGGGATGCTAAGTTGATAATGGATGGCAGCGCCGGCTACGTAGCTTGCCCATTGGATGTTATATTTAGAAGTGGTACAATCAGAAGAACACGTTATGATTTAGGCCGTAAACGTATCTTTGTTGAAAGAAGATTTGACGTCGTGGATAGTTGATATAACCCTGACATCGACTCTAACGCTGGTAGCTTCTCTATCTATGTACAAAGAGCGCACATTGAAGCTTGATAAAACAAGGCGACACAGCAATGGCATGCTTTCTATTATAGAAAAAACGTTTGATCATGTATTATAAAGTGTAAATCAGCCCGCGATTTCCTGGGGGGAGTTCTAATTCAACTTGACAGGCTTGTTGAATGCCGCTTGCATCTTACTGTTTGTGACGTCCCCAAGAGCACCCCCATTCAAGGATGCGCGTCGCTTCTTGATTGTCAAGCAGTTGATGTCCAGGAATGCCGTAATACGGCCGATAACGTATAAAGCCCAGTGCATGTATGCAGCAAAGGCGAAAGCGAGGTAACCCCACAGATACCAAAGTTCCACCGTAGCCCCGACAGCTGGTAGCCCGATCGCAGGGAGGTTGACGAGAACTGCACCGCCAATAAGGGGTGTGATCAGGACAGTCCAGTAAGGAAATGGCTGTCTTGTAAGATGAGCGAGGATGATCTTGGTGGTCATACGCCCAAAGACGAAGCATAGGGTAACTGCGAAAAGCACGAGATGGTTATCCTTTAGAATAAAGGAATACGGGGAATAGACCCAGGATATGGCCGATATAGTTGAGATGATGATGGAAGTCCATTCCAGGAAAATGGGCAACACCGGCAACCCATTGCGTCTCCGTGCCTGGACCACGTTATAGACACACTCAGGCAAGTGGGCAGTGAAGAAAGAGGTAAGAAGGACAAAGACCCAGATGTCAAGGAAGGTGACGTTTCCGATCAAGTCTGCGTATCCGATACCGTCGGCCAGAGGACGAGAGTAGATCTCTGGTCCGTAATAGCCTGCTGCCATGATGATCGCAGTGGCAATGATTAGACCTTCGGTAGGGCCATTGAAGTAGCCCAGGTAGAGAGTGTGGGTATGATAAGTCTCCCAGGTCGAGAAGAACATGGGTAGACATGGGATCAGCATGGTAAAGGCCCCGATTTTGGTCGGTCCTTGACCCATGGCTGCAACCTCAAGTAAACTTGCTAATGTGCAGTTTAAAGAGTCAATTCCATGGCTGTTTCAGGTTCACACAATACGTTAGTTTTCCACTTTCCAAGTTACCAGCATATAAAAGGAGATAATGTTTCTCATAACCTTACTCAAACAATTCTCCAAGAGGACTTGACGTGCCGGTGCGTCGAGCCTGTTTACCATCAACGTTGTCCATGGTAGAATACCTAGTCGACTCGTCAGTAACACATTGACAATATATCCGTGGGCGTGAATATAGCCAACCCCGAGAGTGAGACCAGATCCAAAGAGTGCCTTACATCCAGATGCCGATAGCAAAGCTATAGTATACCCATGAGGGGGCCTAATAGCCGGAGGACATTTCTTAGCAAATTTAATGCACGCTACAAGACGCATTCAATCACTTAAATAGGGCTTTTTTTTTTTTCTTGGTCTCAGCACACACCGGGCCTACGAGATCAGGCATGTAAATCTCGAGCAGCACTACGTTCCCAACAATGAATCCAAACCCAAGCAGGGTGACCATGTTGGGAGCGATCCATAGCGGCAAAAGCTCGACAAAGGCATTCCACTAGAGGTGACGAGGTAGAATTTGATTAGTCCGGGGTTTATATACATGGCATACAGCGAGCCTATCAGCCCCTTCGGAGACAATGAAAAGGGTGTTGACAAGGGCGAAGAGAGCGACAGTACATAGTGTTTGAGTATATATCGAGAGATATACGACTTATCGACACTCGAGTATTTGTAACTCTTCAATGGAGCCAGGGTCTCATCCGTCAAGGAATCCTCCAATCCTGTCGTGTGCGCAGGTTAACAATACGACCTATTCCCACCAGTAACAATGAAACAACCAAACGGCGGAGCATCGACGTACCGGCAAGTTTCCTGACCACATCCATTGTAGAACGAACTGGCGACCTGTGCAATGATAACGAGGGCCCCGACTGATCTTCAAAACATGCTGAGACGCTGCCTGGTCATCAGCCTTTTCTTTTCTTTCTATCTTTCTTTCTTTCTTCTTCGACGGACGTTCAAAACCGTTGAAGTTCATTTCGTGGGGTAGAAAAGAAAAGAAAAAAAAAAAATAAAAAAAAAAAGGAGAGCAAAAAAGTGATGTCACGTGATAAAGACCGAGCATGTGACTGTCACGTGCAGTGTGTCCCATGCTAACCGCTTTGAGCCTAGCGTGGCTCTGCGCATTTCGATCGCGAAAGCTCGAAGAAAGTTCGATTTTTTATATATTGAATTGAATTGAATGAAATTAATCGACGGCGAGGCAGCTGAATAAACGGGCAGCGCCAGCGCGACAATACCAGCGTGTTCTCTGCTTGCCTCTTATTGTCGATAATGGGCCCCTGCGCTAGCTGCGTGCGTTGGATATATTAACTGGCACCCGCAGCTTGCTCTCTCCCTTCACCAATGCCTAGTGCTGGACTTGCTCACCCGGTTGGGCAGCCTCGCTTCCATACAGCAAACATCGCGCCGCTCACAGCCGTCTTCCCTTCGCGATATGGTCCTGCCGCTATATAACGACCGTTAGGAGAACCGACCCTTCTTGATACCCGGCGTGCGCGCGCGCAGCCGATACGAAACGATGCCTGGGCTGGTCGACATGCAAGGAGCTCCGCCGCCCTCGGGGCTTGGCTACTCAGTCAGCCATCAGAAGGTCGAGCTCGATATCGACTTCACCAGCCGGAGCATAAAAGGGAAAACAGAAATCACCATACACCCGGATTACAAAGACCTGAAGCTTGTCCGTTTGAATTTCCGGCAGGGCCAGCTGAAACGCATCACCGTGGGCGGGAAGACAGCTACGTCGAAATACATCGACCCTTACGAGGCACTGCAGCTCTATGGTGTCCAGTACCACCGCAAGCTCTCCATGAAGCTTGATGCCCTGTCGAAAACACCCCCCGAGCCAGAGCTGGTGATCACAATCCCGAAATCCGTTCGCATAGAGGAGCTAGACCCCTTTTCGGTTGAGGCGCAGACACAGCTATCACTAAGGGCCACTTCAGGCGGCACCAACGGTACCGGCGGTGCGGACGATACTGTGGATGGAAATCGTGCGGCCGAAGCTTCTCTTCCAAGGTTTACAGCAATAACTATACTCATCGAATTTACAATCGAAAAGCCAAGGGATGGGATCCAATTTGTTGGACTCGAGAGCCGTGATTTGCGATACCCTCATGCATTCACTACCAACTCTTCTGATACTGGAGAGTTCTGTTGCTTGTTTCCATGTGTGGATGACATGTCTTCCCGATGTACATGGGATATATCGATTAGATGCCCACGGACTCTAGGGGATGTGTTTTCCAAATCGCCTGATAATGGCGTCGTTAATGGAACCAGCAGCCGAACAAATAGCTCGAGGAAGACTGGACTTTCTGCCGAGGATGCAGCGTTGGATATGGTTGTTGCATGCTCAGGAGATTTGACAGATGATATACTCGACCCCAAGGACCAAACCAAAAAGACCGTATCTTTCTCCTGTAATACACCACTTTCCGCTCCGCAGATTGGATTTGCACTTGGACCATTTGAATATGTCAATTTGTCCCAGTTCCGTGAAAGTGATGAAGATGACCAGCTTGGCGCCAATGCAGTTCCTGTCCACGCTTTTTGTCTCCCTGGAAGGGCAGACGAAGTGAGAAACACATGTTTGCCGATGGCGAAAGCAGTTGACTTTATATCCCTGACTTACGGTTCATACCCTTTTGCTAGTTTTAAACTATGTTTTGTTGACGACCTTCGAGCGGACACACTACCTGCTGCAGGCTTCACCCTATGTAGTGATCGAATACTTTTTCCAGAGAACATTATTGACATGATGTATGATTCGACAAGATGCATAGTGCATTCATTAGCATACCAATGGGTTGGAATCAACATCATTCCAAAGGATCCTACCGACACCTGGGTGATCACAGGTATATCTTACTACATCACGGACACATTTATGAAAAAGATCGGCGGAAACAATGAGTACCGATACCGGCAGAAACTGCTAGCAGATCGAGTGGTTGAATTAGACGTGTTACGCCCGTCTCTCTGGGACATGGGAGCCATTCTCAAAATTGACCCCTCCGAGATGGAGTTTATCACTTTAAAAGCACCACTTGTCCTGTATATCCTTGAACGCCGACTATCCAAGGCAAGTGGCAAGGCTACTATCTCTCGCATCATTTCTCGAATCTTTCTAAACGCACGAATGGGTCGGCGGCCTCGCCTCTTAGTTCACTACCACACTGCTGGAGTGGCTTGTCTACATACACTCACTGGGGAGATGGCGCTTTCTTCAGCCAATGGGTTTACGGTGCCGGCTGCCCGCGATTTACTGCTAGCCAAAGGTTCAACAAGAAGAAGCTTGTTGTTGAGATGATGATTTCTCAGGTTCAGAGTGAACAGACAACCGCCCGTGACCTCGAACGATCTACTTTCATGAGAGACGTGAAGGAAGAGATACGCAGTGTCTATGCTGGCACAGTTCAAAATGTGTTTACGGGCTCAATGACCATTCAAATTCACGAAGCAGACGGAACACCTTATGAACACATAGTTGAAATCAAGGAGGCCATCACGAAGTTTGATATCCCTTACAATACCAAATATAAACGTCTCAAACGTAATAGGCGACAAAAGGAACGAGCTGCAGCCATGTCCGGTATTGATCCTAACAGTGAGACTCAAGACGACGTGCTGCTTTATTGCCTGGGAGACGTGCTCCAGTCAGATGAAGACATGGAAAAATGGAGGATTGTCGAATGGACCAAGGAAGATGAGAGCCGCATGGGACAAGAATCCTACGAGTGGATTAGAATGGATGCCGACTTTGAGTGGATATGTAAAATGTCACTCGGTATGCCGGGATATATGTATTTATCCCAGCTGCAGCAAGATCGTGATGTGGTTGCACAGCTTGAGGTAAGGCTGCCCCCATTCCTAGATCTTATTGACTGGTGCATGAGTCTGATGGTTTCTAGTCTATACAACATATGGCTGCACAACGAGAGCATGCCCTGATATCGAGTATCTTTGTTCGGACAATACTAGATCGTCGATATTTCCATGGAATTCGAACAGCAGCTACGAAGGCACTGGTCAAACATGCCAAACAGGAAGTTGACTGGATTGGCCTCTTTCACCTAGAAAATGCTTTCCAGGAGCTATACTGCCTCCCAAATTCGTCTATGGCTCGTTCGAATGACTTTTCAGACCGATCTTCATACGCGGTGCAGTTGGCTCTTATTGAAGCAATTTCAGAAGTGCGGGATGAAGATGGTCGGACCCCAATGAGAGTAAAGCAATTCCTCTATGAGAAGCTGAAATTTAACGACAACTCCAACAATGAGGTATGCTTTATTCACGACACCTTTCCACTGTTCATATTGTGTAGTGTGGCTTACAACTATTAGTATTCCGATTGCTTTTACATATCGACACTGCTCAAATCCATCTGCAACGCATTGCTTGGTCGAAGAGAAAGCAGATCCGACGATGGCAATTTCGATATTAACAAAGAAATCGAACGTCAGGCGGAGGAACAGCTCGACAAGGACTGCATTGCCGAGATTGATAGATATCGACGAATCGATGAATGGGCTGGTTCGTTCAGAAATATCTTCTCAAGGACATCACTCGAATGCCAGAAACGACTTATGAAGGCTAGAATGCTTGATGTCGACATTGTCCAGTTTGCCCAATACACACGCGCTGGAATTTTGGAAGAACTGAGACTCAAGGCTTTTGAAATTCTACTGGAGTTCAAATTGTTTGAGCACCCAGAGCTCATAACATGGTACATTTACAACATGTCAGCGGATCCCTCACCTTGGATCCGACGGAACCTTTACCGCATGTTCGGTGAAGCCCTCGCAACTATTGCATTTGGCATGGAATCAGAGACTTCTGGCTCCTTGGAAAGTAGCTCACTTGTTATTGAGCAAGAATCGTCAACCGAAGCTCGACAAATCCAGTTGGCTAGAAGGCAAACGGTTCCTGGAGCTCTAGATGCCTTAAAACAAGAACTTGGCTCAAATAAAACCCTTAAAGAGGCACTATGGGCAGCATGTAACTCACCGCGAGCGAGTCTCGTAGAGTTATGTGACTTCGTCTATGCCGTTGGCGCCTTGTACCATCCTGTTGAGCAAGCATTGGTCCGCCTGAAGTACCCTCGCTACTGGAAAACACAGCACCTAGGAAACGTAAGTCCGACCATATTTCCTAATCTTACACTTTGATGAACTTTGCTAACATTGATCTTCTCCAGGGTAAAATGAAATTCTTCAAATCCGGCTGCTTCCGCACCCGCCCAGTGGGCAGCACTACCGCGACTACAACAACTACATCAAAGACCACAACCGCACCTGTGCCTACTCCCACCGTGAAGAGGAAGCGTGAACAAGATACCAATGGCACTCCTCAACCTCTCAGTCATAAACTTACACTCAAGGTTCCTAAATTGGGCACCTTATGTTCCCCGTCACCACAACCGCCTCCCCCATCTTCCGCCGTTAAGCCGAAGATCAAGTTGAAGCTCAAAGCTAAGAGCTCAAACTTTTCTCCAAGTTCATGAATAATACCTTGGAGTTTTTACATTTTGCTATAATTACTCTCTGCCTTACTGTTATTTTTCGCACTGATTATTCTGTCTTTCTCGGCGCTCGGAATCCGTACAGCGGGCTGGTTTAACACTCGGATATGTCATGAACAAAAGGGCGCAACGGGGTTATATGGCTGGTTTCTATTTCCCTGTCTCTATTCGTTTTCACTTTTTCTACCAAGCAACAAAACAATAACCTCAACGGCACGGAGTTTGGTTGATGGGAGGATCTAGTCATTTCTGCATTTTATATTAAGCAGTGTCACACTTATACTAGTAATCAAGCATCCTTCGTTTTTAAAACAAGTTATTCCATATTGTCCCATTTTTGTATATCGTTTTCGTTTCAAAGCATGATGTTTGTTTGACCTGCCTGGCATAAAACTCCGTTGAACTATAAAAGATGATTCGAGATATTTGCGGAACGGATAAAATGGCCGATTAATTCTGAAGTATTATCCCACCCAATCCGAATAAATACTCCGGGAAGATTTAAATGAACAGAACGCGGTCTAGCGTTGGGGAGAAGTCTATCACCGATCGCTAATACGCTCAAGGGCCTAATTAGGAGATGGAATGTTAGCATATTCCCCCTTATATGAACCCTACTTTCCAAGGGAATACAAACCTCTAGCATAACCACTGAATTTCCACGGATAACCTGTATACGGATCAACCTTAGCTTCCATAATGGCCTTCATGTACGCTTTGTGCAATGTTTCCTTACCACCATGCCTAGTGGGACTTTTTCACCTCCGTTCTTCTCTTCCACAGCATCGTCCAGGACAATATTCATGAAGACCTATCCCGGTATTAGTTATATATTTCACTTGCGACTAGGTATGGGGTATTCAGAGCGTCGTACATCGTAACCTCGAAGGACTCCGATAACCTTGCGGTTCCCATTCAGTTGAACGAACAACCGCTTCTCCATATACTATTACACAAGGTACGGGTTAGCAATGTATGCGGGAGAAAATCACATCCGTGAACATACCTTTTTCAATTCTGGCTGAGCTTGAGGCATTTTGACTGAGATCTATGCTTGGTCAACTAGCTACAGAGCTCTTCTCTTCTGGATAATTGAGGGTTGAATGTTTTCTCGTGGAAACGCGATAAGCTGCTCGGGGTCGGAATAACATGGTCCCGTGATATGGATTTCTGAAGCTCCCGTCCAAACTGCGCTCGACTTTTGGACCCTTCATACAATAACTACTTGCTTACTATCGGGGTGGAAGTGTTGAAATTCGAAGGGTTTCTACTACGTTCCGTGCTAGTATGAGCTCTTCGTTTGCAAGTCGGCGCAAAGCCCGGCGGGTTGGTGCGGACGATGAAGATACAGATGGAGCTGTTGAGCAAGGTGAGCTCTCTATATACCCAGCTATCACGGTTTGCATTGATGGACTGACCAACAAGTCAGAACCTGTTGTTCGGAAACCGGTCTCAAAATCAAAGCGGAAGTCGAAATTAAACCTTTCCTTTGGGGTCGGTGGAACTTCTATGACCGACGATGTTTCGGACGAAGGAGAGGTTGTCATTCCAAAGAAGACGGGGATAAGGCGTAATGTTCTGGACAGAGCAGCGAACCGAAAACACCTAAACTCATCGGAGACACTTCCTGTCCGAGCTGGCCGAGATGATGACCGACCCAGCTACAGCAAGGACTACCTCCAGGAACTACGAAATTCTACACCGTCCACACCAAAGAACGTGTCGCGCCCGGACACCGAAGATGAAAAAGATAAAGCCTTGGATATAGCCGGCAAATTTGGAGAAGTGGCAAAATACACCAGACCCTCTGCTATTCCCAGTGAGGCAGAAATCAGGGAGAAAAAGGAGCGCCGCAGCCGCCTGGCCAAGGAGCAAGAGTACATATCTCTCCATGATACCGGCATAGAGGATGAGGATGATGAGTGGTCACTCTCAAAGAAACCGCTTGAAACCGACACAAGGCTAGTGCGAGACGACGAGGATTTTGCGGAGGGCTTCGATGAGTACGTTGAGGATGGCCGGATAGCAATGGGCAAACGGGCAGAGATCGAGCAAAAACGGCGGCAGCGTGCAAATATGAAGGAGCTCATCAATGATGCCGAAGATCTCTCCGACGAGGATGACTCCGAAACCGAACGCCGGGCTGCATATGAATCTGCGCAAACTCGCGCAGGAATGGATGGTTTGAAGAGGGACGCTGACGAACCTGTAACGCGCCCAAAAACGCCACCCAAAATAACGTCTCTTCCGACGCTTGCATCGAAATTGGCTGGCTTGCGAATGAATGTGGTCGAAATGGAAAACAATAAGACACAACTTGTCAATCGTTTGGAAGAACTTCGCAAGGAAAAGGTCGAGATATCGGAGAGAGAGACGGAAATCCAAAATTTTTTGAAAGAGGCTGGCGAGAAGTATGAAAAACTTCGGGCAGAGGCCGGACAAACTGCTGCTACGGAGAAGCTTATCACAGGAGATGAAGTGGGAGCTGACCGTGGACTTGATAATCTCGCTACCATGTCGCTACCAGCACCGGATACCGAAATGGATGAAGAGGATTAAAAAGACGACAAATGCAGCAGGAAAAAAGCAAAAGTAACCGTGTTTACGGTCTAATCAAAAGCGACAAGTATGGTTGCGTCATGCCTTCCTATACTCCAAACTATCAATGGAAAGGAAGCTACATTATCACCGCGCGAACTTCCATGACAGAAGCTTTGCCTCCATCAAGATGCTAAGACTGCAGCTTCGTTCTATCTAAACGGATAGATTCAGACTCGAGGAGAATATGGCACGCCAGTTATTCCTTTCATTCAGGCATTCACGTCCTGCAGTTAGACGATCGAAATTTGACAGGTATGAGTTGTAAACGCACGCTGTGTATGATGTGGGATTAATAGTTATATCGTTCTAGATATATTCCTTACCGTATACCCTTGATTGAATCTCCTCTCGATAAGACTAATACTCCCCCGCGTCTATATCGACAGGCAGATGCTACACCAATAGAGCTATTTTTTGATCTCTTTTTCGTGGCAAACCTCTCAACATTCACCGCTTCAAATGACATAAACTCATTGGAAGGTGTGTGCCTATGGCTACCGTCTTAACAGTGTGTTAGTATGCAAACAACTAAGAAAAGATGTAGCACTGTGGTCATACGTCTGCTTTTTGGGGATAATCTGGTTCACATGGCTTCAGGTCACTCTATTTGATATTCGTTTCGCTCGAGACTCTGTCTTTGAACGGTTATGCAAAGCAGTGCAACTGGCAACTATGGTAGGATTTGCTTCTGCCGGCTCTGGCTTTGCGACGCGAGTTCTACCAGAGAATATGTGGATATTCCATTCCATGACGATACTCCTTGCCATAAGCCGTTTGATGCTGACGCTGGAGTATTTCATTGCCTCCGTATACCTACCTCCCGAGACAGCGTATAATTTACGCTGTGTCACTCTATTTATGTTTTTGAACAGTCTGATATACATTGCGGTAAGCCGTTCCAGGTCATAGATAACATATCATTCGAATTTTAACATGAAATCACAGCTATATTTTCTCTTCAATGACCAGGCAGCGTCTGTTGGATCGCAAATATGGATCTTATGGTGGTTTCAGTTTGCTGCCGAAACTTTCGTAGTAATGGTAAAAGCAGACGAATCGCCAGGTATTGGCTTTGAGGACACGCACCTTAATGTTCGTATGGGCCTCCTCACGCTTATCATCATTGGCGATGGTATTATATCGGTCACCAGGATCGTCAATAGGACTGTGGGCAATGGCTGGACTCGCTGGTCTTTTGTCCATATATTTGGAGTCACAATTTCTGTAGTACGTGTCCACCTCTGATCAATACTAATTTCTCATATTTGGGTAAAGGAGCTAATAGATAAATATAGTACCTCTTATGGCAGTCTTATTTCGATATCACACCCACTGAAAATTTGGGAAAGCTTCGGCAAAAAATATGGACATGCTTGCATTTCCCATTGCATGCAATCCTCATTCTTTTGTCTGAGGGAATGCAAATTCTAGCATTGACATTGGATGTGTCGCTAAAACTCAAACGTTTGCGCGATACTATCTTGTCCGCTTGTGGTGTTGCAAGGCCTAGTACCTTGGATGCGATTGATTCCATTAACAGAACAATTGCAGGCTTTGGAATTGATTTCGAACATGGTGCAACGGAGGAAAATAATGCAATTCAAGGCCTCTTGTGGGATCTCAGGCGTCAGTCCCGCCTCTGCCCTTCAGATATGGAGAGCGGTGCTTTGAATATTGAGAGGTCCCATGATATCATGGGAAATGTGACTGTGGCGCTCTTCTCCAGCATGGGAATCACTCCGCCAGATGGCCACACAACGGCAAAAAGAAGCGATCATCTATTAACGATGTATCTTAGGATGTTCGGTTTTGTATTTCTATATTATTTCATCGTGGCTGCTCTTGCCATGTTTATGTTTGCGGCATTCATCTTCTTGGTCAACCATGATCCCACAAAAAGAGTGTTTCGACTAGGTGCCACGGGAACACGAGTGGTGGCAGGATTATCATTGCTGAGCATCATAGCCTTAGTGTCGAATTTTGACCTGGCTTATAAGTACATGACAAATCCTATGATCCTCTTCACGGTAGCTCTGGCACTTCTTATATGTATGTTCCTCTTTCCACGGTCAAACTCCGCTCGGTAGCTGATGCACGTTTCCTAGGTCTCTTGAGTGATCAACTGTGGCATACACTGGCCTTCTACTCTGCAAGTTTTGAAGCTGAGAGTGGCAATGACATAGAGCTAGATGCCATACCTACCAGTACATAAATAGTGACCAAGAGAATAGCGACAGCAACGGAAAAGGGTGTGTTCTAGGCTTTGAAATTTTGTTTCCCAGACCCACGTATTGATATGATAGTGAACCTCAAACGCTACTTACAGAAGGCATTATTATATCTTTGATCTGGCCTTACCCTTGCTTCTTAACACTGTAGAATCCATTCTCTTCCCTTCGTCATCTTGTTCCGCAACTTCTAGAACGGGGAGACTTTGAGGCATGATGCGCCGCGGACTAGCACCTGGGACAACCGAATAGGGGCTAAAATCGGTGACACCGCCGTGCTCACGTAAAAAGTCCTCATCTAAGGCCAGAAGTCCATTAACGACAGAAGGTGGCGATTTTAGTATGGCGAGGATGGCATCAGAAAATATTGTCTAGAGCTTTCAATTAACCTTCCTGGAGTGGATGCTTCTTTGGGAGGTATCAAGGTTGAAAGAATCTCACCGGCTTTCGAAGATCTTTCAAAAACGAAGGATCCATATTAGTCGATTGCTGTGTTGCAGCAGATTCAATTGACTATATATCCTTGCTCTCAGACACAGCGACTCATAGGAGGAAGCCGTCGATACTTACAACAGCCGGCCAAATGCTTGTAATTGCCATACCATCCCTCTTTTGCCGAATGAAATCCATAGCGAGGCCCTTTGTCAGGACACTCATTCCAACCTTGCCTACCGGGGGGACATTGAATTAGTAGCTTTGTATAGCCACAGTAGCTGAACTAGTAAACTTACCCATAGCGTAGGCAGTCTTTCCCCTGAAGAATCGGGAATATATCGGCGGAGAGACAACTATGATTCTACCTTTCCAGCCATTCTTCTCAAAATAAGGAAGGGATGCATGAACACTAGCATATAACCCTTGAGGATTAACTTGTTGCATAAGCATAAAGCGTTTGACAGGCGTGTTCCCAATTGAAGACCACCATATTGCACCGGAGTTATAAACTAGGACGTCTAGCCTTCCATATAGCTCTTCGGCAGTCTTTCTAACTAATTCCTTGACAACCTCAACATTGCGGGTATCAACTGGCAGTGCAACTGCTTCACCCCCTAGCTCATTTATCTCCCGAGCAACTGTGTTGATCGTAGATTGGGGTGAGTTTGGGTCCGGCGGAAATGGCACAGTCTTGGAGGCATCGGACGTTGTTTTGGCCGCAACGACAACTGTGGACATTCTCAGTCATATAGTTCAGATGCTTGAGTATGAATGTGTACAAACATACCGGCATATCCTTCTTTTGCGAGGTCGATCGCGATCTGTCTTCCAATTCCCCTGGAAGCACCGATAACAAGTGCTACTGGCTTAGAGGCTCCCATGAGAGGTATCATTTGAAAATAGTGATTATATATATATGGTATCCACTTCCAGATACTTCAGTTGAGGGATATGGTATGATAGAGCCCCGTTGTAAACGAGACGTATGATGTTTTATCGGCGTGAATCTGCCTTGGTCGATGTGGTTGTCTTGATGCCGGCTAATCGTCGCTTGTTGCCGAACCTCGGCATCTCTAACTAGACGTCAGATACCCAACTACATAGCTACGACAGAACGAACAACCTCCTCCAAGCTCGCCAGTTAAGTATCAGATATCTCGGGGAGCTCTACCCTTTATTCACTATTGCATGCTGCCGACCTTTGTTGTCTGTGCATTTTTTTCTAACCTCTATGGAATCCGAGTGAAAATGGGAGGCAAGATTGAAGCATACCTTGATTGCCGTAAGCCATATCCTACCTCTAGTATAGCTTCACTCCCAGAGGATCTCCATAACTAATGACAGTCAATAGCCTCTCCATATTCGTATTATGCGTTTCTTCACCTTCTAAGGAACCGTGATGTTTTGGAATCCCATGGAGTCGAGATTGAGTAAGCTTGCCGTTAATCCAGCTGAGATAAAGGTACCAGTCTGATATGAAAATAGTGTCCACCCTGTATTCCTTGGTGGAATAAATGCCGGCTCGGGTATGGAGTGTGGAACGGATGATTATGAAACTATACCCCGTCACTGAAAGTGGTATTCTAACCTCTTCTTGCAATGCAGGCAACAAGCCGCCATGGACTCTCCCAGCCAAGGCAGCGTATGGGCAGTTCGACCGAGTGCGAGCAGGGAAATACTTCGGAGTCGATGATTTCAAAGTCCCGTCCTTTTTCCCTCCTCTAACCATTCTGGTGGGCTTCCTACACATATAAAGCATTATTAGAAGCATTATAGGCAATCTAACTGTCTTCTGAACAGCCTCAGCGATGCGCGACATATATCAAACAGAATTACCCGCGGGAACGGTTTGAAAATACGTTTCTGCTGTATTGGAAATATATGTTTTACAAAAATATCGATCTGAGCAAACCGGAGGGTATGACCGAGCTGCTGGAGGAGGCGAACTTCTCAAAAGGAGAAATCGATCGTATCCTGACATCTGCAAAGACAGATGAAATCAAAAAGGCGCTGGCCGACAGAACCCAGGAAGCATTAGATAGGGGTGCATTTGGTGCACCATGGTTCTGGGTCCGGCATGCTGAAACTGGGAGAGAGGAGCCATTCTTTGGAAGTGACAGGTTCCATTTCATGTGGGGATTCTTGGGCATCCCGTTTGATGATGTGAAGATCAGGCCAGCAGAAAAGGCGAAGATTTAAAAAGCCTTGAGATGACATGGTAGTTTCAAGAAGGAATATGTTTTTTACAAGGTAGAGAGGTAATAAATACCATTCGCAACTACGCTGTATCTAAAGGTTAGCTGCATTATCATTTTAGCTATCACCAAATGCAGACCCTAACTTCGCTGCAAGACCCTTCCGGCTGCTTCGTTGTCCCTGGTCATCGAGACCAGCCCCTTGAGTTGCCATGGCCTCGGCTTCAGCTCTGCTACCATATGCCTGAGCCCCCGGAACCTCCAACTTCGCGTTCAGCACGTTGATACGCAGTATTTGCAGGTGCGCATTTTCCAGGTACTCTCTCATACTGTCCAGCGCTTCTTCATGCAGCTGCTCTCTCGCAGGCGGTTTGCTGGTAACGATTACTCCTTTTTCAAAATCTAATCTAGCATCGAGGGTTTCACTCTGTATAAGTCCAATCAACTCAGACACAAATGCGCCATTTGGTTTGAGTTGCCCCTGCTCATCTCTGATTTGTTCTTTAGGAGCAAATACCTTGGCCATGCCATCGAGCGTGACACGGCTGTAGGGTATGATATGTTGCTGTATTGCCTTCGTCCTGATGCGCCTGTACAGCGTCCGGACGTGTCTTTGCAGGTGCAAATCAAGAAGGTAGTCAGCTTTGTAAGCCTCTAGGATATCCAGGCAAAGCCGAAACTTTGATGCACAAAAGAATGAAATGGCTTGGCGGATATGTGGTTCTAATTCAAGGAAATTTCGAAACGACTTGTTTTCGAGAACATTTTTGGCGAGATCAGCTCGGCTCATGGACGCTAAAGCACAGAGACCACCGTAAACCGCCACATCGTTTGGTGAGATCACCTCCTTGTAATTATCGCCAAGGGCTGGGTCGGTTGATAAGAAAGTTATTGCAGCTTCATGGTATGAACTTGCTGCGAGTTGTGCTAAGCCATGTGAGGCAAAGAGCTTAGCTTTACACTTCGGTTCGTCTTCCGGTTTAAACTGAAGACTGCGCAAGCGGTGGACATTTGCTTGGAGGGCTAACCAATCCGAGCGATCAATGGCAACAACAATGTTTTTAAAAAGCATCGAAGCAATATGAGACGTAGTAGTGCAGTAGTCCCGCATTCTTGAAAATGCATGGGAGGCAGAAGCAAGATCACCTATGCGATGGTAATGCATACCAAGATCCTCATTCCCCATCTATAAAACGTCAGAAACAGGAAACGAGGAAATCATGGAAGGGGAAAAGGCGAATGCTGGGGAGCCTACTCGTATGCTCTCCTTGATCAAGTTGTTTTTATACCCTTTCAATTCACGTTCCAATCGATTCGTATCGGCTTTGACGACTTTCGTAGTATTGTTGATCCATTCGGTGTCCAATACAGCTTCGCTGTCGGCCGGGGAAATCTGGTTGAGTGCCTCAACTGCCGTCTCATAACAATTAACGTCCACCCCCGACTTTGCTTCAGCAACTGCCATCTTTAAAGCTTCAACAGCAAGAAAACTTGAACAGGTTCCGATCAGATATAATCTAGCAAATTTTGTCCTCCCTAGTAGAACGAGCACCAGCCGAGGTGGTTAGTTTCACGTATAGACCGCGTCTTCTTAGGAACGGAACATCGTACCGGTGTAATTTGATATGTATGTTTCGAGATCAAACTTAGGTGGCTCTATATAGCTTGGTTAGACAGTGCTTTAACAGCTCAGCAATTTGTGAATTTCGGCAAGCATACCGTCAACAATGATGCGTGGTCTTGTTAGACTTCGGCTTTGGTGTTCCCCTGCAGGTTCTACATCCATCGCTGAGCTACCCGCGCCATTGCCGGCCCAGGCTTGTGATGACGACTCCATGGTTGTGTCGGGGCTGTATCTATGCCTTGATTGTGTGTTGTATTGAGGTAGAGTAGCTTATGGAGAGCGGGGTGACGTTTGCCTTAGAGAAAAGAGCAACAGCACAGCTAGGGCTCTGACTTAAGCTCTACGCCCTGGCAGCATGAATACAAGAGCTTGATTATGTTTGTGCCTCTTTCGTCCCCGTAGATGGGTTTCTAATTCAAATTCTGTACTCAGTTAGCACGCCCACTCGCTGATAGATGGTTAGAAGGCGGGAAGAGCGAGTAGCAGAGATGTCTGAGAGAAGGGAGTCCTCTTATAGAAATTCAACGTACATATCTGTTAGAAATGCAAGTAGAGCTCGTGAATCGTTCCCTTAACCGTCGTAAATCGTGATGTCATGTCCTGATGTCTGTTGTTTGGTCTTTTGACAGCCAAAAAAGAAGCTCGGGAGATCAAAATAAGGCTACCTGATTACGTAATGAAGTACTCGATACGAGATAACCCAGTCACATGAATATATGGCTGCCCCTGTTTCCCTGCTGTACTTTTCGGATAAAGAAAGGAGATATCATTTACAAGCACATGGAGTATTAAGTTGGTGTTGATATGCATTTTCATTTATGGTCATAAGTCAATTATATACCATTATCCCGTCTTTTGATTCCCAATTCTTTTTCCCCCTTTTCCATTGGAACCCAGCCAAAAAAATAGAAACAGTCACAAAAGAATTTAGGAGACACAAGGCGCCAGCTATGTCAAGTATGGGTAAACAAGTCAAGAACAAATATACCAAATGACAGGCGACCCTCGAAAATGCACATAATATAGGGAATAAATGGCAGTGACAATGGAATAGTAAGATAATGCTGTCATGAGTTAAAAAGTTGTACGCGACGAACGGCAATCGTAAACCGATTAGGGGACAAGGAGCTTTTTCGCTCCAGTCGATTGAAATGTGAAAAAATATGCCAAGGTGAGTTTGGTAATAAGAAGGGGTTAGGGGTAGGGAGTAGAATTATGCGGTATGTAAGGAAGGGAGTTTAGGATTAGTGGGACAGATCGGAAGAGAGCAGGGGTATCGATTGAAATTTGAGGGGTTATTGTGAAGTGGGATGTACTTTTTTTGACTCTTGGAATGATCCTTGCAGCAAATCTTCTATCCCATAAGGTCGTCGATGTTGAGTTCATCACCCAGTTTCATGGGATGCTCGATGACTGGGACTGCCGTTGGTCCAATGAGGCCTTCAGTGGCGTTGGGGTCCTTGATCCATGGGCCCTTTTCTTCTTCGGTGGCATTAAGGACGCCCTCCGATCGCTTCAGGGTTTCGATGTCCAGATCGGTAACGTAGGCTTCTCGACCCATGCAGTCCCCGGCAGGGAGCTTAAGCCGGACTTCAAACTCGTTGTCAAGCATCATCTCATCTTTCCATAGGCGACGAGGGCCGTCATAAAGGCAGAGGAGACGTCGCTTCATCTTCATCTTGCTATTGGGACAGCTCCATGAGGGAGGGTAGTTGTTTCGGTTGTTTCGGCGCCTTGAGGTGGTAACACGGTTTTTGGTCACCTTGCTGTTGGTGGAGTTGGATTTAGAAAGTGAGCCCTTCACAGAAGAGTTGGATGAGTCGTTTTGTTTGTCCGCAGCTTCTTCGATGTCATCGCCATCCTCGATTTGAGTAGCGTTCGACTCCAAGAGCATGTGTCGCTCCATGGTGTCACGGACGGCCTCGTCGGAAGCGACTTCGGTCAATCTTCGGGAGTTGATGGCCTCAGAAGGTTCTTCCTGCTGTACTACTCTCAGGACACAGTCGTCAAGATGCTCGTAGAACTCCTGGGCGTTGGAAAATGTCGCTGTACATGTGGAACATTTTCCGGTGGCATCCTGACAGTAGCTGGACAGCTTTCCACTAGGAACAGACGGAGGAGTTTTCTTCCTGCCGTTGGGAGCAGATTGGTCAACGCCGTGTACTGTCGTGAGATGGCGTTTAAATACGTCCGCGCGGTTAAAGCTTTTCTCCGCAGCGGAGCCTGATCCGGGGCAGAATCCACAAACCATGGTCCCTTTGTAATGTGTCAACGTGTGACGATTTTTATCATATTTTCTTGCGAATCCCTTCAGATGGTACTCGCATGTCACAATTGGACACTTTTCGGGACGTTCTGATTGGTGAGTGAGCATATGTGCCTTGAGGTCTCTGAAGACACGGCCGCAGTCTGGGTGGGGACATCTTCCTTTCTCATTTTCTTCCTCGGCTTCATTTCTGGTTGGAGAGGTGCGGGCAGATGGACGGGAATGAATGGAGGAGATGGACGACCTGCGCCCCTGGAACGGTCTAGGTGTCGAGAAGGTATTTTGCTGCACAAAAGAGGGGTTCACGTCGAATTTCTCCTGCTTCTGGGGTCCGGATGCTCCCTGGGACCGTTGCGGTTGCTGAGGGGTATGAGAAATGTTAAGAGGAGAGTGTGGTGAGAGAGGAGCGAAGGCGGGTGAAGAGATGAAGGGATATGGGGATTCCTCTGCGTACGACACGGCTACTCCCGAAAAGTTGCTACTCTGTTGCATTGGCTGTAACAATGCAGGATCTATTTAAACACCATCAGTTCTTTGTCTTCAACGCCAACACGGCGGTCATGCCGTATATCTGGAAATGTCCATGATGACAAGACGTTGATGGAGGAATAGAAAACAACCGGAAGGGCATGTTGAGAAAGAGGAGAGTCAATGAACATGCCAAGCATTAAGAAGCACTAGCAGTGTTATTGTCTCAGGAAACTAAAGTGTATGTTTCCGTAGATCTATCTTTGTCCGCAAACCACCATTTGTGTCGAGTCATGACGGTGGGCTGAAGACACAGGATATATGAAAGATAGAACATAAATCTTGCGGATGATGGAGGGATATACTAAGTTATATCGCTCGACCAACAGGCACAAGATTTATAGGATATAAAAAAAGGAGAAGAAAGGAAGAGTTAAGAGAAAGAAAACGAGGTCTAGAAAGTACTTACCCACATAAGGAGTGGAAAACTTTTCGCTCGCATATAGCATCTCAGGGTCGATGCTATTAGACAGGAAGTCACTTGGATACCCTTCACCAACCATGGCTATTTGCTCCGCACCCACGGAGACGTCGAGGTCAAGCCACTGGTCTTGATAAGGGGAACCTATTGATGAATTTGTTGCGCTGGGAAGAGAGTGGGTAGAAGCCGAGGAACTGATCGAAGAGTACCGATCGCCCGGCTGGGAGAGCGGTAGAAACTGTGGCGAGCTGGAGGGCTTTGGCGCCAGCCTTAATTCACTTTTGGCAGGGTAAAGTAGCGGAGAATCCAGAGCCAAGGGTTGCTGGAGCATAAATGGATAAGGATCGCATGAAAGACTGCTGCAATTGTTGTATGCCCCAAAGAGCGCTTGTTGCTGCGGGTCAAGGGAGTCTAGCGGGCTGTTAAAGGCAGACGAATCCATGGGGAGTTGTTGGAGGTAAGATTGCTCGCGAGCAGGGCGCTCCAAAGCGAGCATGACGGAGAGCTTGCTCTTTACGCTCGGTCAAGAAGCAGAGTAGGAAACAAAGAGAGAGTAGTGCAAAGTAGAGGCACAGCGAAAGGAGGATAAGGAGCCACGATAAAAAGAAGCTGCGAGTCCGTGAGCGTTTATCTCCTTAGTATTCCCTATATCCGCGGTAGAAATAGGATTCTAGGCAGACAAATATGGGCTGGATCTAATTGGAGGAAGCCGAGGTCAGCACATGGGGGATGGACGGAGATGATTCTGCTTTCGCTTGTTCTTCTTTTTGGCAACTGGAGGACGACCAACGAGACGAGAACGAGATAGAAAAAAAAAAAAAAAAAACGAGAATGGGAGAGGAAAAAGAACATATAAGGCAAAGGAAAGAGGGAAATTGGTAACCAGGGCAAGCGATCGATGTGTACAGAACAACAGGAGATATCAAGTAGTTTATGTCGCCAAGCTTGGGTTCAGGGCAACAGGGAGAGTGATCGATGGGCGGGCCGCACCGCTGTTTACGGGCACCAAGAAGGGTGGCAAAGGGCAGCCCTTTTAAACAGCAGCCATGACCACTCACACAGCAGACGCATCCAGGCCGATGGAAATAGGCCGCTAGGGAAGAAGGGTGGGCAGCGGAACGGAGATAAGCAGAGGACAACTGGCAAGGGGGAGAAGGAAAGAAAAGAGAGAAGTCAAAGCAAATGGATGGAGGAGAAGGAGACGAACCACGAAGAGCCGATCGAAAAATTGGGAGGATGCAATGCGGCGACCAATAGGCTTGCTCAGGTGGCAGCCTGAACAGTGGACTGGAAACAAGGGCGAGAAGACGAACTAGGTCGTATTTTTTTATGACTGATCGGTCAGATATTTGATCGTTCTGCTAGTTGATGTGAAGATCGGAGTGCTGTGGAGCTGGAAGCTCTTCTCCCTAGGAGCACATGTTATGATCAAGTCGTTCGTCCTTCAAATTTTGGTGAGTTTTGAGCAACAGGTCTGGACGGGCTCAGATACGATGAGTAGTATGGTAGTATGAGTATGGGGTCGAGAGAAGGAGTGGGGGGGGGGGAGGAAAAAGGAGGCGTCTGTCGAAAAGGGTAGAAGAGATGGAGGGTGTAGGCGGTTGGCAGTTATATAGATGGGCCTAACAAGTCCGAGAAGATGAGTGGAAGAAGGAAGAAGGGTGGAGGAGAAAAGAGGCAGAGCATCAGTTATATAAAAGGGCTCAGGGCAACGATATTGGAATTATATGGATGGAAAGACGAGCCAGCCCAGGGAACTCAATATCACCATCAGGTACCGCTATGTAGCTTACCCACGAACGGGACGCTTCCACTGAGATGGGTATACGTGAGAAGAGCATCCACTTGGCCTGCGTGCATGGACAGGGGGAAATGGACCGGGGGGCAGGGTAGGGCAGGGATGAACGCCCATATTAATTCTCGACTCTTTTTCCATACATAGTCCTAGCCGTATCGGCCATTACATACGGCCACCCGAGTGTTTTGGGGAGGTTCCGTATGGGAGGGATACATGGCCCCCTTTCTGCCCAGGCGCCTGGTGCTTTGTATAGGCTTCCGTACTGACCGGCGGCTTCCCCGTCGCACGGGAAGCAACCGCGTAAGAACAAATACGGGCCATATCATTCATCGTCATCGTCATGCGGGTGTCGGAGTCTCCTTCGAGTTTAAAAATTAAAATCTTGCGTAGGGCTTAGACGGCGGGGCACGGATGGGACAAGCTAATCCATCGGTCGGTTGTGACCCTTCTCATCCTCCTTGATGTTTGTTTCTCTTTCTCTTTCTCGCTCTCCCTGTGCCACACCTTCGAAGCGTCCTGGAGATGCGCAGTAGTCCCGTAAGATTTGGTTATCCGGCTTCGACCCAGGTGCTTCGACTGACGGACTGGAGTTGGGATTGCGACGGTGACAACCCCCTCCTATCTTTTTAACTCGAAGCCTTATGCGCGGATACTTACTATGAAAAGACACGGATGGTTGTTTCAAATCCAAAATAGCAACAGACCAATCGAGTGTCCTCCGGGGAAACTGGCCCGGCGCTCACTGGCTACTGGATCAGAGACGAGAAGTTCGACACCCAAGCATGAACTCTCTTGGTTTGTCTTTGTTTTTCCCCTTTTGTCGTCTTTTTTTTTTTCTTCTCTTTCTTTTTTTTCGATTCTCCATCTTATTGCCAATCCATCAACTTTCGTCACAGAATAACGAATTTGATGACTGTAAAAAAAAAAAGGGCCTGAAAAGAAATGATTAGTAGGAAAGGGTAAAAAAAAAGTAAAAGACAAATAACAGGAAGAAAGCATGGATACGTCTTCGTCGTCCCACGTAATGTGCAACCCCGGCTATGCAGAAGCCTCTCTTTTTGATCTTGAAACTCCGTGTATTCCTCCGCAGGAGGAGGAAAAGAGAGTTAGCCTTTCTGATGGTATCCAAAAGAAAGCGCAAAGTATCCCTCATACGGAGTAACAAACTCTCCTTTCCTCTCCTCACCCTCTCTCTTTTCTCTCCTCACTGCTGCTTCCCCTTCACCGTCGCTCCGCAAACCCCGGTCAAGGTTTAGTAAACATTCTTGATCCACACCATCCTCTCTTCGGCGAGATAATTGGCCCAAGGTAGCCTTATGGCCACTTTTAGTACTCACCCTCAGGTGTGCAAGGATTAAGGAGAACCGGTCAACGAACTTTCGCTGCGGTCTGCATGCATGCAAGAATGTTTGTCGTTGAGTACTCTCCATGCAGGTTCTAGGCGGAAATTCTATCAGATTGCTTCCCCTTTGGGACTCCCCTCGATCCGCAATAGGCTATGCTTAAAGCCTTGAACCTATCCAAGGAGGTGCGTAAAGAATCCCACCTGGGGATACGATGCGTTTTACCTAACCATCTGTCAACGTGCTTTATCAGACTGGGCGCTGTCAATCACCGTTGCCCTGCTCAAGCCCATCCCTTTTCACCGCGGATATGGCGTATAATAGTTGCTGTCGCTCTGGTGAAGACTCGGTCAACGGCGCTATCGTGATCATCTTCGTTTACTAGCCTGTTGTTGTTGTTTTCTCCCTCTTCCGGTCCCCGAAAGGCCTGTCTGTGCTACCCAACGTATTCTTGGAGTTCAAAAATGGGACAACTCCTTTTGTCTTACCTGGATATTGACGAATTGTAACTATACATCGGATGGAGAGACAACTTCAACCGATCCACGAATAGTTCAGATCGAATATAGCCGTAATATTGTCGAACATGAATCATTTTAACTCCGTAGTTGTCCGCATGTTTTGTTGAATCTTGGTACCGTATCTCTGGAGTATGATCGGCTGTTCTATTGTTAATAATTCCCACTCTATTCCATTTGACTTACTTATTGGGCATAATACTTCTCCTTTTTCAAGTCCTTCATTATTACCCAAAAACCCTCGTCAAAACCTCCTCACCCTAATTAACCCAGTTAGGGGGAAAAAGGAATACGACGAAGTGTGAAATGACGATTATCATCGTTCTGTCCACTGGACAGCCCTATTGAAGGCCCATCTAGACCCGCATCTTCATTTCAATGTAATCTCAAGAGAGGAAGCGCTCGTCGCTTTCCTTTTTCTCCCTGCTATGATTGCGAGTCATCGAAAAGAAAAAAAGACGCAGGGCAAAGAATATGTTCTAGAATGCGTTGCATTTTGATGTCATCTTACATGGCCTCCTGTCGCATGTCCCCAGACCTGGGTCATAGGGCAAGCTTAAGATACATGGGGGAGGGCTGCCGGAAGGAATTTAATAATGTGCAAGTCAGCATAAACTTCATACGGAAATTTGGTATCAAATAAAACCCACCTGATATTCAGTTTGACATGGTATGGAAGGAATATTATTATCAATAATAATACCACTTAAACACCAAGTCTCGCTCATCTGACACTAGTAACTTATGCTCCTGTTTGTGATCGCCTGAAACTGCATAAAATGCTGCTTGCAGATATGTATATGTGATGCTCCCCATGCTTTTCTGACGTATCTGATGTATCTGGTGGAGGCCTGTCTGTCTCGAAATATTCGTACAAGTGACTTGGCTTTTCCCAGCACTGCTGCTAGCCCACAACCTTATTGTCTGACGCTCTACGTGGACTTGGTCCTGGCTCATGAGGGGAGTGAAATCTAGCCGTCGTCGCCATCCGTGGGCAAGCAGCGTCTGTCACAGGTCAGCCAGCATGTACCATAGCGATTCTGCATCGCTCTATCAATAACGGCCGGGACGTTAAGGAGTGTTCTCACCAGTCAAGGGCCGTGGTAGCCGAATCGGCTTGCTGCCACTATTTTCCCAATCCAGACTAGCAGCCTCCCCTCCGCCGAACTCTGCCTGCTGCCCTGTCCCATGCTCGCTTGCTTGTCCGTGGTAACCGTCCGGCCTCCAGCCTCCGTCCGCTGTAAGATTGATTTCGTGGCTTTGTTTTTGCGTTGCTTGATATTTCTTTTTCGCTTGACGTCCTTTTTCCTTTTTGGGGCTGGCGGTGAACGTTCTGCCAAGTAGCACCACCACAACCAATGGCCTCGCGAGAAAGCCGGGCGCGGTGTCTTATGTAAGGATTCGGCGCTCTCTGGTTGGTCAATGGCATTTTGCTATTTTTATCCTTACCGCAACTTTATTGCCGAAAACCAAACTTTCTTTTTCCCGGTGTTAATGTTGATATCAGGATGGCCAGGGAGTATGAGCATGAGCATGAGCATGAGCATGAGCATGAGGGAGACGATGCAAGATAAGTCGGGTAAGTGACAATCAGTGAACATCTGGAGGGTGGTTGGCGGCGAAACTGCAAGCTTCCGCGAGGTAGCATCGGTTATTTGGATAAGAGCGGCTCATGCAGGGAAATTTACACTGCCATTTTGATTGCTCCTAGACAAGCGGAGGAACGCGGGCAACGAGGGTGGACTACTTGGTGTTCCATCATAGTAACATATTGAATACAACTCAAGACACAGCATCTCAACTGTGTCCTGTACTATGGATGAAACTGTTATCGGCTCCTTTTTGTCCAGGTTGTTTGGTCCTGTGGCTTGCGGCTCAGGAGATTGAGGCCTCTGTTAACTAGCCATGCTAAAATCGGCGATTCAAGCCCAGGACTTTCGGCAACCAGATGTCGAACTTGCCAGAGTTCCCACTTGACAAAACATCAGATGAGATGGCCCATTTCCCGCCCTATAGCTAGCCTGCCCTTAAGTATATGCTTAAGTTGGTATCCACTAGAGTCGAATTCAAGCCTTGGTGGTAAACTCGCTTCTTGTGTGCAATCACCAGTTACATTTTAGCTCGATATTGCGCCTCCTGCGCCTTTTTCTCGAACTTGGCCCACATGGCATTGTCAGCCGTCTCCCCTGTATGGAAACGTTGAGAGAGAAGTTTTAACATCATCAAGTTGTGCCGTTATGCCCGCCCAACATAATACGAGCAAGGAGGGTAAGGCAGACCAATTTCCGTGGTACAGGTAGACGATGCTATATACGGTGAGCACGGTCGCCATACGCATACCGAGTTATGCAAATCCAGTTCTTCCGTATTGTCAGAGCTTCATACAAAGCTCTCTTGCAGCTCGTTGGTCGCTTTGTGGCGGTGCGTTCTGTATGGACAATTTTAAATACGTACACGGTATTGATGTACAAGCGTCCTTTTCGTCCAGAAAAGGCACATGTTGCGGTGAAAATAATAATTTGAGCCTCACCTGAATTGTTATCTCCCCCTTTTTCCCGGACATCACCAAGTTGGTCGTAATAATCCTGGACACAGCTCAGGGATCTCAAGACACTATTGAATAATAAATGGTGTTGGCTCATCTGTTTTCGCTCGTCGATCGGCAACCCATAAAAAACCACGGAGGGGAGAGAGATATGTCCACGTATGCCATATGGAGTATCACACATTCTGCTATTAATGAAACCCATTTTTCCTGTCCGATAACATGCGGTAGTTTACTCTGTAACTACCGAGTACCTCACATGAAAAAAAAGTTGGGGAAAATTGACGATTGCTCTCGTATCAACCACCCTTGTCCCAAACCTTGGGCCTGGCTTGGAGGAAACGGCGGAGGGGCGGAGACGATCGTCCTTCTCATCCAGCCAGGGGAAGGGATGGTGAGAAAGGGCTACCTTACTCACTGAGAAGGGCATTATGCGGGCTTAATAATAATAACAGAGTGATCACTTTTCTTACCGAGAGACCGGTGATCCCGCACAATCCATGCAGAATGAGAAGCCATCACTTTCGCAAATCGTCTGAAACGGGCCTTATAATCCCTGACCACCACGTATATAACCGCAAGGACCGCTGTTTATTATAGGGCAGGCTAGAAAACCATTAATCAGATGGAGCTGGCGAAAAAAGGAATAATGTTATAACTAGAGAGCAGTCAGTGAATTCTGCGAGTCCGATTTCGTTTTCGATATCAGTTTCCACTTTTCTGGCTCAAGCTTTTTTTGGACAAATCGCGCTTTCATGGTGAAAGAGCGCTTGTGTGCCGTATCTCCGTCCGAGACGACGGATGCGCTCTGGAGATCGACTGGAGACGTCCATACAAAACCCACCAGAAGCACCGAGTAGCAAATCGTCCGTCCACCAGGCTTTCATATGAACCCCATCTTTCCCCGTGTCCATCATCCGCGGCCCGGCCTGGGGAAGTCAAAAAGCGTCAACCTGAACAGCAAAGGATAGTGTTCTCTGGGCGCTTAACGAGTTGACGAGTTGCTCTCGCCTTTGCCCTCGGAATCACCGAGGAGTTAGTTATTGAGTCGCTAGGATAACTCGTTAAATTGTGATGCTAGTCAACCAAAAGTGCCATGTAACCCGCTGGGGCCGAACAAAGCCATGCATGCTTTGATCAATGACAGTCGAGCGGTTTAGATGGTTTGGCATCCACAATAACTAATCGTCCAAAGACTTAACAAACTGGTTGCGTCCTCTTAGGCAGTTTCGCTGGGGGGGTTATCAATCGCTAGACTTTAGCCAGAGATCCTCAGGCAGGAGGCCATTACTTTGCCGACAGTGCAGGAGAGTGACAGCTAACCTGGATGCCACGCAAGAATGTGCCTTGAAGTAGCTTGGCAATACACGGGAGGAGGGAGATAGGGCTGAATCACTTGATTTTTCCCTGTCCCGCTTCCCGTCGTCCGTGCAAGCCAGCTCAGCAAATACATAGAACGTCACTAACAACAGGCCATATTCACAAGGTCAGTGCATGTATGCGTATTTTTCGCTTCTCAATTCTCCCGTAAAGAGCACACAGGAACACCGAGAGATGGGAAGCTACACATGCCTTGTGCCATAAAGAGGTTGAGGATAGGGGAATTTCTTTCACCCTCATCCCTGTCGGTGACTAGTTACCGTTACCTAACTACTTAGTGATCAGTGAACAGTACTCTCAGCCCTACGCATCCTTCACACGGGCTCGTACTGCCAACATCCTGATCTATCAATCAAACGATGTACACACCCGAAGTAACTCAAGGACTTGGCTGTGTATGTACTGGTTTGGCCTGTATGGTAACTATTCGTTACACAAGAAAGAACAAGGGCAAATCCGAATTAGTCCAGAGCGCGATGCATGCATGCATGCAGGCCGAATGAAGGGGAAAATCTCTCGCGGGTATTGGTTCACCTGTTCGATTCGCAGAACTGCGAGAGCCGCTCCTCCCAATCTTGCGGTCAGTATCATTATGCTTAGGTTTCTTAAGGCTGTCTCTCCACAGTTTGGGCATGGGGTTTGGATTTTTTTTTTTTTTTTTTTTTTTTTTTTTTTTTTTTTTTTTTTTTTTTTTTTTTTTTTTTTTTTTTTGGGAATTTTCCTCAAGGGTTTGCCGGGATGCATGCAGTATTTGGTTACATTTTGCGCTCCGACCAATGGTGGTCACGGTGTTGGCGGCGATCAGAACGTTCGATAACTCAGCCTTGTGAGAACCTGGACACGTTGGATTGTTGATTAATGATCATGAACGTTCCATATTCCTAGATAGGCGAGCGTCATTGTGGTAACTTATGATAATTTCGATGCCCTCAAAGGTTTCGTATAACCAATTCTAGATCGCTCTCTAGACAATCCTTTTGCTCTTCTTTTCCTCTGGACCACTCTCATCTGTCTCTGAAATGCTTTTATTCAAGTTCTGTACGACAGCGGGGTAAAGATAGGGCAGTCGATTCTTGGTACGCCCTTTTCGTGTTAAGCCATGGCTGCGACGAACTCACATGTGGATGAAGTTAAGTAGTGAACGAGTTAGGCCAGATGTTAATTCTTCGCCGGCACACGTTGTCATCGGCAGCTAGTTGATGAGAACGCGGGTATAAACATCTTATTGGTTAGTGAGCGCATATTGCTAAAAATTTAACTCCAAAAACGTGTTCCCACCCTGTCCGCAGAGTATCCAAGGCCCAGGACGTCCTTGCATAGCTGACAATTCCAGAGCTAAACAAATGAAGAAACGGACCCGAAGGAGATAAATGGGCCATGGAGACGCCAAACATCCCATTTACAGCCGATATCATAGCTCCTGGTTGTCTTTAATACTACCCCTATTGCACCTGCATCCACCATGAGGCTTGGGGTATGCATTGTGCAGCAGAGCTAAGACCAGACGAACGAACCAAGGCGAAGATTACCCGATGCTTCGGCCTACCTGGACAAAGAAGCCCAATCCTATCCACCCCCCTTTTTCTCCCGTGTCGGTGTCTTTGACTAGACAGTTGGTTTTGATATATTAGTTAGGGTAAAACCTGCGGTGGAGATACAACGTGGTACCATAATGCACCCGCGAGCGCCAAAGCTAGAAGGAAAAGGAAATGGACTGAAAGGCCGCGCGGAAGAGGACTTGATTGACGGGAACCGAGAGCTAGCTTTGGCTTGATTCCAGTTTAAATTGAGAGCTTGACACGAGGCGGGCCATCATCCTTCAACAAGGGGATAGCTGTTTGATAGCGGGCATTGTTGATGGTAGATGGGTATGGGTTATATGTCGCATCATCTCCTTGAGTTACTAAATATTAGCAGTGAGGTAGGATTGACCTTTCAGTCGTATCACGGAAATCCTTCTACCTGGTGGCTATTCCTTTTCTGACGTTAACTATTGGTATGGGATCGGGATATACTGAACATGGTTGATCGGAACGAGTAGCCATCAAGCACTGCTTCAACCACACCTGGTCGTATTATTGTTAGTAATAATGTATAAAGGTCATGGTAGCATAGACACGAGGGTCCAGGGTGTCTAAGACATGGGTACAACAAGCTCAAGGATTTAGATGTCCATGCAGAGTCTGTTTGGAGCCGCCTCCAATGATATCTTAAACCTTTGGTATGGGCTAGCAGCTCTGAAACAAATAGGCTAAACGCTTTCTTTTGTGGGAAAAGAGAGCTCGGAGACGAAGGGTGTCTAGTGACGACTCGGCTCGGAAGCAATGCCAAATGTAACTGTTGATCCTTCTCTGTCCAGGAAGCATGCTGCATACGAATTAGACGGTGACAGAAAATTTGAGCCTTTATTTGATGCCCATCAAATCAACGCGTTAATAAGGCGTGTGTGTAAAAAGGCGGCATGGGTGAGGAAGTGGCAGCGCGCTCCCCGTTGATGACAATGCAGCTATCAGCATCGAGGCTAAGCCACCGCCTGGAAACAGGGTCCGAATCGTCGGTGCCTATTTCGTTGTACGCAGGGATACGCAATCTCTCCTCGTCCAAACGGACGACCATATATATTCGTCAGAGGATAGAACCTTTATTTCCCCTTTTCCCCTCCTATAATGGGGAAGGGGGGGGGGGGGAAGAAATCCAAAGTCCCTGCACTCGGTGTAACCACACCTTTCATGAACGCCTATTCAACAACAGCTTGTCATGGGAATCTTCATCCGGATAACTTGTATGGCACCCAAGTGATTATTGAGCATTTCCCCAGATCGGTAGGTCTTGCGTGATGGTGTTCTCCTCCGTTGAAGGCTGGAAAGATGCGTGATTTGGATATGGTTCAGTGGCAGTGACCGGCTCTTGTACGTTTCACCTCTGGCTCGTTTCTTTCGAGGGAGACGACGCCAGTTGCGCGGCCTCCGTGAGGTATCTGACCGAGGGATCTGGGTATCATCCTTTATTTGGGTATCGATGCCTGGATGCCTGTCTGCTTGGTAATGAAGGCAGTCGATCTGCTTCCATTGAGGCCATGACGAAATGTCGATATTCAGTGTGGACCAACCAAAGGCATGGCTTATAGGACTCTCAGCAACTAGGAATCATCTCACATAGAGATTTCCAGTCTATCTGGCGTAGAAGCGCGTGTCTGGAGCGTAGTTTTGGTGACCAGACGTTGGTGTTTTGGCGGTTTGAGGTTGCGGCTCGTGGGATTTTTGGCTTTTTGGCGACACAACAACGTCAACGACGGCGATTGACTTGCGAGCTCACTCCACACGTATCTGTTTACTCCAAAAGTACATGGCCGACAGTCATACTTGGAGCGAATATGAATAGTAAAGGAGAGGCGCGAGACGATACGATGTTACTCGGACTCTCGGAGCCCCTTGCCTTGCTTGTTGCACGACGATTTACCGCGGCAAAGAACGCTGGATCGCTGGTCTTCTCGCAGACGGAGGTGACTTCACTGCAGTCGTCTACTGTTCCCGTAAGCTATATCGATAAAGCCCCTTGATGAAGCTGCTCTCGCTATATCGTCTGTGTATGCTGATATCGATTGGCAGTTCCAACTCAGATACTGCCCCGCGTTGGCTGTGAAACCAACGAGCAGCAGCAGCCCTGTGCAGCCGGCGAGCACCACCGCTTCAGATCCCGCGAAACCAAAGAAAGTTGACCCTTTCGAGAATCCCCATACAGACCTCCTGGTAGCTCAGATACCGGCCTCCGATCCCACTCATATCCTCGTTCTCAACAAATTCCCTGTTATTCCAAACCACTTTATCCTGGCAACGAAAGCCTTTAAACCGCAGACACATCTTCTAGAGGCCGATGATCTCCATGCAGCATTTGCATGCCTGAAGGAATGGGAAAAGCCGGCGAGTGAGCTGCGTGGTGACGAGAATGTGCAAGCCGCAAAGCAGCAGAAACGCCTCTTTGCCTTCTTTAATTCTGGCGAGCACAGTGGTGCAAGCCAACCTCATAGGCACTTGCAATTCCTCCCTGTCGAGGACATGCACCAAGCTGATGATGTAGCAAACTGGCAACCTCTAATTGACGGTGAGAGCAATTCTGAGGAGCAGGATAATTTAGAACAATTGCAACAACCGAAGCTGCCATTTGTCACATATACCGCACCTTTGTCACCCAATCTAACCCCGGAGGAGTTGCATCGATCGTACCTTTCTTTGTATGCAATAGCTGTCACCGCTGCTTCTCAGCATTCTGAGTCACTTTTAAATGGAATTTCAGCCTCAAGGGCCCTGGGAACTGAGGGTGAAGCTGCAATAAGCTACAATCTAGCTATGACAACGTCAAAGATGATGATTTGTCCTCGGAGGAGCGAGCACGCCTGGATCCCATTGGAACCGGAGATGAAGAAAGGTCTAGTTGATGAGGGACTGGTGAAACTTAATGGGACCATTCTCGCAGGAACTCTCATGGTCAAAGCTGAAGCAGAGTGGAATACCCTCAGACAGCAGCCATCCATGCTAGAAAATGTACTCAGCACAGTTGGAATTCCAACCTAGCTTGGGCCGTTTTAGCCATTTGATTAAATATTTTGCGACATATAATACCCTTGCCACGTATGAGAACCTTTTATGACGCCGCTTGTCTCTTAAGTTGCATACGTATAGAGAGGCATTTTTCAACCTTCTATTGTGAAGTCCTGGCCTGCACAGCTATAGAGGGATGCATTACGGGGATGCTGATAGAAGTACATATTGTATTAACCTATTTACATTGTTTATTTTTATGGAGCTTTTGGTAGCTAAACGGAATCAGGCTCCTTTGCACTATGTTCGAACTAAAACGGCTGGTTCAGGGACGCTTTCTGAACATATGCATGGTTGCGCTGCAGTTCCGCCCATTTCTTCTTACATGTTGCATTTCCAAAGTGATATGAACCGCCTCTCTTCCAAATGTACTCTCCAACTTGTTTCCAGGAAATTTTTGGTGGCAGCAACTCATCACCTATAACCGAAACCGACTGAGGCTCGGCGAATCGTTTCACAGCTTCACAAAGGAGTTTCAGCTATTCCAAAGCCACATTAGCCTTGTTACTTCTCTTGATGGGATTGCTAGATTTAGAGCATGTACTCACATCACTGTCCTGCCAGCCAGGCTTTCTCACTCGAAGCTCCTTTCTTTTTGTCAGGCTTCGGAAACGGCCTCGAAGGGTCGATTCTGCGACAGTGAATTTTCCCTTCGCCTTAATCTCCTTATATGACATTCCTGCAAGCTTGCACTCTATAAGGAATGCATCCCTCTCGTCGTTTCTTTGAGAATATGAGCGACACGCCCTGCTCTTAGCCTGTTCATCCTCACCGCCGGTGGATGTATACTGCCCGTCTGCGTCTGTATCTGTGTTGGAGCTTGCTCTGGAATATCCCTCACTTGTACTCTCTAGGTCAGCACCATCGAGGTACATATCATTCTCGCTTGTGACCAGAGTTTTGGAGTTTTTTGTTGTCAAGGGGAGGTCTGGAGTTGCCGTGCTTGATATTGCCGACGAGAAAGGTGAACTTGGACCGCAATAAAAGCCATAGTCATTACTATAGCTATCAATGTTTGCATCCCATGGCGAGCTTGGGTACTGGGTCGGGATGCTAGTTATGGTCGGATAAGGAATATTTGTCCACGGATGAGGCTGGGGTCCAACGTAAGGGATACTTGGGTATGACGTGTTTTGGGCATAATAGGGATAAAATTCCGCTTCAGTCCTTTCTGGACATTCTGCGGTGGCTGGTGACATAAGATACCCTGATACCAAATGCTCTGAATTCACACACGTCCTCCCAACCTCTCTTACTGTGGAAGTGGTAAGGGACAGGATATCGGCACTGGATTCCATCTGCCACTCGAGAGGAGGGTATTTTTTATCATCACCGGAGCCAGTGGTACTGTTTAATGTGGAAGTGGCTTGCCAATTTTCACAAGGAGAGGTTTGAGGCGGTTGCTCTATCGGCATTGTCATTGGAGGTGTCCCGCATTGTGACCATGATGTGTTGGGAACTGAAGTGGGTTGACCTTTAATGTTATGCGCACTAATAATTGCGCTTGAGGGGCTCAAGGTATAGGAGTGATTGACTCTCCAGCTATTCACCCATATGCCAATGTCTCTGGGGGTGAGGCTCCCAGTTTTGGCCTGGTCCATATACCCCAAGACTTCTTCGCGCTGAAGTGGGCAATGGGAATTCATCGGTTGTTGCTCTGTTTGATTTTCGTTTGACTTGGATGAAGTGTCACTCTTTGAGATATAAAAAGTCTCGCTCTGACCTCCATTCAATTGGCATGGCATATCTACCGGGTAAGGTGGGCAGTTAGAGACCAAAGCGCATTTGCTCAAACCAACATGGCGCTGGCCGTTCGAAGGTATACCAATATGTCTGAGTTGCCGTTTGGAAGCCATTTGAGAATCCCCAAGACGCTCTGGGAGATTTAATACCCCCGTCAGCAAAGTCGGTCCTAGACCTGTCCAGCTAAACGGTTTCCGCCACTGCGTTGCACACTAGGTTCCGGGTAACGAGGCACGATGCAGAGAGGAAATTTCCGACCGGTATATGCCTGCTTTTCTTTTTGTCCTTCTGAAATTGTTTCACCTCGGGTTAAATTTCAGAGGCGGTGAGGTCGATCGCAATAGCTTTTAGGGGGGATTTCTTTATATCGTGGAGAAACTTTGTGGGATGAGTGCGGCGATGAAGATAATTCTGTGCGCAAATGTCGTTGATGTTGTTTCGTGCAAATAATTGGCCCTTGATGAAGCTAAATTTTTGTGAAATAGCAATATTCAGTGCTTTATGATGGGAGGGAAAGCATCTCTAAATAACGACAGCGTTTAGGATACTCAAAGGCTTTATAATGGAAAAAAAATTCATTGCAACGAAAAGACTATTTTGACACCCGAGGACTATGTTTTACCATCAGGGTTTCCATTTTTCTTCTTCCTTTACAACCCCCTATCTGCGAGGCTTTATCCAAACGATCGACTTCGTTAGATAGGGAAACCTCCCAATGAGCATTCTAGAACACTTCTCCTGACCGGGGAGAAGACAACACTCCTTAGGCTGGTATGCAGTTCGAGATCCATTCTTTGCACTTCTGCCGCATGACTGAACATTGCTTTTATCCATGCGTTGCGCTAAGGAACCAGGCGGATCCCGCAGGGTGTGTGGGAGACGACTGGAAAGTGTGTGGGATGTTGAAGATGTTTCCTCAGCGTCTTCGTGCTGTCATGGCTTCCGCCGGGGCAAGTTGGTTGCATATCCTAGATGTCAGGTTCAGCCTGCAGCCTACTCATGGCGTCGGGTTCGAACTATGATATGTAGGCCGGGCACATGCAGGTCATCGTGGTCAGATTAATTTCTCATGTTTTCTTTTCCATCCATATCCTTCTCTTTCCCAAAAAAAATAAAAACTAAACCACCGTTGTCCGTTCCTGTCACCCCCGTGAAAAGATTTTAGCAGACTTTTAAGTTTCATCTGGGGTTGTATTTCCCTTTGCTTTTTCTAACTTGTGAAATTGCTTTTTCTTCCTCTTTTCGATATTTTGATATCACGATGGCATAATAGTTTGAAAATGGATTTACCAGCTCGCGCAAATCTGAACGGCGTGGTGCCTGACCGGTAATTAGCGTCAAGTTAAAAATTGAAATGAGACTGGGATCTTTGTTTCGAATGATGCATATGCTTTATCTTTCTGCTCGAAGAAGACCGCATTTCGGAAATTTATTCCATTTGACCTGAGACTGAGCGATCACAGAGGGACCGGAAGGTTTCATGGGTGCAACCTCATATGGATTCTTTGTCTGCAGAACGTATTCTACCATTTCTCATTGTCGAACCTCACAGGAATGGCGGTGCGAAATAGCACTGAGCACACCGACAATTTGTTCTGGTGGATATATGATCTAATCTGCCAGCGTACGGGGCATATTGCAGCGTTGGCGAGCCATATCCTTTAGATCGTTGCGAGAGGACAGGGCGGCCGAATGGAACAGAGAAATCCAAAGATGGGTGCATTGGTATAGTTTTGGCGCCAGCAGCTGAAGGATCAACCTCGAAAATGGTTGGTATACGAGGCGACAGCCAGAGGCCACCTGGCTGAATTAACTAATCAGCAGTTGACCCCAGCATTGCCTCTTTGCGTTACCTGCTCCCCCGCCCTAGGGTTGTCTATCATAACCCCCTCCAGGCCATTTCTTTTCTTTTTCACAATAATTTTTTCCCATCTTTATATCCAAACCAAGTCCCGTCAGAATGGAAATTTTCATGCACATACCCTCCTAACGTTCATGGTTGGTTGTTGGAACGAGACTTGGCCCCAACCCACGGGTTGCACTGTCGCTAAAATCATGCAGACATCTGGGTTTTCCTACTGTGGAAGGTTCTTCGATGCTTCGGTGCATGACCGGGGGAGGGGGGGAGGGGGGTGAGTGGTTGCCCAGTAGTAACTATGCATAGTAGGATGCATATGCCATTCGTCGTTCTCGAGCGCAAAGGCCCTTGCGCCAATTAAGCGTTGTTTAACTTTCGGGTAAAATGGAGACATTCCCCGGAAGGCGCCGCAGAGGCGAAAGTAAACCTTGCCAATTGGCAGCCGCTAGAGAAAAGGGGTTTTATGTTATCCATGAAGATGCATCAGCTGCGGTCAGATATTACTATGCTGGCGGATTCCGGAAAGTTATTATATGTGTAGGAAGTTGCTGAGCGTATCTATATCCTTTTCCATTTTCACCACTGTTGTTGGATAAGCAGATCGACGCTCCGTACATCAGATGGCCAGACACTTGTAAGGAGATGGCCTAAATTACTCAGTCAGAACCTAAATGCTTGACTCCGAAATATTTTCTGATTCCAATTAGGGCATTGTTGGTCGGTATCGGCCGTCGATGTAAGTGACTTGGTAGACACGTCGTAGCCCTTAGTGGAGATTATATATGTTCAGGAAGGAAAAGAGTAGCAAACATCTGGCGGCTATAAACTATCTCTGGCTCGGTGTAAGCTTATCCAGAGATAATCTCGGTGTGGACCATAATATTGGTTTCCATGGCACGGCTCCCGCCGGTGTGAAGATAATTTAGCCCTATACCGGCGGAGCGGGTGAAAACCATGGGGTCTTGTCTATATCAAAATCCGCGGACTGCATAAAATGGCAGACCTGCAGATGGTGTGAAGGTAAATGGCCAGCAAAGGGTGAGGTTTGCTGTATAGAATATTCGCTGATTCTTCTCTGCAGCATTCTTAATAAGGAAGTTTAATTCTGATTTCCTGATCGGGCAAGTAAAAACGCCACGGCCCGGGAATAAACGGCACAGGAACTGTGGGATTGGACATGATATAACCATCTTGATTGTCCAACCCCGTATTCGGGATATGTAGGTTGAGACCCCTTTAGGATGCGTAAGTAAACGGATATTGGCTGACCTAGGCAGGGAAGAATGGCGTAATTCCTGTTTGGCGTTTCAAAGTTTATTTAAATCGCCCTACTGCCGCAATGGTGCTAAGGATACGCGTGGTAATCCACTTGAACGCGATATCAATGACATCGTCCTTTGCTCCAATGCTGCCTGAGCCCGAGTACCAACCCTATAATAAGAAGTAATCCATTGAAACCGGCAAGAATGTAAAACGGGGAGTGCGGTGACATTTTATCAAACATGATGCCGCCAACCTTAGTTAGGATGAGGATACCAGCACCTCCCCAAAGGGAGTACATGCCAGCAATGGATCCCTTGACATGGATAAAAGTCTTCTGTGGAGAAGCTGTGTACATATTATTGCCTGATACCAGGGGGGTTGACTCGTTTATGGTTTCAAGCGACCGGTCTGCAGTGACCCTATCTTCCGGGACACTAGTCTGAGTTTCATATTGGACATCGTCCATTATAGGTAGGATGCCATTTATGCCATTACTCAAGATAGCCAGGCTGCATACGATTGCAGAAATCTGGCTGATACCGATAAAGGCCATGTCGACAAATATTGCTGCACTCGACCAGGAGCCACTGATCCGCGGGCCTGGTAAAACTCCCAACATCGCATAGGACAAGGTCCCTAAAAGGGACCCCATTAACAATGGGAAATTGTATCGACGGGATTTGTCGGATAAGTAGCCAAATAATGGTGCACATAATAAAGCTACTAACTGTGAAACCCCGGTCAAGATCGATGCAACGACATATGCTCGTGGACAGGACTGTTTGATATCTCCAGGGTTAGGGCTGAGAGATTGGACTGTAGATGGTTTACCAGCTTCATGACAAAGTCCGGAGCGTCGATAATATTGGTTGACGTAAAGGGGAATAAATAGGGATATGCCGACGGATGATGATCGCGCGACAAATCCACCAACGTACGCCAATCCAATATTGTAGTCTGTCAGCCCAGCTTTCAAAGCGACCAATAGCTGTGCCAAATAGGAACGTGAAGACGTGTAGGCGGATTTCCCCGAGCTCACAGAAAGCTGCTCTTCTGCTCCTGAAATGTGGTCTCTCTCAGTGATGCCGACGAGTGACTTTAGGGATTTCCCTTCATCACCCTGCAGGCCACGTAACCCGAAAAAACACACAACAGATATAATAAGAGCTACTAGCCCCACGGTATAAAAGCTAAACTTTATTGCTTGCGCAGGAGAGTAACCAGCTTTCTGGAAACGCACAGGGAGGGGAAGGAACAGGAGGAGGGCTATAAGAGCGCCACAGCCGGTGAACATACCGACGTACCCGGCTAGCCGGGGTGCGGAGCTTCTTGAGCGTTCTTGGCCTGTTGCACGGGGAGATTCATCATCCCTAGTGTTGCCGGCATCTGGAGTGCAAACTATAGGAGCAGCAACTCCAGGGGCGGGACACTTGGAGATATCGTGATTAGCTGTAATAGCCGGAAGTAACGCAGTCACCATAGTTGCTACCGCTGAGCCACCAAGGCAGAATAAAAGCCTTCCTAGCAAGAGTTGGGGGTAAACATTTTTGGCTTGCACGAATAAGACTAGAGATACGGCCACTATAGAATAGCCGATTGTGGACACCTATTCTCATGTTAGAAAGTTTCACGTATCACAAGTCACTGTGAAACTGTAGTGTAGTAACAATATCACAAAGTTTTTGACAGGTTCCTTACATATCTTGCTCCAATGCGATCTGATATCAAGCCCCAGAGAGGACAAGCAACTAGAGCTAACAGCTCGTCTGCGAAACCCAGAGTTCCGACAGCATTGCCATGGCCATGCTCAAGGTTAATAAGGTCCGTGACAACAAAGGATACCGCCGAGTTCATAAACACTAAGAAGGCGATGGAGAAGGGACAAACGGCTAGCAAGTAGGTGGCCGTCTGCAGCCGGCTTTGAGAGATCATGATTCACCGGCAAACTTGCATTCCTTTGATGGCTCGACGACAACTTAATGATGCGCCACCGAAGTTAAACAATCTTGTACGAAAATGCACGACAGGCTACCCTATTCTTCCTTTTATAGCTCTGTTGGCGCCAGCTTAATGATGAAAGTCGAAAGTTGAATGCTGGAGGTTGAATGTTGCAAGTTGATGGAGCTGAAAGTCGAGGCTGACAAAGCCAAAACATCCCTTATCAGATCTTGATTACTAATAAAGCTGAGTCAGCGGCGGTTTATCAGATAAGCAAAGTGTCCACTTCGAGCAAAAACAACGACGAACAAGCAAACTACGTCAAAAAAGGAGCCAGGCTGGCAGGATGCAGCAGACGGACAACATTCTTTTGGGCTTGCTTCACTGGATACACAATTGAGAGGGGTGACCAGGGCGCTCACTTGTCTCGGACGACCACCCATTTCAACCATGAGATATTGACATCTCTAGTCTAACCGACGCCATAGCTAGCTTCAACGACTGCATGGTTGCCTTGTTGTTTTGCGATTCCATCTAGATCACCATCCACTATGAGGCTGGCTGCTTACACCGGGGTATACTAATCGCTCTTCGCCAACCATCCAGCCTTTGCGGAACTGTTACTGACCGCTGCTTAAACAGACTTCCATAGTCCTCGCCGCGGGGGTGGCCTTGCGAGCGCTACACCAACGCTCAAACTTCTATTCTGCCGCTGTTTTCCTTTCCCAGAATAATGCGAATCTCATGGTATGGACGGAGCCGGCTCGGGCGTTTGAAATATGGCGAGCTACGCGGGGGAAGAACCGATCCGTTGAGAGAGTTGGATGCTAACGGCTTTGCTTCTTCTATAGATCCTGACGAATCTATGTCTGCTTATGTCCGGTTACACTTTCTTTGGCCTCCAGAGGCTTCTGTATGGCCCACTACGGCAGATTGAAACCGAACAATTATACGAGAAGGCATGGTTTGCAGTTACTGAGACGTGTCTGGCCATGACAATTTTCCGGGGCGAATTAGGAGCTTGGTTCATGGTTATGTTCGTTGCCTTGCTTGCAGGAAAGATCTGGGGATGGATCGGTGAGGGTAGGGTAGAAATCCTTGAACAGCAACCACCGGCTAATCCACGCTTATTCCACACTCGACTCGCCGTGTCATTGATTATTTCAGTACTATTCAACTCGCAGATGCTCGAATACGCCATCAAAACGGTTTTGCGGCAGGCACGGCCCGATATGATGGTAATGTTTGGCTTCGAATTTGCCGTCCTTACCATACTATCTACCTCTACAATGGCGAGATATACTCTTTCACTGGCCGAGATTTATATTACTCGACAGCAGAAACAGGCCAAGCTAGCTGAGCGCAGAGCAGAGATCCGAGCGGAGAGGGAACGGATTCTCCGCCAACAGGCTGCCTCAGGTCTTCCGGTTCCCAATGCGGATAATCTACCCAGTGAGGATGATATAGATGAAATGGAGCTAGATGTTTCAGGGTGGGAAGAAAAGGGTCGATGGGTGTTCTACCTGGACCTTATTACCGGTAAGGATTGGTTATCAAGCCCTAGAACTGACTTCAAAAGCTAACACTCCAATCAACTGGCAGACTTTCTAAAGCTGGTGGTATATCTCTCATTCTTCGCCATCCTATTCAGGTTCTACGGACTTCCAATCCATATTCTCAGAGATGTGGTTGTGACGATGAGGTCATTTGCCAAACGTATTATCGACTTCATCCGGTATCGAAACGCTACCCGTGATATGAACCAGCGGTATCCTGATGCAACCGCAGAGGAGATAGCAAGGGAGGATGTCTGTATTATATGTCGTGAGGAGATGCAGCCTTGGATTCCTGCGCCAGCAGCAAATGATGCAGCAGCTGCTCCTGCTCGACCAACCAGGCCAATCCCAGAAAGACTACGCGCGAAAAAACTCCCATGCGGCCACTTACTTCATTTCGCCTGTCTACGAAGCTGGCTAGAGCGGCAACAGAATTGCCCGACCTGTCGACAGCCGGTCACTACCGGCACCCAGGGAAATACTAGACCATTTGCAGGGCGCGGTGCAGCTGCAGGAGGACAAAGAGCAGGAGACCAGCAACAAGGCGGGAACGAAGCAGGTGCCGCAGACGGAGAAATCCGACGCCGTATGTGGTTTCTTAATTTTGGTCCAGTCCGCATTGGATTTGGAGCGGGTCGTGGCGATATACTGCAGAATATTGATATGGGCCAGGGGGTCCACGGTCAAGCTGCACAGGCACCGGCTGCAAATCAGAACCAGAACCCACCTCCGGGGGGACAAGCGCCGCGGACAGGTTTTGGATTTGGCATTGATCGTCCGATTGCTGGAAACACACCTAGTTCTACCTCCGAGTTTAATCACAGGGATGTGCAGCAGGTCACTCAACAGCTTGAACATCAAGTGATGCAGGAGATAAACAACCTCACAAATACTGCAGAACAGCTACAGGTCATACGAGCTCTCCATTACGAACTGATTCGGCTCCGCACTTTGCAGAGCAACGCCTCTGCTGGCACCCAGAATACTACCAGTCCTGGGTCCTCTAGGGTTCAGCCAAATACTACTCAAGCACATCCTCTCACAGCCCGTACGACACCCTCTGGTACGAGCCATTCGACAACCATACGCCCTAGCTATAGCCAGTCGTATACTGCTACAAACCCTCATCTTACATCGATACCTTCAGGGGATCCACGACTTCCCGAAGGGGTATCCATCCCACCAGGATGGACTCTGGTGCCACTACAACGCACGTTACCGTTAAATCCACCAATAGGCCCTCAGAACACGGCGGCAGGAAGCGCCAATACAAACGTTCCAACCGCAACGTCGCCATTATCACCATCTTCTGCTCCTCCATCAGTCTCAACAACCTCATTTCCAAATCACAATCACACGACAGCTACAATCACTTCGCACACAGTCATCCCGAGTCAGGAAAACGGGAATACCGGCGTGTCAAGCACCAGTCCCGCAAGCCCACCTGAGTTTTTTACAGCACAACCGCAGTCTTCTCAACGTACTCCAACTATAACTACTCCACATGATAATACTAACAAAACAGCTCCGGCACCATCCTTGCCAAGCACTTCACCACAGCGAGAGCTCCATGGCCTGTCCTCCCGTGGAGCTTCTCAATGCCCAGAGGGACGGCACGAGAACAGGTCACTATTCAACAACCCATTGGCACGTAGCTTTCCTGGACAAGCCGAACGTGACAGAGAAGACGAAGAAAGTGAAGAAGACGAGAACGAAGGCGAAAACGATGAAGAAGGAGATGATGATGACAGTGACAACAACGAGAACGATAGTGAAGGAGATAGTAGTACTCACAGCTCTATGCCCAAGCAAAAGGGCCGAGCAGTCACTGTGGAAGACGAAGCGGAGGACGAGTAGCCAGATGTATCTTATCTCCTGTAGCGGTCCATCCAATGAGCGTCCCTTCATGCAACACCGTCTGTCTTAACTTTCCTATGGAGTACTTTTGGGGCCCTTAATAACACCTATATAGCCGTTTACAGTACCCTCTGTAGCTCCAGCGTTATTTTTATTATTATCATTCATATTATTATTATTATCAGGGTGGAGCGCAGTCTATTTTAACCTCGGCCCAACTTCGACCTCTCAAGCTTCGAGAAACCAACAGCTTCGACTCTTCTCCCGCACATCACACCCACACATCACTAATTCCCCCAGCAGCGCTGGAACACGGCGCATGGAGTTCCACCGCCAGAGCAGGGATGTCGAGCACACGGTATCTCCTGGCGTCCTGGAAGGCTGACTTCTTCCTCCCCTGCTGAAGAAAAAAGCGACCCTTTCGTTCAGCCCGTGAGCGGCTTCGAGCCCTTCCCTGCACACCGTCGACCTTGGGGATGCTTGATTCTTGCGAGTGCCGCAACTGAGCCCGGCTATTGGGTATATGGCTGCTGGCTGTAAGCGAAGAATGGTCCTGAAGATGCAGAATACCCAGTCGGATGCTGCCCGTCGAGTTTGTCGTGCCTTCGAGAGGGGTGGGGGACCAGTCTGCAGCGGCGATCACCCGCATGCTTGGTAGCTGGAGGGGATGAAGAAGCAGAGACGGAGGTAGAGAGGTAGAGGCGGTAACGGTAGCAGCGCAGGATGAGGAGAACGAGTGGCCGGGAGAATGCGAAGGAGGAAGAGAGGGAAAAGGGTATAAAATGGGCTTTGCTGTCCCCTTTCGTTGAGGGTTGACCAGAGACAGAGCAGCCTTCATCTTCAATCCCAAGCTACAGCATCGTCAATACTCAATCATGCAGCTCCGTGTGGCTCTTTGCTTGCTCCCCCTCACCGTTCGGGCGGCCAACATTGTCTCCTCCAACGACGATGGCTGGGCTGAGGTGAACTTGCACACCTTGTACAATGCTTTGACCAACTCCGGCCACAGCGTCGTTGTCTCTGCGCCAGCTGACAACAAGAGCGGCACTGGTAAGCATATTTCTGCTATGGGAGATTGTTATAATGGGCGATTATCAGTATCTAACGAAGAGCTCAATGTTAGGCTCCTCCGATGCTAACCCAACTCCCCGCAACACTCCTTGCGAGTTCGACTCTTGCCCTGCTGGTAGTCCTGCCGTTGGATACGACCAGAAAAACCCACGATTCAACTATGTCAACTCTTTCCCCGTCACCTCGATGAGATATGGCATCCAGAACGTCGCCCCTCGCTTCTTTGGCGGCCGCCCAGACATTGCCGTTGCCGGTCCCAATGTCGGCGCCAACCTGGGCCGGACCGTCCAGATCTCCGGAACCGTGGGTGCAGCCACCGAGGCTGCCCTTGAGGGTGTTCCCGCCATTGCTTTCTCTGGCAGCGTCGGCCATCTAACCGCCTACTGGGACTATACCCCAAACTATAGCGAGGTCTACGCTACCCTCGCCGCTCAAGTCACCAACGCCCTGCTGCAGGGAGCCAAGCCAATTCTGCCCCCCGGTATTTTCCTCAACGTCAACTTCGGTGCCGTTTCCGACTATGACTGCACTAGCCCCGATGACTTCAGCTTTGTCCTCACCCGCATCCTGCCTACCTCTGGAAATCCCGACGTGAATATCTGCGGCAACGGCGGCCGTCTGCCAACCGAATCGGACATTGTGAAGAGTAACGGATGTTATGTTAGCATCTCTGTGGCTACTGCCAGAGGTAAGAGGGATGCTGACGCCTCTGCTCAAAAGTTTGTGGTGAGCAGACTGGGCTCCATCTTGAGCTGCTAAGCTTGTCCTTGTAGCTTCAGCCTGAGCCCCCCAAGAATGATGTTAGCATGATCAATATTAATGTAATTACGGACTATTTATTGCAATATGAGAGTAGATCTATCTCCATATTTATATTTTTTATATATTTCTCTTTTGCGCCGTGTTATATGGGACGAATCCAAATGCCGCGAACAGCCAATCAGAAGCCGCCAATGACGCCTCGCTGAGGCCGCCATCAAAAGCCATCGATAGTCAAAAGCGACGCAAAGCTTGCTCTTGATCCAACCAACCAGGCGTTTCGCTCGAGGATGATAACAAAAAACAATGGCATCTCAGAGTCGGCCTGAGCTCGCGACCCTTTTTAAGTATGCTAACAGTGCGAGAGTGCCTCAGGGACGGAGCAGCGGAGGCTGGTGCAGGTGAAACCTCCAGATCTGCGTCATCCGGTGGAGAGAGCTTACGAGTAAGCCGGCCGGGGCCGCAGCGAGGCCGTCTTCGTGGCTGCAGGCGACGTATACTCCATCCGCTTCTTCTCCTTTATCAAGATACGGAAGTACATTCGAAGTATACTCGGGAAGTTACACGACGACCGTAAGGCGAGAACTGCGCTCTACACGTCTCAATATCTGGCTCGCTGGTGGTTGGTTTCCAAGTGTGGAGGCTCGCTCCGTTAACTTAGCCTCCTTCTGCCCTTAATGCTGAAGAAGCCTAATGAGCTGGCCAGACAGACTCCACAGCGATCTAATTCCAACCCTCCGGCCTTGTCTCGCCTGGGTTGCCGATAGACAAGTGCTGGCTGGATACAAGCGGACTTGCTCTCATGTTTGAGGTTAGAGACCCTGTTTCTGCTTTTGCCGTTGAGCAAGGAGACCTTGGATCATCACGGAAATATACGAGCCTATTCGTCACCGGAGTGCGTCTGCATGGATTCTCCCAGCATCACGCAACGTTCTTATACTTGTCGTTCTGGGGCTTCCATAACAAGACATGTTGTACATACTCCGTACCCCCGACTGACTTGAGGAATGTACCCAATGATCTGTCATTAAATGCCGGCCAATTACGTTGGCACTCACGGTCCATAAAGGCTTACAAAGTGGCCCATATCCGACAACCGGCAGCGCTGATGGCAGCCTCTATATGCTTTTCTACATGGACGATCCACAGGGTCATCCATACACATATGCCACTCTGCGTGCTTGGCTCTCATCCGCTGGCCCATACTCTCCCGTCCTTTAATCGCTGTGGAACCAGGAACCATACCCTTTGGGACATGCGGGACTTTCGCCTCCGTGATGGGTTTTCACCCCCATCGGCGATTTTTCTCCCTTTTTATAATAGGGGCTGGTTTCCCCCCCCGTCATTACTATTCTTACCCGCTGCTTGTTTTGACAAGAAGGACGGGAGGTCGTTCTTTTTATATTTTTATTTATTTTCATTTTTATTTTATTTTATTTTATTTTATTTTGTTTTGTTTCGTCGCTTGCATGGTATTGATTGCTTGACGAACAACCATGATCTCTTTAATCCCAAAGACAGGGATCCAGATACCTATAATCATCTTTATTTATTCTTACTCTTATAATAGCCAGTCAGAGGCTCTCCGCATCATTACCACAAATAAAGGTAAGCTGGGTCTCCTTCCCCGCAAAGTGAAGCTATACTCCAAAGCTGGCCTTCCTTGCTAACACCAATTCAAAGGGATGGACAGGTCCAAACAAGGGCCAACATAAGGCCCCAGTAGCACCCACTCCAATTGCGGCAGAAGATGTCTTTATCATCTCCAACTTTACGGCAGGAACCCCGAAGCCACCGGGGTCGAACTATACGAAAGCCCTCATCGTCCCTCGATTACGAAGAGAAAGAGTCGACTGGATCAACAGCCTCGAGGATATCAAGAAGGAGATTTATGTCGTTGACGACCCACACTCGCTTCCTCGAATCCCCAAGAACAAAGGCCGGGAGGCTATGGTCTACCTAACATACCTTATCGACAACTATGACAACCTGCCAGAGATCATGATATTCATGCACGCACATCGAGAGGCCTGGCACCACGAAGAGCCCCTCAACCGAGACGCTGCGGAGATGGTGAAACGGCTAAGCATGGAACGAGTAGTCAGGAATGGCTTCATGAACCTACGGTGTGATTGGACACCTGGCTGTCCGGGCTGGATACATCCTCACACCACCCAGGAAAACTCGGAGAAGCCAGAAGAAGCCAGCGTCCTCAAGGGCTGGACAGACATCTTCCCTTCCATACCGATCCCCGGTGTTATCGGCGGCCAGTGCTGCGCCGAGTTTGCCCTCTCTCGCGAAAGAGCCCAGGCAGTCCCTCGATCTCACCTTATCTACTACCGTGACTGGCTGCTTCGCACGAACCTGATCGACTACTACTCCGGCCGCGTGTGGGAGTACCTGTGGCACATCATATTCACCGGACAGTACGTCTACTGCCCTGCCGAGCGAGTGTGTTTCTGTGACGGCTATGGTCTTTGTTTCGACGACGATAAGCCGTTTCTTGAACTCAAGCATTTGGGAAACATCCTCTACGGTCTGCGACTGGAGTTGGACCACTGGCGCAAGAAGGAACAGGAGGTAGCAAGCGCGAAAAAGGAGAGGAATTTCACTGCTCTGGCCAAGATGGAGGTCCCCAAGATGACCAGGAAGCAGCAGATAGAGCAGGAGATCCAGCAGAAAAGGGCCGTTTTTGATGAAATGAAGAATGCGGCATTCGCTCGGGGACGGGATCCTCGCGTCAGGGCTCGGATTGCTGGTCGACCGTGGAAGGAAGGTGACGGTTTTTAATTCAATAGGACCACCTTTTTTTCTTTTTTGCATATCATCCAGCATGCCATGTCCACTGCTATATTTCAAAATTCATCTTCATCCTTTTTATGTATAAATAAATATACCCTTTTTGAGACGTTGCTTTTCCAATAGATCATTCGTCGTTTCGTCTTTTCGTCTTCCGTCGTCGTTGTTGCCTCTCATCTTATCTTATCTTATCTTATGACGTAATAAGTTACTATCACGTGACATGTTTATATAATTTGTCTCGAAGACAAAAACTTCAAACATCAAGAAATTTTTTCCTCTTCAAGAAGGCGCGACCAAACAACACAAACAACCCAAACGCCCAGGCCAAGCGGCTCAACAAACTCCGCCGTCGGCAGCTACCTAATATAGAAATATAGATCGGCAGGCGTTAGGCGCCGGGAAGCGCCAGCACAGCAGAAAGATACTGGAGATACCAGAGATACCCGAGATACCAGGCACTCGCCACACGCTCAACATCTGCAAGGACTGCAGCATATTTTGCTAAGTTGCCCTGGGAATAAGGTACGTCGTCCGCGCTGTGACTTTGGGTGCGATGGCAATGGCAAAAACACAGCGCCGCCAACGACATAATGAACGTTGACGATGTGTATTTTAATGTTCATGCTCGTCATTTGCTCCGCGTGCAATGGCCGGATTTCTCATACTGTATCGATTGTGTTTGCTATGGTCTGTCCGCTAACAAATGGATAGGTACCTTCATACATTAGATATTGAAGTGCTCTGTCAGGGTGTCATGCCGCTTGGGCCACAGCAAAGCACGAGTGGTGAATTTGTGAGCCATGCACCTCAAGCACCGGCCCAGCCCCAGCAGCCCCAGCAACAGCAGCAGCAACAGCAGCAACAACATATTGAAGGGAACGCACCTCATCTAGGCAGCAACAGTGTTGGAGTTCCCCCGGGTTATCCTACGGATAATCAACTGGCCGGTCTTGTTGAAGCTGCCACAGCTGCTGCTGGCGAAGACGAAAGCTGGGATCAGAACGATGCAAATGATATGATGGCTGCCGGCCATGGACGGAGTATTCAAAATCACCTGGAAAATTATAGTGTGGGTATGCACCTGGACGAAAACGGCTTTGCAACTGCCGGCCCGACCGGCCATCCTTTCGGAAGTCTCCCTGGAGGAGAGTCATCAGTCAGCGGCGGTGGCAGGCAAATGAATGCGCCACCTGCCACTGCAACCGCAAGTGTGCGAAAACGCAAACGTAACCAAAACAACGTCGACCCTGCAATGACTTCTGCCACGACGAGATTCAGATTTGGGGACGGAGAGGAAAGTAGCATGGCGCAAGACGGAGCTGGGGTGCAGGTACCCGAAAACGACGGATCTTCTCTGGATATTAGAGAGATGCCTCCGCAGCGAGTGATATCGGATGCGCGGGCAGCCGGTGTCCATTCTGCCGTTGCCCTCTTTAGGCAACCGTCAGCATCAAGCAAGAAGGCTACCCGCCCACCAATGTCCAAGATGTTCACGTCCTTGGGACTATCTCCAGAGAGCTTCCTCCATCTGCAGGCTGCTGCAAAGCAATACATGTTGGACGAAAATCACCCGGAACGGCGCGATTGTGTTGGCCAGAGGGGTCGCGGCGATTCAGAGATGGTCAAACTCCGACTTTGGAGCTGTGTACGAGACTTCCTGGACCGAGAAGGGAACGGTTTACGATACTTTGGAGAACACGTCGAGAATGATGGTGCCAGCGCAGATAGAATGATCTGGCCTAGAGATGATCAGAGAATTATCTCTCTCGTCACTCCTCTGCTCCGTCGAATGGTCACTAACGAACGACAGCGCCAATATGCCATCGAGATTCGAAAGGGAGGCAACTCTGAAGATAAATCGAAGCGGAATTCGGGATCCACCACTAACCCTATACCTGATAACGCTGCACGCTATCATCAGCCACCTCCTAGCGGCACAGCTGAGCTTGGGATGCTAGGTCTCATCAGGAACGAATACCCTACCTATCAAACGGACTGGGACTCTGTCGCACGAGCATACGAAATGTATAATCAGGACTACCGCCTGGACAGCCTTGGATCAATCTCTGGCCTGCCTCAATCAGATTGGTGGGGACTGGTTGCTGCTATAGACTGCCACTATCAAATTGACCATGGTGGTGATGCAACGCAGTGTACCGATAGCTGCCAGGAGTGCACTGTAAACCATCTAATGTCATCTGAATCAATGTCGGAGGTGAATTTCCGGATCAGCGGTGAAGAAGACATTGCTGCGCGGAATTACTTGTAAGTTGAAAACTCGCCCTGTGTTGGACAAGATGTATATTTGCTCTGATATTAACCGGGTATGTTCCCCAATATATAGCGCAACTGGTATTACCCGTGATGCCACTCGCATTGTGAAAAACTATCTCCTGGAGCACCCTAATATCCAACCGGCTAGTACTGAGGCCCAGAATCCTCAGTTCCCAACATCGGAGGTGGTACCTCAGGTCCCTATACAGATACAGCCTGGATTGGACCAGCAACAGCCACAGAATCAACAATCTGCTTCAGATGCTTTACCAGTTACTCTATCTATCAACATCGTACAAAACGAGGACCATAAACGCATAGTCCCACGTTTTCACGTTCCCGCCAGCCAATGTACTGACTTCGTTACTCTACATGACACCATCCGTCAGTACTACCACGGGCAAAACAATTCCCAGGCTCCACAGAATATGCGCATCAGAGTATGGCTGGACGATGGTCTCCAGCTGATACTTAATGATTCTCAGTGGCTAACAGCCTTGGTCACAGCAAGCGAGATCGAATGGATGGACAATGAGTTGAAAATCATTGTTGATAGAGTCGATGGCGCTGCTAACTAAGTATGAGAAACAGTCAAAAAAAAGTAAATTGCTATTATTATGATGTATATTATTAAGTAACAATTATGCAGCTCGTTTTTGAATTCTGCCTATTGGGCATGGTTTGGTGTTGGTGTTCCTTCCGATCTTTTATAATCTCACGTCACTTTTCGATGTCAAAAGTAAATTTACTATAATTAACCTAATATTGACAGTTGCTCAATGTTATACATGTGTATAGCTGAGTCTATCTGGAGTCCTCTATTTGGTGGGTGATAGGTATCTCGGGGTTAAAAAGAAAAAAAAAAAGGAAAAAAAAAGGGAAAAAAAAGGAAAAAAAATAGCATATACTCCGGATCCAATCATCACCTCATGATACAACAATTTCATCATGCCGTTCTCCCATAAGGAACTTCAGACAGGCCTCACAGGATACCCTACCGCAATATGGACACCAAAAAGCTACTCGCTGAGTCCCCATCGAGCATCGACCACATCTCATCGGCTTCTGAATCATCTCCCATTCACCTCCATACATACATCCATTCTGTTTAGGTATATCTCGTTTCCGCGGGGCTTCTCGCTTGTATCTCCGTCTGGCCTCCCTGATTTCCTCTTCATGTCTTCGGTTCTCTTCTTCCTCAGCCTCTTCTCTTCTTCGCCAGAGCCTCATCACCTCCGTTGCCTCCTGATCGTCTGTCCCCCACCGGGTTGCCTCCATATCATGTTCCTGTCGAGCATGCTCTTCAGCCCTTCTCTTCACTTTCCCTTCTTCTTCTCGCTCCTTTCTTATCTCTCTTTTGACTTTTATAATTTCACTCTCCGTAAGCTGGTACGAGGCTTCACACCTTCGTACATGTTCCTCCTGTTTCTCTAGAGAGCTGTGTCTAAGTCTGAGGGCAGCCATCTTGTCAAGTCGTGTACGCTGAGCTTGCTCCTTTCGTTCTTCAATCTCTTGAATTTTTCTCATGGAAAGGCGATGTGTCTTTATTTTTCCTATAGAAGCTATGTTTTCCATTGCCCGGTCCATTTCTTTAGATAGTCGTGCCACTTCATCCTGCAGTCCGCCGAGTACTCTCCTCGCTTCGAGAAAATCATCCTTTTGACTTGCTCTTTTGGCTCTTAGTTGCTGCAGTGTTGCCTTGAAGTCTTCCGTGTGTTTTTTGGCAGTAGAGCCCTGGCTAACTGGGCGTCTCTTTGGGACGGTTTTTAAGTCTATTTTTATTTTTGTTCTTGAGTCTTGCTTTGTGTCAGGCTTTGGCTCCGGCTTTATATCTGGTTTTAGATCTGGTTTTGGATACGGGTTGTGATCTGGCTTCAACTCGGAATTCGGATTTGGCTTATGACTTGGCTTCTGCTCTGTTTTATGATCTGGCTTCGACGCTGGTCTTGACTCCGCTGCTGGAGCAGACTTGGGATCTGGATTACCATTTGTCCTTGGGTCTGCTGTCGGAACTGTATTTTGCTCTGCCCTTGGAGCAGAAGTTTCGGTCTGTCCGGCAGACCGCTTAATAGATGGGTATCTCAAGTCATACGCCCGGCGGGCATCAGCATCAAACAAATTCGAGTATGCTTCTTGAATCTAAATAGCCGGCCAGCAGGTTAGATGGTTGCTCGATTCGTGAATAGCCGGAAAAGGTGTGACGGACCAGCTGGAATTCAGATGTTGCATTCGGATTAGTTGGATTCTTATCCGGATGTTTGATTCTTGCAAGGCGCCTATAGCTGGCTCTAATAGAGGCAGCGTCTGCCGTCTGCTCGACCTCGAGAATCGCATAGTAGTCATGCTTTGTTCGAACTGGGGCCATTCCAGCTTTCGGCCTGGGGGATGGATTGTGGCTGGGGGTCTGTGTTTCTCGGGTTTACGCCTCCGTCCGTCATTCAACCGGCTGCTGCTGGAGGACGCTGGTCGGTCAGTCAGTTATTACTTCGTACTCTGCCTAGCACAGGAGCTTCTCAATTTTCAACTGAAATTTTCAGCATCCCCACGGCCGTTTGTGGGCTTTCACGCCATCCTATGAAGAATTCTTATCTTGCCGGGCTGGAAATAGGGCCGATTTTGATGGCTTCTTCAGGTTGCTGCAGCGACTGGGGTCGCGGTGATTGGCGGTGGGATTCATGCATCAAAGATCAGCCTCCCAATCAGCAGGGGTATATAAGAAAAGTCGGAGTAGTTTTTTGCATCGTTAGGCAGCGAGACGCTCCATATGTGCCCATAGTAATGCTGGGGAGCCAGCAGTCAGGCCTCGTTGGTCGATGGCTGTCTCTTCTGTAATTATTACTGACGGTTAACTAGGATCTCTGCCTCTCCACCAGAGGTAGTCAAAGGTCGCCAACAGGTATGAATACATTTGGCCCTCCGCATAGCCTTGTACTCCCACACCAGGAGCAACGCGGGACGTTTGCTTCAGTGCTGCTGCGGTTCATGGGATCACTCCTGTCCTGCATGCGTGTACAACGCCCGGAAGTTGCCCTTCTTCCTCGTGTGCGCGGCCCACCCGAGGCGCCTGTGTCTCGCCAACCGGAGCCTTTGCCTCGCGCCTGTCGATATGTCGGAACCAGTGGCATTGACAGAGGCTAGCAAGGGTACCCATAGCTCGCTAAGCCGTCTCATTGTTCTTTGACATGAACGTTCATTCCGCCTGATATGGGCGAGGCAAGTGATTGTTGCTCTGATTGACCTGCCATTGGTTGCGGGTTACCGGCTCAGGGCGTATATTTTAATCAGGTCTGGGAGTATACCTCTTGTATACTCTTATTTACTCATAACGGTTCATTATGCCCTTGAGTCAAGGTCACAAGGCCGCCAGATACCCAGCGAAGTCGTAGTTTGTGCACCGATAGCTGCTTGGGACGCCTTCGGAGCAGTGGAAGGAGGTCGGCTAGTTATATTGCCACTTGTTTACTCCCTTATTCCTAGAGCTATATACCTCTGGCGCATCTTATACAAATACGAATACCCCCCTTATGACGAGATTTTACAAATCAACCTTCACTGTTCCATGGCGCACAGCAATTCATTACTCTACATTGACCAGGAGCCATTGCTTCAAGTTCTCCCTGCAGAACCGGCAATCGAACCATGTTTTCCTCTTCAACTTACATATTTACCCTGTACAGAGCAACCTTTATACGTTGTTCATGAGCAGACATCAGAGCAAGCTATTCAATACCAAGGGGTTATACCAATTCACACCGGACAATGTCCTATTTGCCAGGCACTCCATGATAGAAGCTACACCTACCAGTATCTTCTACCGGTCGAGGTACATGTTAGAAATGGTAAGGATCTATCGAATTAAGAGGAAACGGACTTTGAAGCTTTAGTAACAGAACCTGATTATAGAATTTATCCCCGTTTATTGTGGGAAACATATTCAATTGATAACTGACGAAGGGATTGCTTTAGCTCATGGCCCCACTCACAACAATATCACGTTTGTTCAATCAGCGGTAAACTACCCTAACTACTTCATGTTAAACAGTAACGGGACTTCTCATCCGTCTCGTCCGCTTACCCCAAGGATAAGCCAAAGGGGACGTAGGAGACGAACCAGGACATGTCACCAACCAAAAGAACTTCATAAACGAGAAAGGGATGGAGAAGAATCTAAAAGTAGCAAAGCACCTGATTCTGCAGTGAAAAGCCGTCAAATGCCAGCTAAAAGCCCCTCGCCAATACCTTTCTCGAGGGCCTCAACATTAGCAGAAAGCCCAGCACCAGCACAAACTGATAAAGCAAATGTCCTACCACCTCAGGCGCACTCCGATTCAACGAAAAATCTTTCTAAAGAAGCCCTGAGGTTTTCTTATGATATACGTGAGAAACGAACGCCTGTGCGGCAAAGAGGATATCAAAGCGCAAGAGCGGAATCGATACTTTCCTGTTCTACAGATAGTACAAAACTTGGGATTATACCACCACACAAACTTGCAGTTCCCCGAAACCCACATACACCATCGGAAAACAGGCCCAGAGTAACTGGTCGAAGTTATGATACTACTAAAAAGGGCGGGAAGATGGGGTGGTTGAGATTCTGGAGGAGCTGATGTATAAATTTGACCCACGTTGCCAACGAATAATAGCAATACATAGCCCCTGGTGGTACAGAACGGTTAGTCCTGCCAACACAGCACGGAGGTTTACAGATACATGACTACATAGAAAGCCCATAAATTTAGAATCATAATTGCATTCAATGTAAATGTAAAGTTAGAAGCTTAAAGTCTAATTTATATCTTGAGTTTCTCCAACTCACGGATTTGTTCTTCAAGACGAGCAGCCTCTCCCTGAGCATCCACAAGCTTCTTCTCTTCAAGTTCTCTAACCTCAGGCTTGGCCTTTTCTTTCCACTGAGGGGCATTAATGATGGCTTGCTGCTTCTTGATAGTTTCCTGTAGCTTCAAGAGACTAGCCTTGGCTTTTTCCTCCTGCTCTAGCCTGACCTCATCCGACACCTGAAGATACACAGCTGCTTGGGCGCCAACGGGCGAAACAACACAGCCCGGTGGAGGGGTTCGGTTGTCGGCATCAAGCACAGTCAGCTCGCCGATGTTTTTGCCACTCAGGGATTTGATGCTGATCGCTTCTTCTGAAATGGACTTGTGGCTGGTAGCGTCGTATGCCTGTATGAGAATGTCTCCCTTGGTCTTGACGTCGTATTCAGCGAGGATACTTCGGATAGCCTTGGATGTGCTGAGGATCAGTTCATAGGCGGTCTCGGCGGCAGGGTCATTGAACGAAGCATTGTACTCTGGGTAGGCAGCCTTCATGATAGAAATGGTTTTGTCACCAGGACGTCTTGGGAGACGCTGCCATAGCTCTTCGGTCACGAAAGGCATGACTGGGTGGATGAGAGTCAAAGCACCCTCCAGAGCGGTATAGAGGGTCTCCTTGGCAGATTGCTGGACGGCTGGGTCTGCATCTGGTTGCAACAGCGACTTTGAGTTTTCGATGAATACATCACACAGTTGACTATACCAATACTGGTAGATTGTGTTGGCGGCAACGGAAAACTCGCGGTTTTCCAGGGCTTCGTTGGTGACCTTTGCTGCCTGGTTGAACTTGTGCAATATCCATCGTTCAGAGAGGGACTCCTTGCCAGTCTTGCTGGGAGTGGCCTGGGGTCTGAAGTCATCCCCTAGTTTACCAAGGACGAACTTGGTGGCCTGGTAGATCTTGTTGCAGAACCTTCTGTAACCGTGAATCACCTGAATATCGAAGTTGATATCGCCGCCTTGAGAGAAATAGTAGCGTTAGTGGTTTATCTCATATACAAACATCTATGAGAAAAGGGGAAAGAGGTTTGTTTAACTTACCACCAGTGCTATATGCAAGCAGCGAGAATCGAAGGGCATCAGCACCGCACTCTGGAATACCCTTGGGGAAAGCCTTCTTCTGGAATTTGGTTGCAATGGCGACCTCCTTCTCCGCAAGATTGCCTTCTAGCAGCTTATCATGCAGCTTTTGAAGAGAGATACCGTTCATGACATCGATGGGGTCGACCACATTACCCAGTGACTTGGACATCTTTCGACCTTCGGAATCTCGGATGAGGGAGTGGCAGTACACTTCCTTGAATGGAACCTGTCCAGTCATCTTGATTCCGAGCATAATCATTCGAGCGACCCAGAAGAAGAGAATGTCCCATCCAGTTTCCAAGATAGATACGGGGTAAAGATTCTCAAGGTCATGGGTCTTCTTTGGCCATCCAAGGGTAGAATACGGCCATTGACCAGAGGAGAACCATGTATCCAGGACGTCGGGATCCCTTTTCAGAACAAATTTCTTCCCAGGGAATTTCTTCTCTGCTTTAGCTCTTGCTTCCTCCTCAGTACGACCAGTTACCCAGAGGTTACCATCAGCATCATCGCCTTTCTCGCCTTCAATATCAACGAAGTAAGCGGGTGCTTGGTGACCCCACCAGAGCTGTCTTGACAAACACCAGTCATTGATGTTGTTCATCCACCGATAGTAACTCTTCTCGGCACTCTCAGGGCGGATGATAATCTCTCCGTCTTCAACGGCCTTGATAGCAGGCTTAACAAGCTCAGTCATGTTCATCCACCATTGTGGTTTCATGATGGGCTCGATAACATCGCCAGACTTAGCACACTGTGGTACTTTCATGGGGTTGTTCTCCCATTTCACATAAAGGCCCTTCTCCTTTAGCTTCTCAATGACCTGGTAACGGGCATCGAAACGTTTCACTCCGGCGAAGGGGCCGGCGTTTTCGTTGAAAGTACCATCGTCGTTCATGATGGAAATGAACTCAAGGTTATTCTCCTTTCCACGAATGTAATCGTTGAAGTCGTGTGCTGGTGTAATTTTGACAGCACCGGTACCGAATTCGGGGTCGACTTTCTCATCTGCAAAGATTGGTAGCAATCGGTCCACAAAGGGGTGCTTAACTTTCATTCCAATGAACTTCTGGTATCTCTTATCGTCAGGGTGGACAGCAACACCAGTATCACCAAGCATTGTCTCCGGTCGAGTGGTTGCAACCTGAATCTTTTCGTCCGTGCCATCGATCTCATACAGGAAGTGAGTCAAAACACCAAATTCAACCTTTCTGGAATATCCAGGGACATCTAGCAAAGTACGACCTTCGAGATCACGATTTTCGACCTCAAGGTTTGATAGCGAGGTGTTCAAGGCAACACACCAGTTCACGAGGCGGTTTCCACGATAGATAGTACCCTCCTCGTGTAGGCGGACGAAAGTCTCTGTGACAGCCGCAGAGAGGTTCTCATCCATGGTGAAGGCTTCCCTGGACCAGTCAAATGAACCGCCCAACCTTCGGAGGGAGGCAGTAATGCTGTCGTGGTACTTGTGAGTCCACTCCCAGATCTTGCCCACCATTGCTTCCCGCCCAATATCGTGTCTGGATTTCTTCTCCGTCTTCCATAGGATCTTCTCAACAACGCTCTGAGTGGAAATACCAGCATGGTCGTATCCAGGGAGGTACAGCACAGTTTTTCCCTTCATCCGCTGCCAGCGGATCATAGTGTCCTGGAGGGCTTTTGTCAGGGCATGACCCATATGCAGGGCTCCAGTCACATTTGGCGGTGGTATTGGAATGACGAAGTATCCAGCCTCTTTCACCTTTCCATCTGGGCCAAACTCCGGCTTGAACAGGTCGCGCTCCTCCCACCACTCGTATCTACCGGCCTCGATAACCTTGGGGTCATAGGCGTCGGTCGTCTTGTCTTTCTCTATCTTTGGCTTCTTCTCTGTAGTTTTCGCAGGGGCGGGTGCTGCAGACGCCTTTTTCGCAGCCTTTTCGGCAAATTTCTTCAGCTTCTCAGCCTTCTTTCGTTCCTTTTCAACTATACCGAAGCATTTGAGTCAGAGACTGTATCCGAAGTATACACTACAAGCCACCACATAAGAAACATGCCACATACGTTCTCTTTCCGACTTCTCCTTTCCACCTTGCGTTCCTGAGCTGTTGTTAGCAGCATCTTGGGCCGGACTGGCTACCCCGCCAGTGGTCGATTCAGCCGGGGTATCTAAACAGCGAAGACAGGCAAACGTTAGACTCTCGGCCTTTCCCACTACATCATATGGACAATTTATGGGTACACATACCAGGAGACTGGGCCGTAGCAAGTGAAGCCATGTTTGCAAATCGAGGTCGAATGTAAATTCCCCTCCGCGCCGAGCGCGCAGCAAGATGTCGGAGTATCGTGGTTTACGGTTTTGCCCGTAACTGTGGAAAAAAAAGAAAGAGAGTTTTATGCGTGGGGTAATTAGGCGAGTTAAGGGTCTGTCTGGCTTAGCGAACAGCGCCTTGCGGAGAGAAATCACGGTCAGGGTCGCAATTGATCCCGGTTTCTCATCTGCTTCTGCTTCTGCTTCTCGAATCTTTTCAATATAGCTTTTTGGTGACTCAAAATTTCCCTGCGACGAGCTTTGCTGTGTCGTCTAAGCTGACTAAGCTCTTATATAATTGGTCTTACTCATCTGATTCTTACTTTACGTGTAATATGGTCATGTGATAGTGCTTGGCTTCATGTGGAACTTGATCCAGGGGATGAGCAACCATAACGAGCTACTCGGAGATTGATGGTTATTTTTGCGCTTGCGCCAGGAGCCTGGGGTTTGGTCCGAGAGAGAGTCGTAAGGCAATAAAGGTGGTCTCCGGTATAGTTCGTACGACCACTCCTCTTCCTCCAGCATGTCGTACATCTCAACATAAGCGCCAACTTCAAGATACATCCACCCAACATCTTCTTCTTCCATGTCTGTTTCACCATCCTCATAATCAGGGTGTATAGGGTAATCTCTGTCCTCAGGGTCTCGCGCACCAAAATGTTTTGCCAGGACCTTTGCAACCGGTATGTCCATGTGCTCGACAGACCCCAGGCAGATATCATCAACGAAAAGGCAGAAATTATACCTCTGGACCTACGCTAATGGGATCATTCACGAGGACCAACTGCAACGCAGACTCAGTCGGTGTTTTAACCATGATATCCGGTAAATTATCAAACACCCAAGACGTAAAATGGTCACGGATATCGTGAGACGTGGCGCCATCATATTTTGCTTTGTCGTCCATAATAATCATCTCATGGCGAAGCACTAGGTCGTCCTCTCCCTCCGATTCTAGAGACGTGGCCATGTCCTGGCGTAATTTTTGAAGAATTGTTTGCCAGGCATCCTCGTTGTTATAGAGCATCGATAGACCACAAACCCCCAAGTAGCAGGTTGTTTTAGAGTAACGCCGCTAAGCGACTGCACAATGCCCTTGTAGACGCGTTCGGGGGGAGCGAATGTTGTCATTTTCTGGTAGATTGTTTCAATGGTCAAGACCACGACAGTAACTAGTTAGTTGACTAGTGGCTGTCAACTAGAGGGAGGTGTCAGGCGTGACAGGCGTGACTCAAGGCTTCTCGGTTACGCAGATGATTGTTCGACGTACCTGATATGGAGGGAGGCGGGCTTCCGAATATCCTGGTATTCAATAAAAAAAAAATTAAAGCAACTGTGTTTTTAGGTAGGCTAAAATATAAATTATTTGGCTCTGCATAGCGTGTCCGATCGGGGAAGGGCGCTGATATGTTATAACTACCTACTTATACTAGGGGGATTTGTTCTGTCTCGCTCCCTGCACATAATCACATTTGGCCTTGAGTAGGCAGTATTTTGAACACAACTGCGTGGATCCACTGGGATGCGAATAATAATATTCTAAAATAGATATCGGTTTTTACGCCCTACTGGCGTCTTTAGTGCTGCGAACGGACTTTAAAACAGGCATTTGGGCTAAAAAACTGATCACCCATCCCATCCCCCCGTTGTGACTTGTTCTTTGCTCCTCCGCTGCATGTTACTTATGTCTCACCAGCGTGCTAATCTCGCGGTGGCCTCATTTGTTCGACTGGGCCGTCGCGCTCTATCGCAATCTGTTGAGTCTGCGCATGATTTTACCGGCCACAGCTTTGAAAGCCTGGATTAAACCACTATAAGATCCTGCTCATACCGTGATTGCTAAGAAATAACACCAACGACAATAGCATAACGCCTGCTCGAGACCACTTATACAATGTTTTGTTTTCTAGACAGGTTTAAAGTATGTGATTTTCAGAGCCTCAACCAAGCTCCACAAATACCCGCAACTTTATATCATCTAAGCTCGCCGCCACTTCATCTTGCATCTTTCGTTGCATGATAGTGCTAGCAGGTAACTTAGTGGTAAAGATCCAAGGAGGCTAGGGGAAGGGATCCATTCTTGCTCAAAGAGGACCCTGGGGTTCACAATCAATTTTCATTGCCCTTATGTTTGGAATTGGTGGCTAGGCTGGCCTGGTACAAGAAAGCTCGGCTACCATGTGTATATAACTAGCTTGACTGAACCAGCGATGCTGAAGGGCCTCTCTTGCGGTAATCCTCCTCGACGGGTCTAGATTCGTCATCTTCCCTACTAGATCCCTAAGATCGGGGTCCACGTAATCCCAGGTCTCAAAGGACTGTCTGAGTTGTCCTGGAGTGAAAGTGCCAGCGAGGGCTACCAAGCTTTCGAAAAAGATGTTTTCCTTTCCAATATGTTGAAGAAACCCATTAAAGCTGTCTTCATCGGCAAAGTAGAATATATGTCGACGGTGAATATAGTGCCATGAATCATCAGCTTTAAGCTGGTTATCATTGACGCGAAAGACCATCTCATTGACCATAACATAAATCATCTGTGCAGTTAGAGTGGGGCAATTTGGAATAACTATCTTGTGAGAAAGGCTGCCACACCACGATTCCAAAGGAGAAGACATCTAATGCCTGGTTTTGGCGAGATCGACACCAGCTTTCAGGGCTTCTCCAGATCGCATTGCCGCAGAGAGGGCCTCGCAGCCGCTTCCCAGGAGGCACAATGACTGTATCCTCAAGGTCCGAGATCTGAACTGCTTTGATGTTCATAAGGCTTTCATCACACTCATCATAGTCCAAAAGGATATTGTTTGGCTTGATGTTTATTGGCTGTCAGCATTACGGTGTATGCAGTCTTCTGGAATGCCCAAACTTGCTATTATGGAGAAAATCTCTATCATGCATATCAGCAAGACCCTGCAGAGCACTTCGGAGGATTTTGCTCCTTACTTCCATGCAAAGAGGTTTCAGGCTTAGCTGAAGCAAGTCCCCAGCCAAGAACGGGAATATAAACAACTCAAACTCTTTGATAGTATCGATTACTGCTCTCACGTTTGGACAAGAGGACAGTCTCTTCTGCAAATCCAATTGGTACTCAAATTCTCCTGGAACCATGTTCTTCACAATGTAAACTTTGCCCTCAGCACTTTCCGCTGGCTCTATAGTTAGCAGAAAGAATGCACTGGGATATCTCATTCTAAACAGGTATGTGAACCTTGCACGATATACGCATTGCAGGGGTTTTCTCAGATCAACGAGGATATTTTCAATTTTATAAATCTGGCCGGAATCGCTCCTGAGCATCGTTCCAGGGGTATAGGGCTCGTCATTGTTAGCCTGCAAAGTGGCCGACATCCTGTACTGCTGGAAGAGTTTCCCTCCAAAGCACGCAATTCGTGTCATGGGTGGTAGCCTTCTACCTAAAAACAACGGGCGCATCGGCAGGTATCTAGACAAACCGAGGACAGAAACAGAGCGCAGCGGTATCGGTGAGATTGGTCGCAGTTTGTTCTTAATTTAATTGCAAAGGCCAACTTATGCACCAAAAGGTTTTACTGGTGGTACTCAGTAGTTAAAGGTTTGGATGCAGGACGGAAATTGTGGCCGTGCCGTTCATTCACATGACTGTTCTGATAGGCCTAAATAGGTGTCTACCGGCAGGGCCGGCCAGGATGAGAGCTGACTGGGATGAGGGCTAACTAGTAGAGACTGCTATACTCGGCCTTTAGTTACCGGCATACCCTTATGTTGAATGTAGATTCTACCTCTACTATCATATAGGCCTTTACTAGACCATATGGTTTACATTAGATCGTGAGGCCTATATATATCAAATGCCGTAGAGAGTGGCAAGCTGTCAAAGGGGAATGAAAGAAAATGAACAAGAAGATTGATTCGTATAGGGTGTTTATAACATACATATGAGGCAAGGGAAAAGGAGCAAGGGGAATGAATACCAGACTTCAGGAGTTGTAGGCGAGATATTAGTCGCGTTATCTGTTTCATTCATGTGTGGACGTCTCATGCATAAATAGCGCTAAACAACCTAATAAAAGAAAAGAAAAAGCAACACGTTGCACCAGCCGATGACTCCCAAAGATGATTACTCGATTTTTGATGGTCCTGGTACTTGGAGAATAGATGGTCGGGATTATTCTGCCTAATGACAACCCTTGTCGGAATTCGTCGGAAGGGAAAACTGACATTCGTCAAGGGATGAGGTGTATCAAACAGTTGGCGAGTAAAGGAAAGATGACAGACTGGGTATCGGGATGGGAAGAAAGTGTTTAGGCGTTGGAAGCAGCTGCGGTGTTGCTTTGTGCGTTAGTAGAAGTATGGCGAACAGGGGAGAAATATGGATGTGCCATGGCCTCCTGAGCAGTCAAACGGGCCTAGTAGATTTGGGTTAGTTTATCATTTCGATGAAGATGAGAGAAAATATCCCAAGGAACATACTGTGTGGTCATATCTGAGCAACTTGTCCAAGAAGTCAATGGCATCACTGCTAATGAATCTCTGATTCTCAGCGCTGATGAAGGAGTTCCATGGCCTACGTTGATACCGTTGGAGGATCTCATCGTACTGGGGGTCCAGCTCAATGTTGTACTTGTCAAGGTAGTCAAACAGATCGTCTGTTCCAAGGACTTTGGCAATTTTGACAAGCTGGTCCGCATTGCTGCTACCGTGGAAAAACGGTTCTTTTCTAAATATCATGGAGGCAAACATGGCTCCAAGAGACCACATGTCCAGGGAATAGTCGTACACCTGGAAGTCAACGAGGAGCTCCGGGCCCTTGAAATATCGCGAGGCAACACGGACGTTATATTCCATGCCTTGATGGTAGAACTCTGCGAGTCCCCAATCGATGAGCCGCAACTAGGGTCAGGTGTAAGTAAACTAGCGGATATCATAGTCGATATAACAGGTCTTACCTTTCTCCGCTCATGGTCAATCATGACATTATGCGGCTTGACATCCCTGTGCATTATCCCCTTGCTATGACAGAAGTCCAGTGCCTTAAGAAGTTCATATATGTAGTATCGGACATCGTAATCTGCCAATCTGGGGTACAGTGTTCGAAAGTCGGTGTTGTTAACATATTCGAAGACCAAACTGGGTGTCTTGCTCTGACTATCACGAACAACGTCCAACAACGCGACGACATTAGGACCTCCGGACAGGTTCTGGAGAATTTTGATCTCTCGCTTGATCTTCCGCTTCTTGACGGGTTTGAGGACTTTGACGACACATTTCTGGTAGTTGACGACGTTTACGCCTTCAAACACCTCCGAGTATTTTCCTCGGCCTGTATTTGATCATGTTAGCAAACTGAGACAGGGATATTGAGGTTAGGTTCAGCAGGTAGGGGGGAAGCGTATCGCATACCAATTTTCCGCACAACCTCATAATTCTCCAGGACGCCCCAGGATATATTAACGCTGTCGTAATCCCAGTACGTCTTGGGCATCTTTTGGTTCACGTCTGCGTAGACGCGTGCCATCTTGACGGTTTGCGATCACCCCACTCAGGGTGTGATATCGATGCAAGGCAGGCGGGGGAGGAGGCTCAAAAGAGAAGTCCGTTTGCGAGGAAGGTTGCGCGGGAGGAGACACAGCAGTAATGATTGCACAAAGAAACAGAGCAGGATCTCGTGGGCGCGACGGACGCGGGCGTTGTTGTTGAGCTCGAAGGAACGATTGCAGCTCGCAAAATAGCAAACAGCGTCAACAATCTTTCACGAGCCCGCAGCTCCCTGGAAGCGACAGGGTCACGGGACTTCTAGCCCTCACAAAAGCACGGACCATGTTTTTATTACCTAAGCCCGGGCGGTCTCTTTTCCTCGCGGATAAACTAATTTCCGGAAACGGACAAACTTGCCAGAAATAGTATGTGAAACCTTAAAACAGTCCATCCTGACCTTACTTCAACTCCATTGGAAAATACGATGGAAGATGGCATATCTAAACAACTTTTGTTGACAAGTCCGTCATTGCTCTAAATATTGGGTTGAAGATGCATATGGGGTAAGTCTTTTATCTAAGTAGCTATGCTGATCCATTCCGACCCTCCCAGACAAATTCAAGAATTCCCATGGCAGACCCCGGAGGATTCACAACTCCCTTAAGCACGAACCCTGGATCGGCCGTTTTGAACAATGCCTCCCAATCAGCCAGAGTCCTTTCCCGGGAATTGAAGGTGAAAGCCATTTCCAGATCCATCGATCTAGAAAAGCGTCAGACGTATATTATCATCAGCTAATGCTGCAACATACCTGATATCTCTTTCATTCCAGTAGGCTATGGATCCCGGCTCAGGCATGAAGACTTCTTGTATAACAAGCCTCGCCCCGGGCTTTAATGCTGGTAACTGGGCTTTCAGGATGCGAATACAATAGACATCGGGCCAGTTGTGGAGGATCCAACGAAAGAAAAATACGTCAGCTCTGATGGGTTGAGGATCAAACAGATTATGGGCCAAGAAGCGAACCCTCTCTGCTACGTCACCTGCATCTGCACTCTCAATTACCTTGGCCATGTCCTGCACAACAACACGGAGTTGGCTGTATCTCCTTGCAAGGGCCATAGCGAAGTGGCCTCGGGCACCTCCGACATCAACGACTTGAGCTTCCCCTAGAGACTTCCAGTTGTAATAGTCTGTTCCATACGATACGTCAAATGCCGGTCTTGATGTCATCATCTTCATAGCACTACTGAATCGGGCCGCTCTATCGGGATTTTCTGCAAGAACATCGTAAATCGACCCGGTGATATTGTGTGCAAGCGAAAAACCCTGCGGATAATATTGAGTATTTGTTCATTAATGCTTTCATTGATCGATGGAACCACGGGTATAATTACAGTTTCGTTTGGTTCCTCTGAAGCTGGCCACTTTTCAAGGGCTTTCGCAAACTACAAATACAGTGTCAGTACTTCACTCAATATGCTCTTTCTGGTTCCTTGCCTACCTTCGCACCTGCAGGACTCAACTCCTCGATGCCAGCTCGAGTCCAGTTCCTCGCATCCGGATCGGCTAAAATTCTGGAAGCCTTCGTGTGCTTTACAATACCAGGCTCGGGCTCACAAAATATTCGCATCATAGTAGCATGGCGAATAATTCGACTCACCATCTGCTCCGTCAATGGCGTCCTATCAGAAATTTCTTTAAACGAAGCCTGCCCATTAGGCGGTATGAGTTCCGCAATACCAAAGTGAGAGATCGCCTGCAGACATGCAGACCTGTCACTCTGATTTTATGAACAGCAATGTTAGCCTCCCGTCGATGGAAGATATCAAGATGGGTAATCTTTACCCTAGCTGACCTATGAATCATATTTGTAGGTTCTGTGAGCAAATCATGAAGCTCTGCTGTTGCACCGAGGACAATGTCCTGAGCTTCACCGATTTGTACGGGAAGAGGGGGGGCATTCTCATCAAACGATGGTGAAAGTACCCCGAGGGTATCGAGGATCTCCTGAATCTTGAGGACTGAGTCCTTGATCGTGGTGGCTAGCTGAATAAGTCTTGGAACTGGCATTACTGGGTTCATTTTGGGTTTCTGATGCAGAATTTGGCGGCGGTGAGGAGAAGAAACCGCAACTCGGTTACGGGGATAAAAGCGAGGGAAAGAATTGAGAGTGAAGGAGGGTACAAAATGGAATCGAATATCAAGTAAGCTTATGTGTTTCACATATACGTCCTCAAATCAAAACCATAATCCCGCTATTTGAAATTAGATTTCACTTTTGGCCGGTATTGCAGCAAACGAAGGAATATATGCAGTCTTGTCTGCACTTCCCTGGGTGGCAACCTAGCGGGAGGTACTTCGCTCCGTTTGCCTGATACAATATCACATCAATATGCAGCTTGCTTTACTCTGGTCCTCAGAACCATGCTTTATACTCTGGACCCTTTCATATCCTAGCTTCACTGCGGCACTCACAGCCAATATCATCGGCAAACAAGGAAAGGACATGATCTCCACATGAAGTGATCGCCCATGTTCACTGATACTCCGAACTTCGGGGAATAATCTGTTAATCAGGACGCACGGCTCCGGATAGCAGTGGAATGAGTGCTTGTCGCTTATAATACCCATGTACCGTTAGTGGGGTTGGGGAGGGTTAGGATTCGGCATGGATTGTCCTACTATCTTTCTGATGGATGGGCCAACATCCATGGGCTCTAAGAAGTTGGGATGAGGAGGCATTAGGAACCTACACATAAATGGAGTTTATCAAGTATGCAACATGCATATTTGTTCGAACGAAAACACAATAAGGTTCCATCCCAACACCACTTCAATATGCCTCTGCTCAATGATCTGCCGTCTAGTTCTACAGAACCGAAGCCCACATCATCAGAACCCCAGTGCTTTACATCATCCTTATGCTCCCCTTTTTGTTCGCAACCACCATCAGAATGGGGACCGTCATCCATCTGTCTTCAAGATATTCTTAAAGCAGTGGCCGTGTTGAGGAAAGGGTCAATTATCTGCTATCCTCTGGGAAATATTGCCGGTTATAAGGAATATTCCTGCGTGGAGCTCTATATCCAATCCAGTCACTGCGCTCAGTTACTTCGGACACTTCCTAGCTTCAAGCACGCGGCTCCTATACTTTTACACTTGGATGACCATTGGAATACTATAGTTTGGTTCTGGGCAATTCTGCTTGCCAATGGTGTTCCTGTTCTTTCTTCTCCATTCAGCATCGTTGACGACCATCGTCTAGAGCAGATTCGGGGCTTGTCAAAGCTTCTTCAATCTCCGATATGCATCACAACGAAAGATTTACTTAGTGTGTTTGGCGGCACCGAAAATTTGCTGAAAATTCACACAACGGAGTCACTGAGCTTGGATGAATTTCAAATTGGTCACCCAAGCCCGGAGATTTCAGCCGCCTATCCAAGCTATATGGGAGGTCAATCCCTGGCGATGCTGATGCTAACGTCAGGAAGTACTGGGAACTCAAAGGCTGTACGCCTGACGCACAAGCAGATAATTTCAGCAATCACCGGGAAAGCGTCCGTACGCCCGTTACCCGTTGATGGCCCATTCATGAACTGGATTGACCTTAACCACGTTGCAAGCCTCATTGAAATTCACATTCAGGCTCTGTGGCTAGGGGTTGACCAGATTCACGTCCATGCAGCCGATATCGTTTCAACTCCTAGCGTCTTCCTTGACCTACTAAGCAAGCACCGTGTCTGTCGCACTTTTGCGCCAAATTTTTTCCTTGGAGCCTTGATATCCTCAACAAAGTCAAAACTCAGTCCTCCGCTGGGCGAAAGACCGTGGGATTTATCGAATTTGCAGATAGTTGCCTCTGGGGGAGAGGCCAATGATGTGACAACCTGCGTTGCTGTGTCTGCCTTATTCCAAAATTATGGAGCACGCCCAGATGCCATCACACCCGGGTTCGGCATGACAGAGACTTGCGCCGGGGCTATATTCAACCTTACATGTCCGTCATACGATGTTGAACGCGGCTATGCTATTGCCTCTCTAGGCAAGTGCATGGAGGGCATTGAGATGCGTGTTACCATTGGCTCCAGATTGGCAGCTATAGATGAGTGTGGCGATTTGGAGGTACGCGGTGATGTGGTGTTTAGTGGCTATCATCGAAATGCTGAGGCCACTGCTAACGCCTTTCCTTGGGGAGATGGATGGTTCCGTACCGGAGATCGAGCTCGTATCAATTCGGACGGCAATCTCTGTCTTATTGGCAGAAAAGAAGAATTGGTAAACATCAATGGCATTAAAATTGTCATATCAGATGTCGTATCGCTGCTAGAGCGGGCGCTTGGGGGCAGAGTAAACCGTTTTGTGGTGTTCTCTTCCCGAGTCACTCACACCGATCAGATCACCGTTTGCTATATCCCTACGAAATGGCCTCATACCGCTAAAGAGATGGACATGGTTGACGCATTAATTACTCAAGAATGCCTTTCTGGTACTTTTGCGCGTCCTCTGGTGTTTTCCTTGAGAGAGTCATCACTGTCTCTTTTACCTATATCCTCTCTGGGAAAGATTTCACCTGCAAAGATGAGTTCATTATTCGCAGCTGGTGTCTTTGACCAAGATGTTAGTCTTCACAAGAATCATCTTAAGGAGTATAAGGATGAGAAACAGCGGGGAGCATTGCAGTCTGTTGCAACTGAAGCTGAGACGCTTATCATGGTTGACTTTGCAAGGACCCTAAACATCGACCATACTGCGATAAGTCCAGAAACGCAAGTCTTCGAGCTAGGTTTCACGTCCATGGACCTTATCCGCCTGAAACGCCATCTCGATACTCGTTTGGGCATCACATTGCCCATAGTGACAATCATGAAAAACCCAACCGCCCGATTACTAGCCGCAGCTCTGGCTAGCCAGGCCTCCAGGGACGGGCGAGAGGAAACAAAGGACACAGAATACGATCCTGTGGTAACACTGAAATCTGGTGGCTCAAAGGCGCCACTTTGGCTTTTCCACCCCGGTGTGGGCGAAGTCCTTGTCTTCATCGGTTTAGCACAGCACCTTGCTGATGAGGACAGGCCCATCTACGCCTTGCGTGCAAGGGGCTTCGAACGAGGACAGACACACTTTGCATCCATTACTGAGACAGTTGACACCTACATCCATGCCATCCAGAAGCACCAGAAAAGGGGCCCGTACGCATTGGCAGGTTATAGCTACGGCGCGATGCTTGCCTTTGAAACGGCCAAAAAGCTAAGCTCCATGGAAATAGGTACCACGGGCAATTCAGTACGTTTCCTTGGCAGCTTCAATCTACCACCACACATCAAATGGCGCATGCGTCAACTTTGCTGGAACATGTGCCTGCTGCATCTGACACAATTCCTCGGAATCACGACGGACGAATATGTGGAGGAAATGGAGCAAAACCCACAATTTTCTCACAAATCCAGGCATGATGCAGTAGAACAAATACTTCTTGCTGCGGACCGGGAGCGGATGGAAGAGCTGGGACTGGAAGACGCAGCACTTGCCAGATGGGCTGACGTCGCTTTCAGCCTGCAGAGCATGGCAGTGGATTACGAACCCAGCGGACAGGCAGACAGCATTGATGTATTCCATGCTATTCCCCTCAAACTTGCCGCTCCATCGCGAGAAGTATGGATAAAGGAACATTTGAGCAAATGGAGAGACTTTTCTCGGACTGAACCTAGATTCCATGCAGTTGGAGGTGCACACTACACCATGATTGGACCAGATAACGTGGTTGGATTTGCTTCAAAGCTCCAAAAGGCCCTGGCTGCACGCGGGGTCTAACCCCGGTATCAGTTAGATGACCGACTTTGTTGGTTGGTTATAGGAAGTCATTTGGGAGAATGCCTAGTCAATTTAGTTGCATAATAGTTACAAGTTTCTAGCCTTGTTTTCCTGCTTGCACTCCGTGCTCCAGACTGCAATATACTCCCTACTTGTTTACTCCACACTGAGACACTGAGATGCAGCTACTTACATAGCCTTACAAGTTACCTTGGAACGGGTAAAAACATTCGCTTTATATTTTTTGCAGGGGGCGGCTTATCTCGAGCAACCCAACATGGCTGAACCATTATCCCGGGTGCATATGCACAAAGCATGCACCCAGTTATGTTTAATCATTATATTTATGGCAGTATTGACAGGCATGTCTGTGTCACATCTACGGAGTTGCTGACGTTTAAGGTTAATTCGCCGGTAGCCAACACACAGACGTCCGCAACCACCCCAGTAGCCAAGACAATTATACCGATGTACTTCACACTGCTTTGCATATTTTCTTGTGCTTTTCACGTACAATAACACGGGAGGCAGCGACATCCCAAAATATGATGCCTGTATACTCTGGCTTCTCCGCTTTCTAACCCCCTAACAACTTCCCGCCTGGGCGACTGCTGGATGACTCCGGGCCCGGCCAGGCATTCGCTAGTAGCTGTCGCTTGGAATACTACTGTTTCACATACAGGTAAGATGAAAACGGTCTTGCAATGTGAGCGCATAACCTGCTCCAGCCTGCTGGACATGATTTGAGGTTACCAATCTACATATAACTATATAGCCGTCCCTCGGAAGAGCAGTTACTGGCTCCCTTTCTGTTACTCTACAACAAACAGTCTACAGCAATACTACCCATTTGGTCCATTTCTCTCCTAAAGAAGCCACAATGGAGGCAGCTATTGACACTGTCAAACAGTTCGCAACGACTGCCAGCGAAGCAACTCGCCAGGAAGTGATAAAATCATTGACCAAGCTGATTTTTGCTCTAGAAAGCCCCAGTGACACTATTCATAGATATGGACATATGGTGAGCTCCTCTTATTGGCCTTTTAAAGTTTTATTGCAGCTAACATGTACTATAGAATCTACAAACTGCCATAATTAGGATCGGCTTTGATTTAGGCCTTTTCAAATTATTGACTGATGCCAATGGGCCACTGTCGGTGGACGAAATTTCCCAAAAAACCGGCGCTGAGCCCCAGTTGATAAGTATGTTGAAAGATTATATTTGCAACTTTAACACAATTAACTGCTAATTACAATGCAGGCCGCATTTTTAGGTATCTTGCTGCCATTGACTTGGTGGATGAAGTTTCGGCTACTCAGTATGCCGCAAACAATGTAACCCGAAACCTTACTGAGAAGTCTGTTGAGGCTGGTTTGTGCCACTAGTAAGTTATTTATAGCCGTTCACTACTTTAGCTGTTCAAGCAATTGATCACTACCGTAGCTTCTACACTGCTTCACCTCAGTATGAAGCACTCCCTGGCTTCTTGAAAAGCACCAAGTACCAAAACCCAGTTGACGAGCTACATACTGCCTTCCAAGATGCCTGGAAGACCAATCTTCATGCGTTTGCATGGTTCAGTGACCACCCTGCGCAGCTTACCTACTTCAATGACTACATGGCTCTCCGTCGTACGCCTGAAGTTTCGTGGCTTTCAGTGTATCCCGTTGCTCGTGAGGTTGAGAGCTGGGACTCAAAGAACAACACCAGGGCTATCTACGTTAACATTGGGGGCGGTATAGGTCATCAGTGCAAACAATTCAAGGACAAGTATCCTAATTTGTCTGGAAGGGTGATATTACAGGATCTACCACATTCAATCGCAAAAGCACTGCCAACACCTGGTGTAGAGAACATGGAACATGACTTTTTCCAGCCACAACCAGTTAAAGGTAGTGATCGCTTTTCTTTCCCCTTTCCTCTCTATTCTAGCCGGATAAAAGCTAATCAGTTCTCTCTGAGAATTTTAAACCGTAGATGCTAAATTTTACTTCCTCCGCGGAGTCCTCCACGATCATCCGCCACATCAGGTGCGAAAGATCCTCGAGCAGACAAAAGCAGCCATGGGGCCTGAATCTGTTATGCTTATTGATGAAATGATCCTTCCAACGACTGGCGTAAACAACATGGCTGCATCTGTTGACATGACTATGCTCACTGCATTGGCGGGCATGGAGCGAACCGAGGCCCAGTGGCGCAATACTCTTGAAGAGGTAGGGTTGGAGGTTGTGAGCACTTTCCCATACTCTCCAAAAAATTTTGAGGGAGTGATACAGGCAAGGCTGCCAAGATAGATACAGCACTGACAGGGAAGATATCCAATATGACCCAACTCTGGCTGTCAAGGATGCAGCTTCCGGCTATGATCAACCCCATGGTAGTTACTTATCAAACAATCCAGATTAACCTGGACATTGAAAGGATTCATATCTCATACTAATAGTTAGGGTTTAAATTATTAATCAAAGCGCTCATCGGATGCCATTCCTTGAACCCCTGTATTGATCTTTATATATTATATAAGTATATGCTTGGTGGGTACTAAACTTCGGGCGGTGACAACTTGGCCCGTGCAATTAACTTGTGGATTCGGCGAACAAACGTTTCCACTTCCGGCAGAGACGCTAGGCCAAGCTAGGACTAGCGACCTGTCATTGCTTATGCTTAATTTGACTCTCAACATTTATAAATATCTAGATACTTTCTTTGTAATGCTTAAAATCATTCCTTTCATCTACGTAACAATTGTGTTATTCCTGAGTAGCGATATCTCTTCTGCCAATTCAATGAATCTATTAGCTTCATTAAAGACGAACATCGGCTGGCCTGCCGTTATCGGAGCTGTGGTTGCTTATTATGGAACGATAGTCTTCTACCGTCTGTTCCTTCACCCTTTGTCTCGTTTCCCTGGTCCCAAACTAGCGGCTATCTCACGCTGGTATGAAGCATACTACGATGTCGTACTTGGTGGTCAGTATACTGTCAAGATCGCTGAATTACACAAGAAATACGGTAGGTCTGCCCTTCAGTTTCCAATACCCCAAGGAGCTAGTTCCAACACCTAGTCAATAGGTCCCATTATCCGTATTAGTCCCCATGAGATACATGTCATTGATCCATCATTTTTTGAGAAGCTTTATCGCTCAGATGGACGTTGGGATAAGTATTCCTGGACGTACGATGCCTTTGGGGCTAAAACGTCAACCATCTTCGGTTCAGGTATTTTCCTTCTCTCTTGAGGGTCAATAATATAGTTACATATATGTTTTATAGATCATTACGCTCATAAGGCCCGCCGCCGCGCCCTTGCTCCGTTTTTCTCAAAAACGAATATTATTGCGCGACAAGATTTGCTTCAAAAAAATATTAAAAAGCTTTCCCAAAGAATTGCATCACTCGAAGGAACCACTTTCAATCTAGGAGCTGCCATTAGTGCTTTTGCACGAGATAATGCTAATAAACTAATCGTCGGTAAAGATTACAATGAGCTCAGCCTGGAAGATTTTGGACTTGGATTGTCACTTTCATCGCAAGGCGCTGGTGTTTATTGGCGTACGACCAAGCATCTACGCTGGTTCGGACCCTCAATGAGAGCGATACCTATTGAATGGGCTAAAAAGATGGCTGATGAGAGCACACAATCATTTCTTCGTTATCTTCAGGTCAGTCAAGGTGTACGATTATTCAATATAACTGGGACGGCCAATATATGCCATACTGACCTAAAAAGCAATCTGAGCAAGACACTCGAGATACATTGGCTGCTACAATATCTCCCTCCCCTGATGATACGATCAAAAGCACGTTGATATACTCAATTGCCCATTCTGATCTTCCTCCCGCTGAAAAAACGTTCGATCGAATCTTTGAGGAAGTAGCTACTGTTACCGGTGCAGGGTTCGAAACAATATCAAACACTCTGCGACTTATTCTCTACCACGTTTATAGCAGCGATGAAATTCTACAAAGACTCAGAGAAGAAATCAATGCAGCCTCAACTACAATCACCGGGCCTCTTACGTTAAAGGAGTTAGAGCAGCTTCCCTATCTCACTGCCGTCTTAATGGAAGGCTTGCGTTTAAGCCCTGGAGTCGGCTCCAGAGCGGCACGTATCACGGATCAAGACCTTTTCTATAAACACTGGCGTATACCTGCCGGAACCCCTATTGGAATGACCACAATACTAATGCACACTGACAAAAATCTGTACCCTGATCCAATGTGCTTCAATCCCGATAGGTGGATAGATAGTACGGCAAAACGATCTACTACGACATTTGCTCCTTTTTCTCGGGGAACCAGAATATGCCTTGGCATGCAGTAAGTTCAGTCTTCACAGTACATGGTTATGGGTTGACAATGGCTTGCTAATACACTGAATCATCTCAGCCTTGCATGGGCGGAGATGTACTTACTCCTTGCTTCTTTGGTTCAAGGATTTGATTTCAAGATCAAGGATGCCACGGCCGACGATTTCGCATTTGAAAAGGACAATTTTGGCATTGGCACCAAGGCTGCATGTAATCTCATAGCCCATGTTATGATTCATGAAGCCTGAAGCGCGCCATGACCCCTAGTTCAGCTAATTCCTGCAGCATCTATAGCCCATTACTTTGATTTAATTTTGATAAAGAACATATTCGGAGACTTGTTTAAATTATAATATGCAAGGGAAGTCCCGCGAACCTTGTTTGTGCATAACTAGGTGGCTACTCCGATGAAATTTTCATCACCCTCGCAGTTATACACTCGGAGTCTGAATGCGTTGAGTATAATTGCTTGTTATTATACAAGGTTTTCATGGAAGAGCATGGAGATTTCAAGCATTAACTTAAGGAATACGAGGAACCGTGAAAAAAATCCCGACAGCCCGCCATCTACATTAGTTACCGAGACCAGCGTAACCTCCCCACAACGAGGGTCCCATATCCTAGTGTTACTTTTATGACAATATCTGGCTGGCTGTTATAAACCACGGTTAACTAGTTATAATCTTGACTGTTGAGTATTAAGTTCGGGGTCTACAGCTGTCATCAGTAGTTATCCCTCAAATCCCAGGCGAGGCTGTGTTGACTTGCTGCCAAAATGACGATCAATACCCCTCAATCAATATCTGAAACCGAAGATTTGCTACTGTATCTTTCAGATAGTAGTTATATGGGGATATGTTGAGCTAACTCTGTCTACTCCATTAAGCAATTTGAGAGAAAACGAGCAGTTACCTAGTCAAATATAACTACATAGATAGCCAACTACTCACCTACCAGGAGTTGTCTGCTCACTGAGCTGTTTTCTATATCAAAATTTGTCAATACCCAAGCATGCTGAATATGTCTGCTGCTCAAGACAACCCAGGCCGTGGACCTCTAATTATGGGTCTAACTTGGTCATTTGCTGTGTTAGCTACTATAACTGTTGGTCTTCGGTTTTACATTCGTGTCGAACTTAATAACCGTCCTTCGTTGGATGACTGGCTAATTGCCGTTGCCCTTGTGAGTTACAACTAATTATTTTGTGATATTACTTTTATTCTGTCATGCTGAGACTTTATATCTCTAGATCTTCAATTTTGTCTCTCAGTCATTCGTGAGCGTTGGCTTTACATATGGACTTGGAAAGCATGATGCCAACTTACAGCCGAACCAATTAATCAACATCTTGAAATGGATGTGGCTTGCCAACACTCCGGGGCTTCTTGTTGCTATCACTGCACGCCTCTCCATTGCCATGCTTCTCGTTCGTCTTTTTGGAAAAGTCCACAAATGGCTCAAGTGGTTCTTAGTTGTGGTATCGGGACTCTGCACCATCCTGACAGCTATCATAATCCCATGCACATTTCTGCAAACCACTCCTGTTAGCGGAAACTGGAATCCATTCCAGCCAAGTAAACGCTGGAATCCAATGATCTATATTAGTCTTGCATTCCTTACACAATGTGAGTCGCCGCCCATTTCGAATGTATATCTCAATCTTAACCCAGTTAGCTAATAGAAAACAACTAGCCCTGTGGACTTTCACAGATTTAATGTTTGTGTTATTCCCCGTGATCATTATCTGGAGGCTTCAAATGAGCCTAGGGAAACGAATAAGTCTTATACTTCTTATGAGTGCATCCCTCCTTACGATGAGTGTATCGATCCTTAAAACTATAAGTCTCCAACACATCGCCAATCAGCAAGCTGACCCTACTGCCACTGATGTCCAATACGAGTCCTCCATTACCATCTTATGGTCCTGTCTTGAGCAAGCATTCGTCATCATTATGGGCTGCGTTCCAGCTTTGGGATCCTTTACAAAACTAAAGACTGCACAGCCATTACTGACTTCTTTGGATAGTGTCTTACGGTTGATAAATCCATTCAAGAGATCTATAGTAAATAGAGCGGCAAAGGGTAATGGCACGAATTCTCGGGACTACGAGGATTTGGAAATGCCTAAAGCTATATCAGGCTGGAGAGATGGTTTATATGGACCAGCCCTTGACAAGTCACTATCCTCACTGGAAGGAAATCCGCTGGGTGGGTGTTCGACCGCCACGAGAAATGATTATAACTACGTGTGAATAGAGTTAAAACAAAACCTAGGTGTAAGTAATTAATATTGAATCCGAATGGACGAAGCCGGAAAGGTAAATTTATCAGTAAAGTGACAAAGCGACTAGGCCAACGGACCCGACTCCTAGCCTGAATGAAATCGTACATTTGACAGCTTATAGATCCTCAGAGGATAAATTATCCTCCTTTAGTAGGGTATACTTGGCTAGACGAATGCTAAAAAGTGACTACGTTGTTATGATTTTATTATTGTAAAAAATTGATGGTTTTGACCCACGAGGTATATCAAAAGGTGTCAGATATATGCTGTTATTTAGTTAATATATCTTGCTTGGTCTTATGCCTCGCACATGCCATAGCCCGCTCGACATCATCATTCTCCTTTTGACAAAAATTAATCTACGCAAATTGCAATCGCATATTGCGTTCCATGGTAGTGATCAATTCGTATCAATCTATTATTAAAAAGGTAATGGAACCTATCTATCGCCCTTCTCAGCGACATTTTCTTCACTTTTTTGCTTGCTATCTTTTTTTCTCAAGTCATGCCAGCCCATTCCCCATAACACAAGTGCGCAAGCAGCACCCACTGCAGCAACCAAGTAAAAAACCCTATCAATACTGTTGGCGTATGCAATCAGAACCCCGGGTAAATCCTCCAACTGGACAATGGAGCGGAAACCAGTGGCTCCAGCTTTGATAATTGCGGCTGAATTGGCATTTGGTGCATGTTCATACAGTTGTGAGCCAAGGCTAGAGAGAAATATCACATTGCACAAGACAAGCATGATAGCCGGTCCAAGGGACTGAGCAAAGATGACTAAAGCCATGCCTGTAGCAAGTTTCTCTCCACTTATTGCAGCTTGAATTGTAATTATAGCCTTATATTGTTAATAACTTATGTCCCGCCAATGCTGTGTTCAGATACATGGAAAACCAAATACTAACCAGTTGCATGCTTAATCCTGATCCAATCCCGGCTAGTAATTGAAATCCAACCCAGTATTCTGTTGGACTACCTGGCCGTAAAATCGAATAGAGTCCGCTCCCGAGAGACAAGAGAATGGTTCCAGTAACTGCTAGAGGTATCACAAAACCCATTTTTTGTACTAAGGTAAATTAGCAGCCTCACTTTCTGCAATCAGCGGTAAGGAAAAGTGTAATGGTTTTAGACTTACACAATACTCCAGAGAGTCCAGCCGCAACAAGCTGCGGAAGAATGGTAGGTAGCAAATATACTCCACTGAGCACAGGAGTTGCATTATTGATGGCTTGAAAATATATTGGGAGAAAGAATGAGGCACCATACACTGCTGATATCATGAATGCCTGGTATAATGCAGATGTCCAGACAGGTCTCAGTTTCAGCATAGAATGTGGTAGTAATGCATCATTCCCCTTATATCTATTCCAAAAGATCCAAATGGCAAAATTTGCGGCAAAGCCACAAAAGAGCCCAATGACGCGGGGGGAATTCCATGGGTATTGATTGACTCCATACTGGAGCGCAAGTAGAAGCTGTAGTATAGCTGGGGCAAATAGGAGAAAGCCGACAAGGTCTAAGTGGTGGTGTAGTTTCGAAAGTACTACAGATACGTTGGGCTTTCGTGTTTGTTCTGGAATGCTCAAAAAGAGAAGAAAAAATGCTGTAAATGCACCTAGGGGTAAATTTATGTAGAAGCCTAATTGTGAACTGTGTGAGTCTCTTTTATGGACGAGGAAACAAAAAATGCTTGTTAGGTAATACTCACACCACCTCCACGTCGTGTAGGAAGTGAAAGCCCCTCCAACAAGAGGTCCAGCAACAAGTCCAAGCTGGTTTACTATCAATAAGAGTCACCTTAGTAACACTACAATATTTGATATCGAGTCAAGGACGGCTTACATCCCATTGTTAGACCAATCAAGGCTATACCAAAACGAGTCAGTAATTGTACGTCTTAAAAATTCGAAATGTTACTAGAATTTACTTACTAGGACGCCTTTCCAATGGAACACAACTTGAGATTATGGTGATTGCACCATTAATGATACCAGAAGCGCCGAACCCAGCAATAGCACGGCCAACAATGAGCATGTTGGATGAGATGGCAGCACCACAGAGAACGGAACCTATCTCAAAGATAGCAAAAAAGGTCAAAAAGGTCCACTAAAATTTTGCATTAATATTGACATATATAAAGCAGCTGGTATATACAAACCTTTGAGTTGAAATTTGTATATATTTTTCCAGTAAGGGGCTGTGGAGCAGCGCTGTAACTTGTCAGCTGAATCTTCATATCTTGGAGCGCAAATGACCAGACCTTCCGAATTGATATGCACTAGCATACCATCCTACATCGGGGAGGGAGTTGAAGGTATTGGTAATATGAGGAATTGCCTTATAGCGGATGCAGAGGGTTAGTGTCCTCGCTGAAGATATAGGTAATCTATATGACATGGCGAACTTACCGTTCCAATGACCATTGTGTCCAAGAGCATAAGAAAACAGGCAAGGGCTACGCTACTGACAATCAAAAAAAGTTTGAAGCCTGTAACACACTCGACAGAAGATACTGGGCTTGTATCAATCTTCCCTGGTTTTTGAGCATCCAGGTCTGATGACAATATCTCCTTATCTGGCGACATTTTTTTGGTGGTTTTTATTTCCAGATAATTAGTTAGTCACTGTCGAAGGAACGCAGAGGACGGGAAATGGGGTTGAGTGACCAGCTATCAATAATTTATTTCTCGCTATCCATGCTGGGGAACTGTCACCTTTTAGTTGAAGAGACGGGTGCTCAACTAGAGATAAACAAGTGCCTTCGAACGCGGAACAAAAGTCAAGAACCCACAATTGGCTTCGGGATGGGCATAACCTTAATTTAGTGCAAACCTTGCTACCAATTTAACTTTGCTAAGTACATGGGAGGGGCCTTGGCAGAGCCTTTTGACTTTCATGCATAGGCACGACGTACACGGAGTATAAATGCATGCATATCACAGCCAATCCCTGCCAGCCTTACATATCCAACAGATAATTCCTTGTTTACAACATCACGCCATTAATCTGCATGTCACTTCAGCTGATCAAATAATCCAGGTTGAAAGTATTTTTTGTCAGGGGTACCTATAAGTATTAAAGACGCACCTGGGCATGTAGGATTCGGATTGACTGGATTTCAAACCAACCTGATCAACGGCAACTAAAGAAATATGTCTACATCCAACAATGCCGTTTTTGTCTGTGGTGCCACCGGTAGCCAAGGAGGTGCCCTAGCGTTAAAACTTCGAAAGGACCTAAATTGGTCCGTTCATTCGACCGTCCGGAATCTTACCTCACCTGCGGCAATATCTCTTCTTGAAGCCGGCGTGAAACTTACCCAAGGTGACTGGGATAATGAAGCAGCATTAACTGCTGCCCTTCAAGGATGCAATAAAATATTTCTCTGCTTGTTACCGGATTTCAAAGACTCGGACAGGGAACGACGTCAGGCAGAAGTCATCGTCAAAGTGGCCAAGGCAGCAGGAGTGAAGCAAGTGATTGTGTCGACTTCTCTAGGCGTCTTCACGCTGGATGACCATCAACTTGAAACTGAGGTCCGAGAACACCTTACGCTGGACTCTTTTATGGCACGACATATCGCTAGCAAAAAAGGGGTTGAGGATGCAGTTCGAAACGGGTGCTTCGATTATTGGACCATCCTTCGGCCTTCCTTCTTTATGGCTAATTTCTTAGAGCCCAAGGTTGCAAGATACCCTGAGCCGAGAGAACATGGTACTTGGACTACAGCAATGACACCAGAGGCTCGATTAGCTTTAATTGACCACGTTGACATTGCAGCGTTTGCGGTTGAAGCCCTCCGTGAACCTCAGAAATTTCATGGACGTGCATTCGGACTAGCGAGCGATATATTGACAGTTCAAAAAACGCTGGATGTACTGGGAAAAGCAGCAGCGAAGCCACTCAAAGCAATCTTCATGACGGATGAAGAGATCCGTGAGAAGCAAAAGACATCAAATGTGTTCACCAATTCTCAGATCTCGATGAGATATATGACTAAATACATTGACATGGATGAAATTACGGCGGTCATTCAACCAACTTCTTTTGAGGAATTTTTAGACAGAGAAGATAAAGCCGTACGCAAAACTTACAGCCCTAGAAATAGTGCATAGAACGAACAAACTTACGAAATATTAATCATGGTTATATGTGTCAACACTATTTTCATCTGAAGCAATATTCAATCCTGAAAATTCTCCTGTTGCCACCTAGTAACGTGTAGTTCCGCTTTCTGTGGAGGGAGCATGAAGTTAAGTAGTGAGGCTCTCTTTCCAGGGCTTTTTATAACTTCCACATCATAGTTAAGGAGTGCATAAGCAGTTGCTTGTTTTACCATGTAGGCCACAAACCACCTCCCTGGGCAAGCATGTCTCCCATATCCAAACGGAAGAAATGACGTACTGACGGTGGTTACAAGCTCCCTTTTTCCTGTGGTTGGCTGTTCGTTGGATGATGTTTCATGCTCTCGCGAAAACCTAAAAGCATCAAAGCGTTCAGGGTTCTGATAGATGTCCCGATCATGGTGAACCATCTGGGCTGGAAAAACGGTTCGAAGCCCGGACTCAGCAGAAATTTGAATTCCCTCCCCGATATTGATTGGTTGACCAGAGATAATATCCAGAGGAAGCAAATGCACCATCACATCATTGAGGCGCATGGACTCACGCACAGCAGAGTCGAGGCAGTATAGTTTGTCAATTGCTTCCTTGCTTGACAGTCCTTGGTATTGGGCAGAGACTTTTTGACATTCGGCAATTAAAGTGCTGACAATCTCATTGCTAGAAGGACTGCAGTGGATATCAAGTACAACATGTACAAAAACCCAACCAATAGCGAAGACGAACATGGAAGTGAGGGCGAGGATGCGACCAGCTATTTTTTTCGCGGTAAGCTGCTCCGGTCCATGATTCTCAGATACTTCAATGAGCCACTTAATTACGTCGCCCTACAAGCAATAGCTATCGTTAGAATTAGATCTAAGTCAAATTATTGGGGGAATACTGCTTGAACATTCAAACATACCTGGCTGTCTCTCTGATTTCCTTTCTCATGACGATACTGAAAAAGTCGCTCTTCCACAAGCGGGATCAAAATAGTTAATAGCTTTCGTTCATAATACTTGGCACGCAACGCGATTAATGGGCCTACCACTAACCGCATCCCAGGAGGTAGACAATTGATAAGACAAGCGTCCACCAAGACGGCATTGGCATACAATCTTGACTGCTCCAAGTAGTCTTCATCTCTACATCCAGGTAGCCCAACCATGATGCGGAGTGATGCCCGGGCAATGATTCGTACCATGGAATCCCACGCCTTGATAACCCTACCATCCCTTGAGTCTCCCCAGTATGTTTGAAATGCCCCTTGCCATTCTTCAAACATTATCTTCGTAAGGGAACTCATATCCTTCTCTCTTAGGTGGTGACGAACAATATCGAAGTGAATGGTGTTTCCCCAGACATCCTTGTCAGACATTAGATATTGAAATTGGGCATTCTCGAGCAATGCATTGAAACTGGATAACTCGTTTCTAGGTTTGTTGAGAAGCCCCAGCTTAGAGGGGGGAAGTACTAAGACGGCTCCCCCGATCCACATGGTAGGAAGGGCAAATGGTTTGTTAGCCTTTGAAAACTTTTCGTACCCCTCGCGCATCGTCTCTTGCATCGATATCACTGATTTTGCGATTGCAAAGGACCAAGAAAGAGCCCCATCTCCAGGAGAAATACCAACAACATCAAGCTGAGCCCATACTTTGTTCGATTTTTTGGATCTCCCAACCATAAACAAGAGCCAAGGGATCAGTATGCTTGCTATTGCAACTGCACCAGCCAAGAATTGATTTACTGAGGCCATAGTGGATTTTCAAGGGAAAGAAAAATGTGTAAGACTTAGATTGGAATAAGAGGTAATGTCAGGAACAGGACGCGTAGGCTGATTATATAGCGCAAACTGCCTGTTAGAATGGGGTACAACATGGCATATGTCGGAGAGGAATTTAGTCACCTTAATCACCTAGTTGACTAACCAATTGGCTAGTTAGATGAAGGGAAAAAAAGGGCTCCCAGCGAGCGGCAGTGTACGCGGAAAACGACCCCAGTCATGCTCATTAGGATTTCCCTAAGATTTCTTTTCAGGACTTTTTATAAGTTGGAAGCACGCTCACTAGATTGTGGTGTTATCAATTTGTAATTGCCTTGACGAGTTAACCAGGTATGCATAACCAGCCAGTGACGAGATAGTCAGGCTGTATGTGCTGGGGTTTGCATCCATCACAATATGCATGCCGTGTATTTCTGCATCTGTAGGATTATTATGATCTAAAAAATGGAAAAGTATTCCATCGGTTGTTTTCACCCGGTATAGGCCGAATGCGAGGTAGTATGTATAACTGCAGGAAAGCAGGCTGATTATTATTTACTTTTAGCCGTTGACCAACTTGAAAGTCTAAAAAGTGGACCCGTCATCAAATTGACGGAAAAAGTGCTTGGATTACATAACAAGGTTTAATCACGTGACTAATATGAAGGCAGTGACCTTGTCTTACCTAAGGCCCTCGAGCTGTCCGACTTTCTCCATAATGTGCGGCTTCGAAAAGGCCCAGGCAAATAACAGTCGCGAAGTGTCCCATCCTCCATATCACCTTAGTCAATAACGGGGGGGGGTTGGATGGGCTCAAAACCATCATGGCATTCTATGATTTGAATATTCCGTATAATGAACCCAACGCACCGGGAATCGCTAATACATTGCGATTCTTATCTGAATGTGAGTTCCCCAATTGATCAGATACACAACTGCAGGAGAATATCAAGTTCATGTGTTTGTTTGTTTAGTGGGATACTCTACCGTGGCCCTTTCGCAATCGATAGCAGGAAAACTGCCTGCGACCGTGTCCCCGTTACCTCTACCAAGCAATGTTCCCCCGTCTCTCACCATCCTGACTCGATTAAATATCACACTCTCGGATGCCACACAAAACCAGCGCCTAGCAACGTTAGCACAATCGTACTCACTGGTTGCTATACGCCCTGTGAATGAGAAGGCGCTGTCTCAGGCTTGTAATAGCCTTGACTGTGATATCATATCTCTCGACCTATCTACACGGCTACCGTACCATTTTAAATTCAAAACCCTCTCCGCAGCAGTATCACGAGGCGTACGACTTGAAATATGTTATGGACCTGGAGTAACGGGTAGCGGGATGGAGGCGAGACGAAACCTAATATCAAATGCAGCATCGTTGATCCGTGCCGCGCGGGGCAGAGGGATCATTATCTCTAGCGAAGCAAAGCAAGCTCTTGGTGTCCGGGCGCCATGGGACATTGTGAATCTTGCGTGTGTCTGGGGGATGAAATCTGAGAGGGCGAAGGAGGCGGTAAGTGAGGAGGCAAGGAAGGTGGTGGATATGGCTCGGGTAAAGAGGACGAGCTTCCGCGGAACGGTGGATGTGATGTACGGAGGAGAGGGGGATGACGCTGGCGCAAAGAAGGCTGATCTGGTCAATAAACCAGGAAAACAGCCAGCCACTGTCTCTCTCGGCGCGTCTGATCGGGGCGGCGTGAAACGGAAAGCGTCCTTAAGTGGCCCTGAAGGTCCGAGTAAGCCTTCTGACGAGCCGCAACTATCCAAACGAGAGATGAAGAGACGGGCGAAAAAGGCCAGGTTAGCGAGCGCCAACTCTTCAGGCGCGTCTCTGGCAGCTTCATGACAGACTTACATCGATTCGATTCAGCCGTCCTCCGTATCTTACGATGGGACTAGGCTACCCATCCCATATCTAGCGTAGAATAGCCAGCCTGTGAAAGTCCATCTCCCTCTTCTCTCAGCCAATAACAAGCTCTTTCATGCATGTGGCCTGTATGATTCGCCATCACTGTAGCACAGTCACAGTATCAGCTCCCCTCCATGGCTACTCTAGGCGACATATATCATCTCGCCAGCCTCCCCCCTTCTCTCCAACGCAACCCTCTCTTCGCTTTCATCCCATCTTCTCTCAATATAACATATGCACGTGACAATCTCATGTGACTTGCTGATATTCTATGCTGATTGGTTGCATTATGAGAAGCTCTGACCCACTCACCTGACCAAAAGGAGGAAAAGAGGTCCGTGCGCTGCCTTGCAAAAACTTCGCCTTTTCCTCCTTTTCTCGCTTTCGCACCTCAATCTCAACATCAACTTCACGACGTCGCGTCTTCACCTCTTCAACCCCCAGCTTCTCTCCATCCGCCCTTCTTTCAACCCCTACTTATACTTGTTGTTTCGCGCCTCCAGTGACAGGTGGTGGCGTCACCTTGCGATCTATCTCGGACTTCTTCTCATCTTCCATCTCGACAAGTCACGCTTTCACTGTTCTGTTTCCAGGGTATCTTGGAATGCGTGTGAACAAGCCAGCAGAAAACATAACTTCCCCCCAGTTAAGGACCATTTTATAATTGTCCACCTGTCTTATTTCATCTTCTCTACGTGTTTTTCTTTTCTTTTCTTTTCTTTTTTCTTCAGCCCTGTTTGAATGTGTCGATTCGTCGTCACGGACTCGCTGCCCTGAGGAAAACGTACTGGAATTGCCCAGTTGAAAACAAGACCCTTGAGAGGACAAGAGAAAACATAATATATCTTGCTGCCTAAGCTAGCTCTTTGCCCTGCGGCTACATAGTTAGCCATGGCAGTGTCTTTGAGCTCGCCTGGGAGCTCAAGTTCTTCCTCTTTCGACCCATATTCTGAAAATGTCACAGATTCAAATTCACAGAACAAATCCCAAGCCGGAACACCCGGACAAGATGACAGCGATGTTGCTGCTTCCAGTTCCACTGTCGTTGCTTCAAGTGCTCATTCCAGCCAGCTTGTTTCACGCGGCCACCGTCTGGAAACCCCCAAGAATGTATCCACTGCTACTGAGATAACTACCTCTGCCACCAACAGTACCCAGTCTCGCCGGAAACGCAAACGCGGTGCAGCTGGTGACCATCCAGCAGGGACCCAGGTTTCAGATGCTCAATACTCATCAGAGTATGATAGCCGTCATTTTGGTGTTAAATCCCAATCAGACTCGCCATCGAGTTTCGTGGATGGCACAAAGCGTGTCAAGTTCAGAGATGATGTGAAGCCGGACTTTTCCGTCGATCCATCTATGGATACCATACCCGAGGATAAGTCCAAGTTACCAAGAGAAATATGGCAACACATTTTTACTTTTCTTCCGCCTGTTTCACTTGGACGTGTCTTGCAAGTTAACCGCACTTTTAAAGCTTTGCTTACCACTGGTCAGCCCGAGTTGCCCTCTGGTCGTGCAACTCCAGGCTCACTGAAATATGTTAATCCGGTTCATATTTGGTCCATCTCACGAAAGTCTTTCCATTCAAGCATGCCACGTCCATTAAGTCCTTTGTCAGAAATGGATATGTGGAAACTTATCCGCGGAACCTCTTGTCAATTTTGCAACAGAGCCGGGTCTGTTCAATCACCAGAAACTTCGCCCTTTGAAAGTGGACCGGGGGAGAACGGCGTCAGAATCATCTGGCCTTTAGCCGTTCGTTCATGTGGAGACTGCTTAAAGGCAAATTGTGACACTGTAAGTCATACTCGATTATTATTTTCCCTTATTTACCGTGTGTCGTCTCTTATGCGAATTGAAAAACTAATTGCCTTTATTAGGAAATGGACCTTCTCTTCTCCTCTACTCTGCCTTCAGTCTTGGTTCCTGCTCTTCCCTTTGCATTCTTAACAGCATCGCTGAATTATGTTTCATCTGTCTCTCTTCGTGGAAGTCAACCTCCAGTCGGCATGGTCCTGACCAAGCATTTTCTTAAATCCCAGGTTGAGGCATTAAAATCCAGATTTGGGGAAGTCAAAGCCCTAGGGCCTGCAGCCGCAGAGGAATGGATGAAAGGCCTTGATGGAAATGGCAAAGAAAAGATCGCTGACGCAGCGCGGTGGGAGCAGTGGGAATTAGCGGGCGGCCTTCGCAGTCTCAAGTCACCTCTACAAGCCCCATCTAATGGTACTAAGACACACTCTGCAAAACCTGAATCAGCTGATGCAGGCTCCGCACGTCTCCCTATCGCGAACCATCGTCCAAGTAATAGCCTCGGCGGCAATGCACCACCCACCAATTTAGGTATGTTATACCCTCCATACATTATTTCATCCCCTTGTTCCGGCTCTCGAGTTTTGGCTCTCGAGTTTTGGTCTTTTAATGGCTTCCTTTGATGTTATCAACCCGTGCTGTCTTCTTTTTACCCAGCTATGCTAGGGTAGTATAGCTATATTTACATCCTTTTTTACTGATAGCATGTCCTTTAGATACTGTTATTACCTCACGGCCTCGCAGCACTGGTGCGCAGCCCGGCTTCCCACTTCCACCAAACTCCCAACTTTCTCGAGAACGCAACCTGCGTCAGATCAACGAGGCAAAAGCCAGTCGTCGAAGTGAAATTGAAAGGCGATGCGCAGAACTTGATCCACCACTTGCTCCCGAGGTTATTAATCATATGGAATCGTTCACAGCTGCGATCCAGATCACACATCCATTTACTGATAGAGATTGGGAAATCTTGAAGCCTCGGCTTTTAGCCCAGCGCGAAGTTGCTGAACGTCGTGAAAATGAGCGCAAGCTTCATGACGCACTTCTGCAAGCAAAATCTGATGAGCGGCGTCACCAAGAGGCCCAACTTAAAGAGGCTAAGGAGCTACTTGACCGTGAATGGGAGGATGTCCAAAAACCAATCAAAGAACGGATGGCCGGCTATGCCGATGAGATCATCCGTGAGGGTTGGCGTGGAGGTGAAGGGGTCACAAAGGAGAAGTGCCCCAAGTTCGCGGCCGACGTCATTATGTATGTTCGGAAGAGATTCTTGGAAGATTTAGCCCAAGAAGATGCGCGTGCTCGTGCTGAAGGGAAGCCAATTGAAGAAGATCCTCCAAACGGCCCTCCTCGACGCAAAATCATCTTGGAGAACATGAAGTTCATATTTGACACAAAAATCAAACTACTCACTGAACAGTTCCAAAAGGAGCTGTTCTTGTGTAATGGTTGTGATAATAATGCCAAATATTACGGCTTCGAAGGTGTGATTCAGCATTACGCTGCTAAACATACCAATGTTCTCAGTTTAGGCAGTGTTGTTGTTCATTGGCGAGCAGAGTGGCCTGAGCGTCCTCCTTTCAACCCTGACCCTGCGTCTGCAAAGCTGCTCATGTATCCTATGCCGCGTCCGCATGGTGGGCAGCCACATATGGGATACACAAATCCTCAACCATCCCCTGGTCCATATAATAGAACACCATATGGCACACCCTATGCATATGGAACTGGTCCTTATAGACCACCTTCCCCCCAATACTACCCTCCCCCTCCTCCTGGTTATGGATTCTCTCCTCAACAGCCCTACCCTCCTGGCCCTTACGAGCATCAACACGCACCACCAAACCCGCCATACGGCTCACCTTTCCCTGGCCAAGCTTATCCGCCACCCTATGCTCCGGCAGATCCAGGGAGACACCCAGGACCACCGTATCAGCCGCCTTACAGCGGGCCAAGCCATCCACCTGGGCCTTACAATCCTGCTTACCCACCTGCTCCACACCATTCAAGGCCACCGGCTGGTGCTCACAAGCCTAATCAAGGCAGTCAGTCGTTTGGCCTGTACCAAACACATCTAGATGAAATTGCTAAGAATGCTCGAAGTGTTTGGAATGGCACCTCCGGCATCAAGGATCTTCCCCACAATGTACGAGCCCACGTTGTAATCCATCATGTTACCACTCGGTTTGTCGATAAGTTCGGACAAGAACCGGCACTCACCCTTTTCTCTGAAGGATTGAATTCCCATCCTCAAATGAAACCAATCAGAAATCTTAGCGGCTTGGTTTGTAAGGCATGTACTGATATGGCGAGCTCGCGTCGTTCTCGTCAACATGATTCCCGCAATGACCGAAAAATGTATCACCTTCCAGCTCTCTTCAGCCATTTTCAGTCCGTTCACATTGATGCAGCGGCACCTGATGGCACTCAGCCCGATTGGAAGGTACATATGCTATTATTGCCCGACAATGCTGTCATATCATCCTTGGGTCAAGCACCTGGCATGAACCAAGCAAAGTTCCATTTGATTACTTCCGCCTTTCCCTGGGTATTCTCACCAATCACTGCCCCAATTGCCCCGGCTCCAGTGAAAGCTGTGATAAAACCAAACAATCATGGAGCTTACGAGGCGAAAACCAGTGAACATACGAAATACCCTGCTGCAAGTCATAGTGGTAAGAAGTCCGCCAACCACCAAGTCCTCGAGGTTGCCGTGGATGACTTCCCAAGGTTCGTTGAATCTCCAGATGATCCGAAACAATTTGAGCCACCTCGGGATGATGAGTACGACCCTCACCGACCAGCATTTATCGAAACTGCAGCGGACCCCTATGCTCGTGGTGCCCGTGGAAACGCTGGACCTCGTGAAAAGATTCAAGTGAAACATCGTCAAATTGAAACGGTTCCCGGGGAGGAAACTGATATGCAGGCAGACAGTAGGCGTCCTCGTCAACAGCAGCAGAAGCACTCATCTCGGGGGAAAGAACGAGCTGCAAAATCTGGTGGTGCTGATATTGTGCCTCCAGCAGCAGGGAGCGGGACTTCGCAACCCGGTACAAATCGCCCTAAAAGCCGAAATGTATCAGAAGATGGTGAGGTTGCTGAATCCAACGAAGCCAGGGCTGAGGGAGGACCCTCTCCTACCGAAGAGATGAATGCAGCGGAGCACTTCCTGAATAACTTTGTTCCCGGCCAGGATCAAGGCGACTTCGCAACGACCTCGCGAGGATCCAATCCGCAGACACATGGTGAATCTAGAAGTAAATGGCCCAAAACGGCTCCTGCAGAAGAGCGAGAATGGCGTACCTCAACTAATTCTCACGCCGGCGTCGAAGCCGGTCATACAGCCCAACCAGCCCGTAGCGGGAAACATAATGGCTGGGCTGGACGTGGCAAGAGCCCTGCTGTCGGGCGTGAATATCGTGAATATGACCCAAGAGGCGAGGCATTCGACATGCATAGCGGCCCCCCTTCAGTTCGTGGGGATGTTCTGACACCTGATCAGACTGAAGCCCGCAGTCGAAGCCGTGTAGCTACCGCTGATGTGAAAGCTGGATCGGACGCCCGGGGTGGACGACCTCACAACAGGTTCGAGCGGTATGAAGCCCAGAGGCAAGAATCTCTTCGGCCACGTTCAAGATCGCCTCTGCCACAGGAACGGACTGCGGTAGAGTACTACCGTAATCGTAGCCCTCGAGCGAGACAAAGAGCTGCTGCTCTCGCCCCGTCTCATCCGCAGGAAGCCTATGTTGAACGTATCCCTATTGACCATCCTTCCTACGCCAGAGCACCACCACAAGGCCAGTACCGCTACGTTGAAGAGTATATCGAACCTCCTTATGAAGGTGCGGTGGAGTATGTCCCCGTACGTGTTGCGGCTCGGGAGCCGCAGAATGGAGGTCAGTACTACATTGAACGTCCGGTCCATCGTGGTGTTCCTCAAGAATACATTGACTATGATATGGAGTATGCTCGACATCCTGTTATCGAACAACCTCAGCATTACTATCATGGACCAAGCGCACGAGATATTCCTGAGGGTCCTCCAGTCGGTTCACGCCGCGCCAGGTATAGGTAACAAGACTTCTACTTGTTGCATATCTTTTATCTGGCCCGGCTTGAGTGAGCCTTTTTTAATTTTTGATGTTTTGTGTTTCATTCAATCACTCAGTGTATTAAAGAACGGAACTTGTATCTGTTCTTTTCTTCTTTCTCGAGTGATCGCTTCTCCAGTTTTTTGTCACGGTATTGCATTGCAGAACCAATTCTGCTGCGAACTCCTTGCTTGGCTTTTTTTCCTTTTATTTCTTTCTGTTGCCTTTCTTGTCACGAGTTATTACGAGGAACGTATCCTGATTTTCCACCAGTCAATCAGTTTACCCCTTTGCTTAGTATTTTGGACTTTCTTGTACCACTAATCTTGACTTTATTCCGCTTCACTTCCCCTACACTTTGTGAGACCGCTACCGCTAAACAAAAGTATATTGTTTCAAGAGCGCCATGCCCTGGTTGAGAATGCTGGAGATGAACGCACCGCTCATTTCCACATTTGTTGGTCTCTCTGTCTATTGGCGTGGGCATATTACCTACGTGCTGGGTCATATGTATGATACCTGGCTCAAGTGGTGCAGATATCTAACAGAAAGAAAGCTGTCCACATTGACCTACTTAGTCTGAGCCTGGTAGTTCCATTCAAGCGCCTCCTATCCGCTCATCAAATTTTGCTTTTCCTTCCGCCCCTTTTTTAAGTTGTGTTATTTCGGCCGCGGTGAAATGCTGTTTGTCGTATTATGTAGTTACGTTTTCTTTTTGCTGGTTAGGGCGGCTCTTCATCCGTCACTTACCCCCAAAAATAATATGTATAATCACCTTAAATTCGGTTCTCTGGATCCCTATGTTGCCTGTCTTGGTAGGCGATATGTCTAGAGATGGCTGAAGCCTGGAGCTCCTGCAGCGTCAGTGATGAATAAAGCCCTTACACAGCCTGTCTGCTTGGCCCGTCTTACTATGATTCAATGCACAAGGCACCTTGTCTGCGTAAATAATAACATAATTTAGATATGTTGCTTTGTTGCTGGTCCACCTCTGCCTGCCATTTGCAGTCAGGATTGTATACCATTCCATTGAGCGCCAGTTCAAATAAACAGGATGATGCAACATATCAATTTGAGCTGAGGGCGCAGAGGTATATCTGCTACAGGCAGGTTTTTTTTTATTTCGGTAGCTAACTATCGGAAATATAGAATAATTCCACGTGGGACTAAGATAAAAGATCATGTCCCTGATACCTTTATTGTTCCAATTCCCGTTCTTATTCTTATAATGGTATCTCGCTGAACAACGGTATACGACAATAACTGGTCCCAATAGAGCACGGTTCGTTATGTAGACCTCGACGAATAAATGTTATGATATCCGAATGGCTGCATATCTGCGGTGAACTTCTTTGTGCTTAGGGGATGGAAAAGCCTACATAAGTTTATCAGGGCGGATGGAACATAGGCGAATAATAACTTGATCCTTGCGCTTGGGGAATGTCTATATCACGTTCTACTATACATTATCCTAATATGCCTCAACAAACATCGAAAATCGCTAGTCGGATTTCTGGTGTCCCATTGCCCCTAGAGACCTTCTAGCCCAATTAAACAGAACCACGCACCGCCCAAGAAGGTTGCCGAATGCCAACGGCACCCCAAACTTATACCATGTGAGAGGTTGCAGCAGCTCCACCCTCGGCACTGGCATAATAGCATGGCACTCATCTTGTGAAGGTAGATTCCCGACAGGATTCCCAGTAAATTGTTCAATAGCTTCGAGTATAAGCCTGGCGGTATCTCTAGGATGGCTTAAAAACGGTGAATGGCTGGCCCGTAGTTCCCTACACTCCAAGCTCGCACCCATATACCTAGCCATACCAGCCTGCATTCGCTGTATGAAGAGCGGCAAACACTTGTCCTCCGCTGTGCCTATATACCAGCACGGCACATCCAACCAACCAGAGTAGGAGTGTTCGCCGCCTTCAAACAACGCTTTGAGGCTCTGGGGTTCAAGCTGAGAACACCAGTATTCGGCTTCATCTGCTGGTACATCGTGATAGAATTCTTCCCGCGGTGAGGCGACAATTTCGGCGAATCCCGTTTCCTTGTTGACGCGCCATAACGGAGGCGGACGTCCAAGGAAGGGATCCATGAACGCAAGGCCGGTGAAAGTGAAGCCGGACGCAATCAGAATGAGGCCGATGATATATCCTGGCCCTGAAGATTGTTGATCCTGATCTGTTGAACTGTCTTGTGGTCGAGTAAACCCTCTAATGGCACTGTTTCCTACCATGCCACCGTAGGAGTGTGCAAGGACCACAACATTACGGCCCTGGGTAGTCTCGTTTAATATAGCTGTTCGTGCAGCATCAAGGTCATCTTTGAATGTGGCTTCAGGGTTCCCTTGGGTTGATGGAAGAGTCACTAGGACACAGTTGAAATTTCTCTCTGAGAGAATGTTGGTGATCTTTTCAAAGCATGTGGGCTTGTGCCACGCACCGGGTATAAAAACAAGCGTTGGCAGGTAAGACATCCCAGTGACGTGGATATCGACATCAAACAAAGATTAAGATATATATATAATTTGTTATTCCTCCGTATTATTTGCAGAGATATCCGTTCGATCAACATGTAATCATGTCGTCTGGATCTATAAACTTTGGAAATTTTCAAAATACGGAGAGACCGCTGAGTAAGCAATGTTCTAAAATTAGTGATGATATAATCAAATAGGGCTGTTCACGTGAGCGGCCCGACCACCAGGTACAAGGGGATATCGAATGGTAATGTATCGAAGTCAAAGAGCAAGATCAACAGACGGATCATCATCAAAAAGGAATTCTGCTTTCTATTAAATAGAGATATACTGTCTAAAACAACCAAACTAAGGAGGCGCCATCAAGTCGTGAATTAGAAAGGAGGTCAGAAAAAAACGATGATAACCCGTCCCAAACCCTGTGAAGAAGATGAGAAGAAGACAAGGAAAAAAAGGTGCAGAAACCGGATCAAAGGCAAAGGGGAATCGAGCCAAGGAAAAGCAAGGTAGGCAAGGCAGCAATAACAAAGCGGGGGTTGAAAATGCAGTAGACAATATTATCCAACTCGCTGAACGGGGAAAAGGGTCACACAAAGATGACTGGGGCCAAGGTAGGAAAAGGCTGATTTGGGATGCCCCTCTATGTCGCAGAACACTAATAAAGAAGTTAAGAACTGGAGACTGACCCGGTGAACTGTGGAGGCTGTACTGGGCTCATCTCCATGCAGGGATATGTGTGAGTGCGAATGTATGTATAAGCCGCAAAAAGCATGTCACGCGACAGAGGCGACGAGGCAAGCGCGGAAGAGGGATAAAGATGCTGGCCCGGTGAAGACAACTGGCCGAGGATATGGGGGGGAAAAAGAACGAAAGGAAAAAGAAAGAAAAGGGAGCAAGGCAGTCCGTCCATTGATACCAACAGAGTCAAAAAAAAAAAAAAAATCCGAGTTCCGAAAGTTAAATGAAGGGAAACAAGGTGAACTCCACTCAAGCCAAAAATGAAACAAAACATTCTCTGACGTAAGGGAACGAGGGAAATGAGACAGTGTTCAGATGTGGAGGCGCAGTAGTTAGACAGCCCAGCTGCCTCTTCGCTCGGGAACGCCCCAAGAGTCGACTCCTCTGTCAGCCCCGGAGCGAGGCTGTTGTCTCGCCCATTCATGGATATACAGCTTCAACGCATTCCAGCGCACGCACCCAGGCGTGTTGGTGGTGGTTGTGGTATTGCAAGCACCGGTTCGACAGTCCGGTAGGTCGATGTAGCCCTTCGCGTTGGCGTGTTGGTCATCGCTCTGGAGCGTTTCGATAGGAATATTTGTGATTTTACTTAGCTCCGCATCAAAATCGCGCGCTAAGCATGGGTACCCCAGTGATAAATAGTTGTATATTTGGGTAACGAAACTATCATTGAATTCGGTCTCGATTTCACGCTCAAGGTCGGGATCGCATGTTTGAATGAGAATAGCAGGAGAAGGTGATGAGGCGTCGGGAACAGTGGTGAGCGTGACAAGATCGGGAGAGATTTCTTTAGAGGGCTGGAGGAGAGAGCCCAAAGGCGTAGGAGTTGGCGTAGGCGGAATAACAGGGTCCATTCGCTCCGGAGAGGGCGTCACAAGGCCAGACTTTTGCGGTGATGAGTTTTGTGAAGAGCGATCGCAGCTTGTCTGGCCACCCGACTTTCTCTTGCAAGTACCGTTCCAGAGCCCGACTTCGCCGCAGTCCGAAATATTTGTATCTGCAGACCATAGTCCACCGGCGTTGCAGTTACCCGCAGGTTTCTTGTTTTGGCTCGTGGCCGGCGTAGGAAGCTGGTCAGCTCCTATCAGTGTTGACTTGAGAGACTGGCATCGAGTGAAAACGATGTCGTCTCCCAGCATCGGGGGACTTGCGGCTTCACGCATAGGCGCAAGGTTTACCCCCTTCTGCCAGCCGCCAATGATATCGTAACCGCCCGTTTCAAGGCCTTCCCATTCCTCCTTATATCGTGCGGCAAGCGCAGCCGCGGAGAACTTGGATGTATGGTTAGATGCAAAGAGGCGTTCCCGAGACCTCATCTCCGACTCCTCCTTGTGCCGTCGCATCTCCTCCAGCTCCCAGGCGAGGTCAGCGGTGGACTCTCGCCGGAATCGAGACAGGTCAATCGACAGCTGTCTGAAGGCAGTTTCCATGCTGTCGTCATCGTCTTCGGAGTTGCTGTCCTCCCGGTCGATGGCAAAGTGAGAGACGGGTTGGTATACTTGCTCATTGGGGAAGGCAGCGAGAGCCTGGTCCTTCAGCTTCTCGGAAACCAAACGAGAGTGCAGGTTGTACATGTGATTGTCCGGATAGGAGCCGGTGTAGGAGTCAGGGCAGTGAACATGCACATTCTGATGGCTGCCTTCGTTGGAGAAATTGGTAGGGGAGGTCGAGAGCGATGAGGTTGGTGACTCGCCGGAGTTTTCACTGCTGGTCGAGGGGATGGCGGGGAGGTTAGGGACCTGGAACGACTGTCGTCTGCTCCCATGGCGTCGAGACAGGCTTGCGTAGGAATACCTCGACTCCGAATCTGTAGCTCGAAACCTAAGCGTATTGGCCGAGCAGACACTGCTGCTGCCAAAGTTCTGTCGGGCAGGGCTTCCTGCCGGGTTCTGGCGAAACGACCGTTTCCCAGTCTCGATAAGCTGGGGAGTGAACTTCCGCGGCGACTGCGACGTCTTTGTGGCAGCATCCCTTGACTTCTTTTGTTGCTGATCGGCAACCCCTAATCCTGCACGACCGGGACTCCCACCAACACCACCCCTCTGTTTGCCCTTAACACCACCGTCTACGCCCTGCTTGACAGCTTTTCGGCTGGTCTCCGTTGTCGTTTCGATCAACTGAGGCCGAAACCTGCTGGCTCCCTTTGACGCTGCTGTCGTCGTCGAAGCATCCCCTGTCTTCTTCTTCCCATCCCTATCCTTGGCCTGCGTGCGCGATGACGACGACGACGACGACTTGGTGGTCGACTCTATAAGCTCTGGAACGAACTTCCGTTTCGGCGGAGTACTACTCGCCGTCGATGCCATCGGGCCTAACAATAAAGAAAAGAAACGCAGCTCGAGCCTGATACCAGGATGGTTCGGTTGTGGGTGAGAAAGCGAGTTTTCCCCGGAATATATTTAGGGCTGTAGCTGCAGACGGCTGTCCGTAGCAATGCGATAGGAGTCCGCCAGGCCAGTGAGCAGCACCATTTGATGGAAACAAAGCAGGCGAGCTGAGCAAAGGTCGAGGTCTCAAAGGACTGGCGGGCGGGCGGGCGAGCGAGCGAGCGAGTGAGGTGTGCGCTATGAGATGGTGTGAATATTCGTCAAAAAGAGGTTGGAGTCGAAGGCCGGAAGAAAAATGACAAAGAAGGCGAAGAAGGAAAAAAAGAAAAAAGAAAGTTAAAAAAAGAAATAAAAAAAAGTAACCAATCAAAGAAAGGAAAAACAAGAAGATGGTCCGAGTGGAGACAGGGCACAAAAGGGGTAAGGCGCATTCCGGTTTTCTGCCGCCGGCCGGTGATTGGTTGAAGGCTTAAATAAGCAAGGGGAGCAAGGGCGCCTGTCAGACACGGTAGCGCGGTCACATGCAAAGCACGTGATAAACCCCTGGCCAGACCCGCCCAGCCCCTCTTAGCGCGTGCTCACCGCTTCCGGGAAGGTGGATGACTAAAGATAAGACGACACGTGATTGGCTTATCGATCGACCTTCTTATCTATGATTATGTAAGATCACATTTCGCATATATAAAAAAGACTCGAGCAGGACATTTTATAGTACGAAAGGGACAGCCAGGAGGTGAAGAAATATATATAGAAGTGCACAGTTGAATAGCAGGCCAGGGCAGAGGAGGTCCTCGTCAGGCTTCAGTCGTCGTCGCTGTCCATGTCCTCTGAGCGCCAGATGTGTCCTCCCTGCGCCGAAGACCGCTCATGTGCGTCCTCCGAAGCCGCTCCATCCTCGGAAGTCCGTGAAAAGGTGCTATCCTTGCGAGCGCGTGCATGCACTATTCCCGGGAATATCGCCTGCGCTGGCATCGAGCTAAAGCCGTGCTCCTGTGGCGTGCCACTGGCGGTCTGGGGCTTGCTCGAGTGCGCGTGCGACTCTACATCTGAGTGCGACGGATGGCGCCCAGGCGTGTTAGCAGCCACTGCGGGCGTCGTACTTCCATGTTCTGGAGCACCGCTACTGGGGTCTGGGGCAGCGCTGGAGGACGGGGCCTCATTATTATTATTGTTGTTGTTTTTCAGATAGGAGAATGAAGGAACCTTGGTTAGTGTCTTTGGGGTGTGGGTGTTGTTCGGTGTGGCGGATGCATAGCGGTCGAGCCTGCATATATAATCAGCCTTCAACACACAAACCTCCCACCATCTAGTCTCAACAAAATTCATTGCATGCAAAAAAGAAAAAGAGCAATTAAAAAAATAAAGAGCGGTGGGAAGAACTTACAGCGATAGTTCTCCGGTCAGCGTCTCATATCTAAACGCCTCTCGTAAGTCCGGCACGTTACTCTTCGCCATGTTGTTCCCCTCCAGCCCGGGTAGATGGCATTTACTCCCCAGCCAGCGCTGCTTCAGCGCCAGCTCGAACCCGCTCTGGTCTACACTGTGTTTGGCCAGCTCACACATGTCAACAGCACTAAGCTTGTAGATCTGTGCGGCAACGGAATATTCTTCGATCAGCGGTTCCTTGGTGAAGGCGAACTGGAGCGGATCGTCAGTGGAGAGCGAGATATTCAGGCCCTTGCGGAAGTAATTAGCGCACGGGTTCTTATCATAGCTCAGAAACAGTGCGTTGTTGCTCAAGGGTGACATGGCAATCGGAATCTGGTCGAGATAGAACAGGTACTGCAGCAGCGGCACTTTACGGAGCAAGATTCCATGTGAGATGCCCTGGCAGCACAGGAAGGCTGAGGCAAGATGGTCGGGGTCTCCAGCTTCTCCACAGTGCGGACGGAGCACAAACGTGTTGAATCCGCGTTGTTTTCTCCATGTATTGAGTGATGCCATGTTTGCAAACATGAAGTAGATCCAGTAGCTATAAGGCGGGTTCTGTTTAGTATCCCATTGCTTAGGAACGGGGAACTTGCGGTACAGTCTTCTCTCGGCCTTGCTCTCGTCGTCAACGCTGTCAAAACCAACCACACGCTGCAGGAAGATGTGCAGCTTCGGATGGCTGTTCGGATTCTGCGTGACTTCGAATAAGGGTTGGAAGACATTGCGAACAATGTCTTCAAAATTCCCTACCTTACCGCTCGACTTGAACACGTCATAGAGCCGAGGCACCTGGATTAGCCAGCGGACGTTGGGAGAGAAGAGCTTGTTATCGACAGCCCAGGCCGCCATTTTGTCCCATTCTCCCAGGGAGTGACCGTAGATGGAGATTCGCCATTCTGCCATCTGGTATTTACTCGACTCGAGGTCAGAAATTACCTCCTTAGTGATTTCGGCCAAATATCTCCCCTTGATATAATTATCCGTCTTGAGGAATATTTCTCGGAGGCGGGACTCTCCAATAGGGTTGTATTTGAGATTGAATTTGTCAAACCGGTGGAACGAATCCGTGTGTGCCTGGCTATGTTAGCAAAAGAGGAGACGTCAAGTTTGAAATTCGCCTGAACATACATGCATGTCCAGAGTATCAATACTCAAATCATAGGCTGTAAGATTGATGCTCTCAAAGACCTCCTTCAAGGTCAAGTGCTTTCCATCTCTGAAAAGCACCACCTCGTCCGGGCACTTCTTCATCTTACTCTTGATGAACCTGAGCAAATGTTTCTGGTTCATACATGCCGAATGATGCACGTGGGTATCAACCTTGCGGACGTTGTAGAAGTCTCGGTGCGGTACTTTCTTACTGTCCGCGAGTTCCTGGTACTCGTTCAGCAGCGTATGGAGCTGGAACTTACCCTCCAAGTAAGATAAGCGCTTGAAGGCGAATGACTTGACAGGGCCATCCGTAGACACATCAAGCACGCCGTCCAGATCCATGTAGAAATCACGGATGGAAGGGATCTGAATGACAGGCTGGTTCAGGTCACAGGCGGCTTTGGTTTCATAAACCTGGTACACACTGTTGTCATCCAGTTTGAAAGTCATGCTCGACGCTTCAGGCAACGGAAGCAGGTCGTCCATGTCAAAGTCCTCGCCGATATCCTGACCAGGCTTTCGCTTCTTCTTAGCAGAACTCGCAGACGGGGCTACATCTGATTCACCTTGCTTGGACCCTCCCTTTGCAGCCATGACGAAGCTGCTTGACATGCTCCCAGTTCCAAGCCGTTCTTTATCTTCCTCCCACGCTGGCTCTGGCGGAGGAGGGTAAATGACCCAACCAGGCTCATCCTTGGGATTGTCACCCGGTCGCTGGAACGAGAGTCGCATATACTTGTGTCTGGTATCCAGCAGCCCCTGTATCTTGCGGCATATGGCACTCAATTCAGCTGTGATTGCCCCATCATTAGGCGCATAGCCTCCCATGGCATATGGTATTCCAGTCCCAACGCTCATGCCAACGTTTCCCTGAATAGCGCTGTGTGAGGCATCACCAGGCATGCCCACCGCTGGCAGGACATGAGCTCTAGCAGACCGCTCGGCGATGCTGATACTGCTGTCTCCTCGCCGCATTTGCTGCGAGTTTGCAGGAGGAGTCGATGTCGCCGAGTACGACGGCCCAGGTAGCATGCTGCTAATCGACTCGTTATCGAAGTTACTTCCCGACGTTGGGCCGTGGTTAGGTAGGGCCGGGATTGATCGTGCAGGAATATCAGGGCTCTGCGGGATGTCACCATCCACACTGCGGGAGGCAAGCTGGTGCCTCTGGTAGAAAAGCCGTGCCTCTGCATGGCTCATTGACTTCTCGTACGCATAGTCGTAGGTAGCAGTCCGTGCCTGGCGATCTCGCGGGAGGATGGGCTGCTGCGCTGCCGTACTGGATTCAGGCGCTTCGTCCGCCGGCGGGGTTGGCGCGTTCTTCTCCATGTTTTGTGAGACGGCTCGAGAGCACAAGAGGTCGCCCGTCTGCGAATCTGGCGTCACTGATCGAGTGACTGTGGTAGAACCAGGCCCGTCAGCGAGGTGTTGTAGTTGCAGCTGTTGTTGTACCTGTCGAGGCTGATGGGCCGAAGAGTCATCACGGGCCCCAAAACTAACTTATTTGTCGGGGAGCTCCGCAACGGCCGTTGTTGGCTCGGCCATGGCACGTCATAGGCCGACTATCACTAAGTTTCCCGTAGGGCAACACTTTGACTCTCGAGCAGAAACAACCACGGTATTAATAGGAGATATATATGTTAAAAGGCCTACTTCTATTGTTTTTATATCTTCAAGCGCTTTTTATCCCGAGATCGCGATCTCCGTTGATACATAAATCGGGTTTGGTGTGGACTAGAGAATCTGCTGAGAACTCTCCATCACACTTCACCCTCAAGTTCTCAGGTTCAATGGAAGAATCTATGGGGTCTATAGAGAGCATTCTAAGCTAGGAATCACTAAAGAGACAAGAAAAAGGCCAAAAAAATATACATACGAAAGTCAGGATTCGCTGGTGGTCACCCACCCAACTACTAACCGACCGGCAAGTGGCTTAAGTACAGCTGAGCGGACGGGAAGCTCTGTTTTCCACTTCCTGTGTTCGTATGTACCGGACTGTTAGTTAAGAGGGTTTAATATGGGGCAGTTTCAGTGATATGATTCTCCGTATAATAAGCTGTTTTCCATTATCTGTATATTCTCCGTATTGTACTAGTTATCCGTGGCACCAAGCATACCAACAATCTAGCCAAGACAAAGCCATGCGATCTTGAGATGAGCAAGTTAAGTCCAGAAGAAATCCGCTAGACTCAGTCTCCAGTCGTGCGAGACATAATGATGACCCCCAAACATACTTCATAGCCGGTCAGACGCGGATATTCTTATCGAAGCTTTCGAACACCTTAGTCAGGTTCTCGATGTTGGGTTCCTGAGTGGTGTCGACCTCAGCTTCCGAGACCACTGAGTGGGAGTTCTTGTCCGCCATTTTCTTTAAGGAAGAATCATCGGCGTTCTTATTGACTTAAACCTTAAGCTTTATAGTATTCGGCTTGCCGTGAACCAACTCCCCTTTATCGATCCTTAGGCCAATTTGCCTATCAAGATTAGGATTCTGGGGCGGGAAAACTCGGGTGCCGGCCCCATCGGTAGACGGGTTCAAGATGCGCTTCAGTGCTGATTGCGACTTTTCCGCGCGCTCGAAAATTTTTTGTAACCCTCTTCGGATAGCACTGGCCATTGCTTTTGGTTCGAAGAGCCAGGAGTCAATGCTAAAAAGGCGGGAAGTTTGAAAGGACTGGATCTTGTGAAGCCCTAAGAGAAAGTTAGAATCAACAAACAATTGAGGTAGACGTTAACACGCTTGCCTTGATTTGGGATTATGTGATGATATAGCTAGGAGAGGATGTTGGATGAATAAATCACTGGAAGTGCTGGGTGACGATGGTCTTTATGAACTCATCTCCAACCAACCGTAGCCTCATCGCAACCCAACACGGCTGGTTGCGCAGGGGTACGCTTAGATATCACGTCTGCTCCTTGCGATGTTGCCTGGAGCACAAGATTGGCTATCCTAAAATAGATGAATGATGAATGACGCTAGAACCACTCAACAGCAGCTGCAAGTCAAAGTGCTTCCACTGAGGAGCCGGATATCTCAGCCATTGCAATCAAAGCGGAGGACTTCACAGGTCATGGTCAGCAGCTGTCCAGCAACTGCCGAAGCGTGCAGGTAGTTATTGGACAGCGGAACCCGGCCCGTCGCAACACATACCAGGAGCACGCACGTCGAATCGATCCCCTGCTGCATGCTTTGGCCTGCAAGCGATTGGGCATGGACACTCGTAAGATGGTTGTAATGAGGTGATGAGGTGACGAGGTGCAGCAGTCGCTCCAGTCGCTCCAGTCTGGCTCTCCTATGACAGCGTCGTGGCTGCGCACCTTGAAATTAAAACAGGGGTGTGTTCCGTATTAAGTTTGGCGCTCCCTTGCGGCGCTTAACTAACTAACGAGTTAACAGTTAACTAAGTTAGTTAGTTAGCTTGGACTGGAGTGCTGACTGCAACAAGTTACCAAATTCAAAATGGACAACCAAGAGTCCACATGATCCATTTCACATAGGGATAAACACGCACTTATTTGTCCTGACTCCCCCGTACCAGGTTTATCTGTATGATGATGCTGATGTGACCTTGGCCGGATCAATGTCTTTTCACCGCATACGGATTTTTCGACTTCCGTGTATTTATTCTCCAAGATCACGGCGAGCAATCGCGCCAATGGTAATGAAACGCGCATCCTCTACGATGAAATACGGTATGACTTCTTGAGGCCCATTAATCTGTCTCAAGTAAGATCCTGACATTTCCTAAAGACAAATCGGACCACTATTACCGCTATACTGCTGGACGCTGGCTGTTCAATGAGCCTCAGCAACTTGAAGCTCGCTATGTGCGGTTCAATATAGATGCACTGGCAGAAATCGCTGCAAGCTGCCTAGGCCATGACCCTGCATCATGCGTCAAAATTGAGAAGATGCCTGAAGGAAACTTCAATAAGAGCTTTCTATTGACTATGGCCAATGGCTCTCAAGTCATCGCGAGGGTTCCCAATCCAAATTCCGGTTTTCCACATTTCACAACTGCCAGCGAGGTCGCTACAATGGACTTCGTATGTTCTGTCGTTGTTACCCTTTTGCTTCAGAAGGTCTATTATCCTGATTATTTATAGGCTAGAACTAAGCTTGGTCTACCAGTTCCCAGGGTGTTTGCGTGGAATTCACAGGCATCAGAGAACCCAGTTGGAGCAGAGTATATTGTCATGGAGAAAGCAGCAGGTTCTTCCCTTGCGCAGATCTGGCCGCGTTTGAGCAATGAAGAAAAGAGGGAGATCATTCAAGCTATGGTTAGCTTTGATGTTAAAATGCTAAATCATCCCCTTGGTGGCATTGGCTCTTTGTATTATCCAAGGGATATCCCAAGTGGGACCAACCAGCTACCAGCTCTAGGAATGAATGATGCTTGTGGTCGTTGGGTCCTTGGACCTACCACTGACAGACGTTTCTTTGACGATGGAAGAGGAGAGCTATCCCTAGACCGTGGCCCTTGTAAGTTTTGCATTCTTTCTTACTTGCACTCCCATTTGAATCTAACGGAGATATCTTAGGGAATACTGTAAAAGAGTACTTAGCTGCAATCTGTGAGCGTGAAATGAAGGCCGTTCAAAATCTGGACCGTCCTCTTCGATCAGAAGGAATTGTTGGCCCTGGGGGTTATCAACCCAATCGTGCTCTCAAGCTCTCAGTGTGCCGCGACTTTCTGAAGGTGGTAAATCATATCCTACCGCCTGAGGCTTGTCTAACACCTGTTCTGTGGCACAAGGACCTACATCTAGACAACATCTTTGTGAATCCTGAGAAACCTACAGAGATTGTCGGGCTCATTGACTGGCAGAATGTCCACGTTTCACCTCTATTCGACCAGGTCACGCACCCTGCATTCTTGGACTACAAGGGGCCAAAACTCGAAGGCCTCAAGACACCATGTCTGCCAGAGAACTTTGAAGAGCTCGACGAGATTGCAAAAAAACATGCAAAGGAATTACTTGTTGCACAGACCCTGTACAAGTACTATGATCTTTACTCAGCTTCTATGAACGTACCGGCTTACCACGCACTGAGATATCAGGAAACACTGCAGGGAGAGATCATTACTCTCATTGGCATGATCTTAAATGATGGAGAACCAGCCCTGCAAGGGCTTCTAATGAAACTCTCCAACAAATGGGATCAACTCATCTGCAGCAAGGGAGGACCTCCATGCCCTCTACAGTACTCGGCTGAAGAGATCGATCGCCAGCCGGAATTGGAGGCGAAGTGGGCAGAAGGCATAGCGCTGATGGACGATGTGCTAGAGTCACTGGGGGGAGCTATTCGTGGATGGGATGGCTGGGTGAGCCATGAGGATTATGAGGCACTCCAGCAAAAACTTGAACTTGTTCGAAAGCAGTTCATTGAACACCTTGCTGGGGACGATAAAGAAGCTGCTAAGGCTTGGGCACGGGCTTGGCCATTCCAATGAGGTGCTGCGTAAGTACTGCTACTAATTGTACTAAACATTCCTGTTTTCACCAGAATCCAACACGGTATGGAAATCCTATGGTTTGCAATGTTTTGTCAAAGCTCGCAAAATATAAAGTTTAGAGTTTTATAGCGTGTTTTTTTTTTGAAAAAAAAAAAAAAAAAAAATCCACGTGACATGTTTACACTATGCTTATGTAATCTTAGAAACAGCGTGACGTGATTCGACTTCGACTTCGACCTCAACTCGACTTCAATTTCACTTCATCGTTATACAACGGCTGGCTCGTTATATAGAGCTATACTTCTAGCTTATCACTTGAGAATACACACGGAGTATGCGATGGTTGAGGAATATTACACTTTCGAGATGGGTTGCAACACCTAGCCACACGGCACCGAAGGCCCAAGAGTGTATACGGGACTGAACTGTGAATGTATTAAGTACAAATAAGGGGACGGGCCGCCAAAGGATCCTGACGGATGCTCCTAGTTTGCCCATCCCCGACACATTTCCACAGCCTTTTCCCAGCGAGAGAACCGTTTGTTGGCCTCTTCCCTTTCAATGCTAGGATTAAAGGTGGTTTGGCCGTCTGTGTTGACATTTTGGAGCTCCTCCAGGTTGCTCCATACCCCAGCGGCAATACCTGCTGCAATTGCAGCACCAAGGGCTGTGGTCTCTCGCATCTTGGGGCGGTTGACAGGGATGGAGATCAAATTTGCTTGTGTCTATTGACCTGTCAGCACCAATCTCACAGTCTAGCGAAGGCTTTGTCCGGATATGGAAATTGGCACGTACCTGCATTGTCAAATCGCTGGCACACATTCCTCCATCAACAGCTAGCTCAGTGAGCTTATGTCCGCTGTCTTTCTCCATGGCATCGAGGATCGCCTTGGTCTGGAAACATGTCGCCTCAAGAGTTGCTCTGGCTACATGGCCTCGTTGAGTGAATGTTGTTATCCCAAATATCGTGCCTCTCGCATCATCGATCCAATATGGAGCAAACAATCCACTAAATGCTGTGACAAACACACATCCACCGCTGTCTGGTACTGTCTCTGCCAAGGTTGTCAAATCCTTCGAGCTGTCCATGAACTTGAAATTGTTCACCAAAAATTTGACACTGGACCCGCCAACAGCAATGCTTCCTTCGAGTGCATAGGTGAGCTTTCCACCTTCACCTCCTCGGAAGTCAAAGGCTACAGTTGTTAGCAATCCATGCTTTGATACTACCGGTTTCTCGCCAATATTATACAGAAGGAAGCAGCCAGTCCCATATGTGTTCTTGGCCTTTCCAGGCGTGAACCCCTTTTGGCCCACGAGCGCAGCAGATTGGTCTCCTAAGCAGCCAGTTATGGGGAAGCCCTTGAGGGCAGAGATCGCCAATTTGCCATAAGCCTTTGGGTCTGCTGAGTGTACAATCTTAGGCAGATGGATCTTGGAAGTGTCAAGGCGGAAGAAGTCAATCAACCTCTCATCATATTCCACCTTCTCAAGGTTCATAAACATGGTTCGCGATGCGTTTGATGGATCCGTTACAAAGACACCTCCTTCCGCGCCACCGTTTAGCTTGTAAATGAGCCAAGTGTCGATGGTGCCGAACGCAAGTCTTCCCTCATCATATGCCTCCTTGACTTTAGGAACGTTATCGATCAGCCATAACACTTTACCGACGGATGGATAGGTGGACAGTGGTAAACCGCAGATCGGTTGCAGCTCTTGGTGGCCTAGGCGGTTTTTTAGTCCGCGCACAAGACCCTGTGTGCGGGTATCCGTCCAAACTATAGCATTATACAGCGGCTCGCCCGTCTCCTTATCCCATACTACTGTGGTCTCCCGCTGGTTAGTGATTCCAATCGCTTTGATAGAATCGATTTTGTGTCCCTGGGTTTCGAAATCGGCGACGGCGCCATCTATGCAAGCAACAACGGATTCGACGATCTCGTTTGGGTCATGCTCATGCCATCTACAATATGTGAGGTTAGCGCGTTTGCGAACAACAGAACGAGAAAGAAATATGCTACACTTTACCCTGGTTGAGGATATATCTGACTGAACTCCAACTGATGTGAAACAACCACCTCTCCGTCTGTGTTAAAAATAAGAAATCTCGAACTTGTTGTGCCCTGATCAATCGATCCGACGAACGACTTTCCATGTACAGCCATTGAACCGGACTATGTCATGTCAAGCACCTGGGCAGTTGGAGTAAGGGCGGCGAAAAGGGGTACAAATAACTAATGAGGGGAAAAATATACATGTGGGACATGACAGGTGCCTCTTATCTGTCAAATAGACTCCTGGGCCCCCGGACTTGGGGTAACCTAGGACATTCCATACATCGCTTACAAGTAAGTTTAGTAGGATGCATCTCGGCACATACTTCTGCTGGTGATACCGCGGGTTGGCGGGCGAAACTAAGTATGTTAAAATGTCTCGGCCGCAACGGGGATTCCCGATGAACCATCAACCAAAGCTCGCATTTGCTCCGTTCCAGCGCAGCTTGACTTTATCTCTGTTACGCAGCGATGTTTTTGATATATCCATGGAAATGACACCCGTCCCATAATCGATTTACCCCAGGATCTGGATGTTTATCAACATGGAGAAAATGCGGAGGTGCTCACGACAACTCCCGTTGTTCACCAACGAGTGGCGTGATCGACGCCTTAGCGACAGGGGCCCCCTTGTCTAGTGCAATCTTTAATTTGCGCAGTCCAGACAGGACATCACGCATGGCATCAGTTTTTGGCACTGAATCAATCGGATTTAGCCTTCATGCAGTACAGACTCTGTTGGTGCGACTCTGTGCTCCGTGACTTCGAAGGAGGATTCGCCAGCTCTATACTAGAATTTTATGCTTTTGGTCGGTTCCGGCCGACCCTTGCGCTTCACCATTGGAAGCAACCCTACGATGGATGGAGGACGGAGAGCAGGTTCATGACCGGACCAAAGGACGATGCAGCTGGCTAAATTTGTGCCACTGTTTATTGAAACGAAAGTTGACCACGGCAGGGCAAAGCATGGCATTGCTCGGGGGATACAAATCCTGAATGGCCATGCCGATAGTATGCCAGGATCCTTCTTTCTGCATTTTTCTTCATCCCTCTGTATAAGATCGTCGATCTGCCCGTGGGGAAAATCTGCAGAATCTTGTGCAATCACCCTTCTCTCCCGTGGATCATCTACTCTTTCTAGCGGAGCCTTCCTCCCCTAGTTCTTTTCTATCTCTTTCTGCGGTTCTTCTATCCGTCAGCTTGTCTGCTTTCCATACATGGACATTCCGGCAGTGAGTGAGGGTTGGACAATTAAGCCTGTGAAAACCGGGATATCTTCCTCCCATACCTTGCATACCGAGAATATTGGGACCATTTCTCAAGGAACCACCGAAAAGGAACTCAGTAGCCCTTCCTTGGATGGAGTTCATTCTAATATCCACGGGTTTTCCGAGCCGTTGAACGCCCAATTCACTCCACGTGTTGTTATTGAGCATGAACCTCAGCCCGTCAAGGAATTACTATGGACCAAAATACGGACCAAACTCCGCGAACCCTTTGCTGAATTCTTCGGGGTATTCATTATGATTCTCTTTGGTGACGGCGTTGTTGCGCAAGTGGTTCTAAGTGATTCAAAGAAAGGAGACTACCAATCGATATCGTGGGGTTGGGGGTGAGTTGAAGCTTTTTTACTTGTAGACAAAGGACACCTTAAACACATACCAGGAACCGTCTCGCAGAACTTATCTGTTCATTCTGACAATAGTGTTTCAATAGCCTCGGAGTTATGTTAGGTGTTTACTGCTCCGGAGGGATCTCTGGAGGTCATCTTAACCCTGCAGTAACATTCGCAAACTGCGTCTTCCGGAAGTTTCCTTGGAGGAAGTTCCCTATCTACACGTTGGCCCAGTTCCTTGGAGCATTTTGTGCTGCCGGTGTCGTTTACGCAAACTACAAATCCGCCATTACGACCTTCGAAGGCGGGCCCGACATCCGAACCGTAGGGTTGGACACCTCCACTGCCGGCATATTTTGTACTTACCCAGCCCCATTTCTGACTAAAACAGGACAGTTCTTTTCGGAATTCATTGCCAGCACGATTCTGATGTTTTGTATCTACGCCATGGCTGATGATAAGAATTTAGGAGCAGGAAATTTAATGCCCCTTGGACTGTTTTTCCTCATATTTGGTATTGGTGCTTGCTTCGGGTGGGAAACGGGGTACGCGATCAATCTTGCTCGTGATTTTGGGCCACGGTTGATGTCCTATTTCCTCGGATATGGACGTGAAGTATGGTCAGCTGGAGGATATTATTTTTGGGTGAGTTACTTCTAATCCTAATCAGTTCCACTCTTGTCATGCTTGAATCCACTATTGACTCAAATCAAGGTACCTATGGTCGCTCCGTTCTTTGGTTGCTTATTCGGTGGCTTCCTGTATGATGTCTTTCTATACACCGGCGAGAGCCCCATCAATACCCCGTGGATGGGTCTAGATCGCTTTATCAGGCCTAATCGGGATGTGTGGTCAAATACCAAATCCATAGACGGAAGAGTGTGACACAACCTGGAAAGATGCAAATATATGTAATCAGGATTTATTATCTTCTCCACTACGGCGGTTAACTAACGATATTAGCAAAAGAATTGACACGCAAAAAGCATTGTGATTTTATGACATTGCGTCTCTCAGTAAGGAAACTTAGAGGTGCCAAAAGTATCTGTTGCTCGCCTATACTATCCTCAAGCAGCTTTTGATCTGTCTTCCTCCCTGTAAATGGCCGATAAGAGGGGTAAATACGTACCCCGGTCGCTTCCCTGACAATACGACTGCATGAGATATAGATGAGGGGGGTTGCCGAGCCGTGCCATCGTATACTTTATCAAGCTACATCCTTAGGAAGCGCATGGCCCGAGGTAGATGAAAATGAACAAAGCAGAGTACACTCGAACATGTGCACGTCCATAGAAGAGGTTCAGCCAGAAAAAGGAATAATTGGTGCCGGGCCTAGATTTGTATCCCTATGCATGGAGCGAAGGAACAACAACGGCGTTCACGTATTTGGATTTCACACGGTTATCAACTGGTTGGTTGGCCAGAAAATCGAAGTTGAATTTGTGGTAACGTCTACCAAGCACGGATACGAGCCGTTGGTGATCCTACAATGTAACGTACTATCGAATCTCAAGTATAATTTCAATGAAATTTCACCCAAGCAAAATCAAAATAATAACGGCTCGAGTCCCCGTAATGCCCAAGGTAGGAAGTCAGCTGGTTGAGGCTGAGCGTCATGTGATTGGTGGGTCGAAAATCGCCAATTTCAACGTCGATTACAACTTCAACTCCAGCTTCAACTTCACACCTTGAGGATACAGAGAGAAATGCTAAATAGTCCTGGTACTATTTCCTAACTATACCCTTGATATATTCTAATTTTACGTGGATACTGTTTTCTAGGTTAAGTTGAGCTCGTTCCAACCTAGAAACACACGTTCCTCTTTCAAGTCCAATGCCGTTTGTCAAAGTCCATGGATGAATGAATTTGGGCCAGCCGATATTCACGGTAACTTCCGCCTCCCGGACTTTAGTGGCTCCAGATAATGGTTCAGAATTTCAAAACAATACCCACCACTTCGTTTCTTACTCCTCTCTCCAAGTTATTGTTTATTTTTAAGGAAAATCAACAATACGTACCATGCCAACCCTTAAACAGCTAACCTGTCATATCGAATGGGCTAACTGTAGCATACCATTCAAAGAATATGGCGTCACTTATCGAGACGGGTCTGTTGAATGCCTTATTCCTGTGCAGCCCGCTTCGACACCATTCTCTATCAGGCTCACTTCCAGTGGCTACATTGCACCTGGTTTGGCCATGTTTGTTTATATGGATGGCGTCTACCAATGCAACCGCAACAGGGATGATCTTATTTTTAAAAAGGGGTGTAAAGGTAAGACGAAGGTTAGAGATGTCAATTTCTGCGTCCGCCAGAAAGAGGAACGCCTGCAGGACGGGAGCTGGATAGGAAGGCCCTGGAGATTTGAGCCGCTCCAAATAGGTAACCATATTGAATTCTCTGGTTCTGGATCATGGATGTAATACTAATACACCCTCTAGTACAACTTATGCCGGGTATGCCAGAAGTCAACAAATATCATTTCGATAACTTAGGCGAAATATGCGTTGTTGTTCTTCGATGTGAGTCACGAGACGACCAATCCTCATTTGAGGGTTCTCTCACTCCAGAATCAGCTATGGCATTTGGGCCAGATTTGGACGGTAAGATTGCTCTATCCCTATAATCGAAATTCGACGATAATTCTACCGTAAAGCTGACGTTCACAACCTTACTGCAGATTTTCAAAGCGTCTCTAGCGATGAATGCCTACTCAATCCCATTAATACAGTCAAAGAAAATGATACAAGTTGTGGGTTTATGGGAGGATTGTTTGACGGGGCAAATGACACTAGGCACTGGGAGAATAATATAAGTTGCTGCGAATCTTGCGATCATGATGAACCTAAGACTCGTCGTGAGAGCCGTGGCCACTGTCATGATAACCAATCGTCCATAAACAATAGGGATTCCAGACGACGCCATCCAAATCCTGCGAGGTCACAACCCCAGTGTCGAGTCCACTGGAAAGATCAGCCTGAACTAGAGCAGGAATCAGACTGGGATAATGGATGGGAGTCGTATGATACAGAGTCCACTGCAAGCTCCGACCGTGTCTGCCGAGGATATAGATATTATCGATCAAGTGGGCCTACCAATCCGATCCCTAGGCAGGAAGCTGGGGAATCTGATAGCCCTCGTTCTTGCATGCGTGAACATCGCTCTAAGCCAAGACAATACCTCCCTTACAGGGCAACACAAGATCAAAGCTCCAGATGGAAGATTCGGAAAGGTTCGGGGAAACTAGCTTCAGAAGAGCCCAAGGAACCCCAGAATCTCTTATCTGAAGAAATACACAGCGGTACCCGTGGATGTGCTCCTTCCATTGTTCTCAATGTTAACTCAGCCCAACCGGCACAGGAGGTGAAACCAGTAATCAATCATACTTGCCACCAGTGTGCTCACCCAAAGTGTTGTGTGACAGATGATACCACAGATGATGGCTGCTATATAGTTTCTAACAATAAACGAGTTAGCAGACGCTGCCACCATCATAAGCGGAGCCGTAATCATTGCACGCACGGAGAGAAAAGCCGAGAGTCAAACAGCCATGATAATACCCTATCAACGAATGCCGATACTGGTGCAGGAAATAAAGACGGTGATTTAAATACCTCAAATGAAAACCAGGATAATAATGGTTCATCCTGGGATAATGATAATGATCAAGGTAATTCAAATTGGAATAATGACAACAATGGGACTTCTGCTGGCTGGAATAACCAGGACAATCAAAATAATACTACGAACGACAGCTGGGATCAAGGACAAGGAGACCAACAAAATAATAATGATAATACAGACGATTGGGACAAAGGCAATACCAGCTTCGATTCTAATGCCCAAGGCCAGCAACAAGATACTTCCTGGGACAACGGCAATAAATCTAATGGCCAAGAGTGGATGGCACGAGATGTAACAACGGGTAATGGCGATGCCCCAGCAGCTGGCTGGCTAAACAATAATTCCAGCGACAACCATGGGAACAATAACGATGGCCAATGGGCTCCTATGGCTAGCCCAAATAATGGATATAACAATCCTCAGCCAGGTCCATCAAGCCCACCTACGATTCCAGTCCAAGCTCAGGGCCCAATATGGGAGTCCCCACCACCCATCCAAAGAGTTCATACGCTAATTACTCCGTTTTGTCAGGGGCCAGAAGCTAGTGAGCCTCCGTTATATACTGTTCCTGAGCAAGTTGCGCAAGAAAGATCGCTATCTCACCAAGTGCAGGTTGGTAGATCTTCAAGGTACTCTCATAAAATCAAAGTACCACAGTATCTTGATACAATGGAGGAGCCTTACGCAAAATTCATTTTCAAATATCGGGTCAAAGGCAAGTACACTTCTAAAAGCACTCTTTGCCGCCAGCATACACCTAACATATGCTTGACCAGGTGTTGTTGAGTCAGAGATTGGCCAGCCAATTGAACGAGATGTCGAAGCTGAAAGAAAACTTCTCGAGTCTCTTCCTCGAGAAGAGATTCTAAAGCAACTTTTCCACGCTCAGGTATGGAATTCTGCACTGCCAGATTTAATACAAATATTGACAGGCATTTAGGGATTACTGGCTGCTCAAACTCTTGGGCAACCAATGGTAACACCGGCTCAGGGGCAACCTCAAGTCTCCAGCCCACAGCAGATCCAGCATCAGCACTCCAATTCAAACAACCAGCAATATGCTCCGGCTCAACACCAAAGTCCCCCTGGGAGCAAAAATGGTCGCGTTCACTACTCCAATCATGGTTCACAGTCCGGCCCTTCGCATTGGAATAACGCTCCAGCTCAGGAGCAGGTTTTCACCGTCCCATCAAAGCTCACGGGCTACAATAATAGGGCGAGTAATCCTCCTAAGAGTCCCCCACAGAACAATAACTTGGCGGCTGCCCTCACTACTGGTTTACAGAATGTTCAACAACAGCAACAACAACAACAGAGTTGGTCCAAGGGCAGCAATGATGCTCCTAGCTGGAACGCCCAGGCTACACAGGATGATTCCGGTGGGAAATGGTGAAGAACCATAGGGACTTCTCTATTCTAGGCCGCATCCTGCTGTGAGTTATTAAGATTCAAGACCCAGGTGTTGGTTGGGTTGTCTCTACGTATTTTAGCGATGTATCACTTAGTTCAACATATCATAGTCGTATTGAATCACTATGCTATCCCCAGCTTTGAAACTAGTTAATTAACAGCTCATGTAGGTCACGTAAAATATTCCCATCTTTATGCCCCGCTGCCGTTGTAAAGAAGCTTGTTGGTGGTATTGAAGCCGGGGTTCTGAATAGTTGGATTGGCAAGCTCTTTGAGACGGCCACAAACTTTCTCGGGAGCAAGACCTTCGGTAGCCATGATAAGTCCACCAACGCCGCAGACATGAGGAGTTGCCATCGAAGTTCCAGACATGAGTCCGGTGAGGTTATGGGGTAAGGTGGATCGGATGTACTCTCCAGGCGCGAACAGGTCGACTGCCATCATTAACGACGTTAGCTCCAATAATACAGAAAACAATGCAGGGCCAAGACATACCGAGTTCTCCGTAGTTGGAAAAGATTGCTTTGGTGTCGTTTCTGGTACTTGCACCCACCGTACAAACTTCAGGGGCGGAGCCAGGCGAATAGAACTCGGCGTTCGTAGCTTGGTTACCAGCAGCAACAGCGATGAAAATTCCTGCTTCTTGTGCACGTACTGTAGCCTCGTTCACAGCTCTAGAGCGTCGAGTTTTGAGACTTATATTCATGACAGACTTGCCGAGGCCGCGTTCTTTGGCATCGTTGATAGCCCAGTTAAGTCCGTTGATGTATCTGGTTATATCGCCATAACCATGGCAGTCAAGGATTTTGATGGAAACGATGGACGCTTTCTTGAGGATACCAAACTTCTGGCCTGCAACAGTGCCTGCAGTATGAGTTCCGTGGCCGTAACAGTCGGTATCTACGTTGTCAGCGAGATTGATACCCCAGCGAGCATGGCCAGTGAAGTCAGCCTGATTGATGTCGATGCCGCTGTCAATCCCGTAGAAGGTAATATTCTCGCCCTCTCCATAGGTAGACACGTAGTCATGGCTGAAGTTCTCTTTGTGAGAGATACGGGCAAGTCCCCAAGTGACATTGCCTTGCTTGATAGTAGAGGCAACTTGCATCTCTTTGTTTGGCTCAACGAACTCGACCTAGCTAATGAGTTAGATGCTGACAGAATACTTCAAATTATCATGAGATGGCTTACGTTCTCATGGTTCAGGATCTCCTGGACAGTGTCTTCGTCAAAGCTGCCGCTGTAGGCCTGCCATCCGGCAATGTCCCAGGTGGCACTGAGACCTTCAGTGAATGGAGTACCACGCTTGGCCAGGTTTCGACGGTGAGTTCTCTTCAGCCAACGGACATGAGAGGAAAATTCAAGAGAAGAGACACGGTCCTTCAAGACAACAATGTACGCGCCTGGGATGACGCCGCGGGAGTCGATGTCAAGGAGCTGGGCTGCATTAACAGCCCAGAAGATGGCAAAGTAAATCAAAATAATCTTGAAGATAGACATGATGCACAATATTCCTTACTCCTGGAGCTGTCAGATTTCTCTCTTGTGATAGTTAAAGTGTCAATATCTGGTGTGAAAGATGTTTGTTGACAGAAAGATAGACAAGCAGCAGCAGAAAAAGATATTTATATATAAACAAGAGCCCTCTCGGCGATGACAGCGACGCTCATTTGATATTAATATTGCTTATCACACTGAGGAGACAGTATTTCACGTTGATAGCTTGCATCTTTGTGAAATATAGGGTATAATCTGCACCGAGAGAGAGCAATAGGAATATTCTAGTCAGAGTCTTATAAAAGATATCAACTAGATATAGCAGATAGGGAGTATCTACTTTGATATCTAGGATTGTATGATGTGGCTTGGGAAAGGCCTTTGTCAATATAAAAAGCCCTGATACCTGAGAAAACACAGGGTACACGGCAAAGATTATTATACATAACTGCATGGTATCATGTATATAACCATGATTGTGGTTATATTCAGGGGTATATATATCTCTCGAGAAGATAGATGTTTGATATCCGTCATCGACTCTTTAACGCCTGGCCGTTCTCCAGCAGCAACGGACCGGTGGTCATCTTTCGAATATCCAAAGATATGTCGACCTCTGCGTCGCCACCAGTAAGTCATTATCTTTGAAGTGAGGCGTAGGATAGCTATGTATTTAAAGGGTATCGTTGATGGATGGTGGTGGTGGATTGTTTGGTTGTTGAAACATCATTAAAATTTGACTCGGAAAAAGCAACTTCTGGTCTTCAGGGAATCTCAAGCCTCAAAGACCGTCGGCTAACAATAGCAATGTCAGTAAAGAGGCTTGAATGAACACGGCAATGACTTCGTTTGCTCCTGTAGCTGTCTCTCTCACGGCCTCTTCCTCGAGCTCCCTTGATTTGATCGCGACCCTTTGTCGGCGCATCCTCAACGCCCTCACGACGTCAAAGGCGAATCCCGCGAGCGCTTTATAACACAGCATCATTCCACCAACAGACACGTTTATTTCGTCTTTCGTCTTATGGAAGACTATTATCATAGTCAATATATCCGGGGCACAAGATGTAGTTTATATATCTTGTCGTGCACCGGGCAAAAATGTCCTTTCTTTCTTTTCACCCTCGCCAGCTGTCGCTTCCCCTGCGAATCGAGATTTGGCTCGATACTGCTGGATATATTGAACGGCAGGCTGGATGCTTTATCAGTGTCAGACTGCTGTTTTTTATTATCACTTTTATTATTATATACATTTGTTATGCCAAATGTTTATCCAGTCAGCCCTGATGCGATATACTCGACCTACTCTGCCTATTCTGTACAACGGGAACCCATTATACTCCCTAGTTTAAGCCCATTGTGAACCCATTTGGAATGACTGTGGAAAGGTTTGCCCATGAATTAGTCTCTAGGAGCTGGAAATATTTCATCTAACAATAATCGAAGAGACACTGCGGTTCCATCCAGGATGGAGCCGGGGGCGACCTATGTCCAGAAACTCCCCTCAGGAAAAGTCGGATTCGTTCGTCGTCCAATAAAGATCAAACCGGCCAAATCGATACTCGCTGATGCGTTTCTCCCTAATCGAGATGGCTCTGCGTGGAGTTTCCCCTATTCCTACAACCTGGATGCGCCTCTTCCTATTGAGACTGGCCCTAAGGAGACTGACCAGCCCATACCCTTGACGGATGGCCCGGCTCAGATGTATAACCATGGACGAGAGTACCCGCACCAGTTAGCTACGAGAAGATACGATCCAGTATCACCCAATCTGTATCATCGTGATGCTGCTCTTCCTCCCCCGGCACCGTCCCCTATACTCGAGCCCCTAAGCCCGACTTACTCTAGGGCACACGCAACTCCAGCACCAGAGACAAGACACAGATGTGCAGTGTGTGGACGCTACCGTTCTCCTTCATATCAACATCGGCATCCCATTATCCCAGGACAGATACCTCCTACTAGCGTGTGCCGAAAATGCAGGTTCACCTACACTTCTAGCGGAGAGAGTACTGAAAGCGATGAATCAGACAGGCGATCCAGAGGCCGAAGACGCAGTAGAAGGAGGCGCAATAGACCCAGACCTATATTTGACAAGGAGCCTTCTGCTCAACCAGCTCCAATTCCTCGGATACTTCAAGCTCCTACGCCCCAGACCAGCCAGCCTCAGGAACCTTCTACTCCTAGTCCTGCTCCTGCTCCTCCGCCTCCGCCTCCCCCACCCCCTCCACCGCCACAGCCCCCTGCCACAAAGATAGAGTCGTCTCCTCATATATTCCACTTTTGTCCAAACCCTCCTGGTCTATGCACGTTACGCAGTCAGAGAGATTCTCATGATTATGGTCTTCCAACACCTATCAGCAGCCCTCACTGCTGTACTGAACCGAGCTACCACTCGCTCCCCGACTATAGAGACACATGCAGCTCTTGTTGCTATCAGAGACACGGCCAGCGTCATTACCATCAAGATTGCCACCATGGCCATTACTGCCGCCGAGAACCTAGGCTTTATCCCTCCCAAAAGTTCAGGAGCTTCGACGATGTTCAGATTGTTCCATCTGATGATCCTAGAAGACAATGCATTCACAGGGAACCATTGCCTTTGAGACAAGCTGAGCGTACTGTTGTCAAAGATGCCAACTCTTGGTCAATGCCGGCAACTGGGAATTGGGATGATAGCAATGAACGGGTAAGAAAACCCAGGTCCCCTACACCTTCACCATCACCAGTGCGAGAACGACGCTACGTTGAACCGCGTCAATTCTCTTCTTCGCTAAGGGGCGCACGCCCTCCGCAAGCAAAGGTATGTCGATTTGCGTCCGACGAACCACAAAGTCAGCCCAATGTCCAATATCAAACTTGGGAGGACGACCGCCCCAAAAGGCAGTACAGCCGTGTTATATCGCGAGGCGACGATAATAATAACGAAGAGAGCGGCTGGTATGACACACCGGATTATGAGAGACCAGTCTCTACGCGGCCCTCTAGAAATGTCAGCATGCAACGGCAGCCTTCCCGAGTAGAAACAGAAAGAGCCCCTTCAGGTGAGTAGATGTGATAAAAGTTGCACCGTTGATTCGAATTTTAACTTGTATGTAGAAATCCTGGTCGTTCCGAAGCCTCGGCGTCAGTTCGAGGTCAGGTATGGGACATACCAACCGGAACAGCAACGGGACTATGAGTATAGAGAGCCTCGGCCAGAGACCCGTTTTAGGGAATATGAACCCTCAAATCCCAGGAGAGTGACGACCGTCAACAAACGGAGCTATGCATACCCCGTGATACGTGATGAACAGGAAGAGGAGGATGCAGGCCAGGGGTATAGTGACCCAAGGTACGAGAAGTGGAATAAAAGTCGTTATGCCAGCCGTGAAATCATTGAGGGGCCACGAGGGACATATAATCCTCCAACCGCCCGAAATCCGAGTGGTCAGCAATATAAGACGCGAGAGAGGTCGGTTGTCTGGTAGACATAACCTCGGCAAGTGTATTCTAACAGTCTTTGGATGCCTGTTTGCAAGGTTGTTGGTTGAAGAGGCTTACTACCATAAAACCTTCGGTTTGTTGGCTAGTTATGCAAGACAGATAAACTGGAGAGATACCTATCATTATATTATGGGCATTACTTCTATTATAATAATTAACCTATACACATATTCATAGTTCATTAAATATGTATATATGTATTATAGCTCCCCATTGATCCGTCCATTGGCCTACTTGGACAGATCATCGATCCTGCACAACAAGTACTCCAATATCCTGTACGAGGCAGAGGGGTTGTACTGGGGGCCCATGTGGCCAGTCAGGTAGAGCTCAACATAAGTAAGTTTTCGCTCAGTGTGGTGGCGGCCCAATACACCGGCTCCGGAGAGTGTGCTCAAGCTACCACGTTCGTGGTATGGCACGAAAAGAGGCTTGGAAGGTTCCTGGCTGAAACCTTGAGCACCACCCCAGGTCATGTTCTGGATGCTAAGTAGGGTTCCATTGCTGATAAGGACGTAGTCGAGATCTCCGTGTGCAATGATGGTACGAGGAGACTTCTCGATGACATCAGGGATGACGGTGAAAGATGATGGTTCAGAGTTATCCTTTCCATCAACGAAGACGGGGTGTTCAGCACACTCGGTCCATTTCTGGAGGGGAGCATTGATGGCCTTCTGCACGTCGGTGCGGTTGAAGTAGACATTTGCTCCGGCAGGTAGGTATTCGAAACTTCCTGGGAATCCGAGGACATCATACAAGAGAGGGCAGGTAGTGGCTACCTGGTAGACGTCAAAGCATGGATTTACGAGGGAGACGGCGTCGAAGATGGCGGTCCAGACGTCGCACTCGGGAGTAGCCTTGGGGAGGGCAGGGAGTTTACCCTTTGGTGGATAGACGAGATGTTCCTTCATGTAATTGCTGTAACCGCACTTGTCGGCCATATCGTGAATTTGCTTGGTGAAGGTCTCGTTGAATGGGAAGAGACCCTTCCAGTGTTCAACGAATGGGACAGCGGGGACTAAGGTTGTGTGAATAATGATGAAATGAGCGTGATGGATAGACAAGGGCGGTTGGCTTACCCTGAGTGAGAATTTCGTCCTTGTTGATGGATGGGTCGAAGATCATGGTGCTCTCGACGTTGAAATACCTCTTGTTCTTCTTCTCAAACATGGCGTGGGCGATGTATGGGACGTAAAGTCCGGCATAACTTTCACCGACGATGTAGATCTTCTTACCGTGCAGGTCAAAGGTATCTACGAAGTTCCTGAAGAATCCCAAGAATTGTGTAGCAACATCTTCTTCTGATCGCACAGATGGCTTTCCTTGAGAGAAGCCAGTACCAACAGGTCTAGATGGGTTATTATCAGTCGGGTTATATTACATGATTTTCATATATTTTATTGACTTACTGCTCAACCCAGACCATGTTGGTTAATTTGGTCCACGACCACGGGTTAGGAACTGGGTAAAGGGTTCCGTATTGCCAGAGGAAAGGACCATTTTCTTGGAGGAGACCCTCCAGTGAACTGCAGCCAGGGCCTCCATTGAGCCAGATGGTGATTTCATCCTTTGCAGCCGGGTTCTCTGATGGGAAGTACCAGAAGTAAAGTTCACGGCTCTCATCTTTCCTGGTCGAAATTGGCATGAGACCAGCGTATGATTCACCAATGTCGAACTGGACCTCTGGGATCTTGGTACCATCGACGGCATATTCTACATAGTATCAATGTTAGCTACCTCGCACTTCTGTTGTTCCATAGCAGGGAGTTTTCCCCCGCATGTAACTGTTGAGTCGGAAACACCAATTGCTCTAGGACAATTGAGAAAAAGGGAGGACTAACTCTTGGTCTTGTGGTTCAGACGAGAAGGAGTCTGACGCTTCTGCACTGGAGGGATTGCAGAGAAGTCGTAGTTTGGAAGGTTGCGAGCAGCTGGATCTCTTCTGCCTACATGCTGCAAGCTTCGTAGGAAAGGAAGGCTCGCAGCCGCAGCAGCATCTATGGCAGAGAGGGCCAAGACGAAGTAAGAGAGCCCGCGCATCTTCGAAGAGTAAAGGTGGAATCTAACCACACACGACTTGCTCTTGAAGAAAGTGAATCAACCAATCTATATATGTTTTATTCTGGCGCGCGGACGAGAGAAAGGGAAAAAAAAAAAAGAAAGAAGCAGAGCTGCGGACGATCTCCATGGTAAATATACTGCCTTCCAGAAGAATCAAGAAGAAAATTTCTCTTTCCCCTCCCTTGACAGCTGCTGGGATAACTCGTGCTCGGGCATAATTTCGTGTTGGATATAATTTCAATTTCCGGGATGTACGGCCAGATGTGGAGATGTCAAGGTAGGGATTTCCCCATTCCCCCGCGTAGGATCGCACCTTGTGCTCGTATTGCCATGGCAGAGCTAAGCGATAAGAAGGTAACCCCGTATAGTTTGATTGCGATCTTGACTTGTCAACCGAGCTAAGCTTTCCAAGCCGGATGGCGACTTTCTTTGCCCATTCTTTGATTCTTCTGCGGCTAAGAAGGAAGCATGTGGTAGTGTTATTCCGTATAGATGCCCGCCACAGGAGGCACCCAAAAGCCTCCCCCAAAGAAAAGCCCAGAGTAAACAGGCTCGAGGGGATTCATATGTACCTAAAAGCCAATCCCTGGCCCAGGAGCTTTGCTATCACAGGCATCTCCTCCATTCCCCAGGGTGAGCGACCCAATCTCGGTTTAGCGACGGTGCTGGGGCTGCGAGCTAGTGAGCAACCCTGGTTGCCCGCGGGCCTTCCGGAGCACATGTCCTTGGACAGCAAGCTAGGCCGACAGACTGTTGAGCTGCATATCCTGGGGGGTGTTGGGCATGGTGTCAACGGACGGTGGCAACCTGCGTCACTGTGCTGTCACTCTGCATGTTGGCTAGGTAGTTACACGTTTATCACTGGAGCTGGAGCTGCCCTGCATGGTGACAACATGCAGTCGGTCAGTGAGCGACAACGACTAAGCCGCCATTCTCTCCCCCACGAACCCATCACCTGGCCCGCCTGCTGAGGACCCAGGGCGCCGTTCATCGGCCTGCAAGCACGGAACGCACTCGCTCACGGGCTTGAGATTGTCTTTTCTTCGGCTTTTTGAGGTCGAGAAAGTCGAATTTATTTTTTTGACGCCGAAAAAGAATTTCAACAGTTGAAGATCGACGTTTTGTATTTCCCTTTTTGGGACATGATTAGATAATAGCTGTGAACTGGTCACGTGCTATAGTATATCAAAATCGATGAAGACAAAAAGAAGGAAAAGAAGACAAACAAGCAGAAGAAGAAGAAGACGACGAGGAAAAAGACAGGAAAAAGAAGGATGGGAGGAAACTATGGGCCAGCGATGTCGCGGAAGAGGAAGCTTGACAGCGAAGGCGAAGAAGACGGAGATATCGGGCCAGCCAGACCAGATACGCCGCCGAAGAAGCCCAGAGTGATGGGCCCAGTGATGCCACCGAGCTTTCGGCCAGAGAGTGGTAAGGACGAAGAGGAAGGCAGTCAAGATGACGAGGACGACAGTGATGATGATTATGGGCCCTCGCTGCCTCCCCCGGGCTCCTCAAGCTCTGCTGTACAGCACGAAACCCCCACAGAGCCTATCCCAAGCAAGCCCGCCTCCAAGCCAGAGACAGTCCAACGGGACGACTGGATGCTGAAGCCGCCCGATCAGCTCGGCCTTTCAGCGCGTATGGACCCTACAAAGCTCAAGAACCGAAAATTCAACACCGGAAACCCTGCTCGACCGGCAGCTTCAAAGGCGGGCGGCCCGTCAAATACTTGGACCGAGACTGTGGAGGAGAAGAGGAAGCGTCTGCAGAATGAAGTCATGGGCATTCAGGCACCGGCTGCTGCATCAACTGCATCTGAACCGGATGCTGGGAAGGCATTGGCGGCAGAAAGAGCAGAAAAGATGTCCAAGCATGTCCGCGAATACAACGTGAGTGTTGCCTGTTCTCATATACAAATAACTACTTGACTGAGCTGCGGGCTAAATTGCTTGTGGATCTATAGGAAAAGAATAGGAACAAGTCATTGTATTCTCAGCACAAGGCCAGCACCGAAGAGCAGGAAAAGGACGACCCCAGTGCACGAGCGTTCGACAAGGAGAAGGATATCAGGGCTCCGTCCAAGATCAGCCATTCCCAGCGTAGGGAGATGCTCAACAAAGCTGCCGACTTCAACTCACGCTTCTCTGGAGGAAGCTTTCTATAGAACTAATGACTGCTACATGAAGATACCATTGCATAACTTTGTGTGTGTGTGTGAGTGAGAGTTGAGAGTGGGTGAGTGATAGGTCCTAGCTATCGTCGATCTCCATAGGATCCAAATCGTAGTCTGGCAACTGTTCACCGTCCACGGGCATGTCTGGCGGCGGTGTCCTGTCCCCCTCCGCCTGTCCGTTGTAACTCTCTGCCATTTTCTCCCTGGCTCGCTCTCTTGCGTCCGTCATCGCTGCTCGAACACTGTCCTGTTCAGCCGGTATTCCCAGCGCTGCCGGAACGCGGTAGAGCACCAGCTCGTTGTTCCTCTCCTCCTTTGGTTTATGCGTAAGCACTGACTTAGGGATCGACATGAGCTGCTTCTCCATCTCCGGCATGACTTTAAACGTCTGTCTTCTCTCTTCCTCTTCTATCTGGGCGATCTCGTCCCCTAGATCAGTGATGTATACTCGGGTTTTGGTGTCGTCGACCTGCATGCCATCGCCATTGCTGGCCCGCGAGGACGTGTATTTCGACGGCGAGCCCGCATGCTCTCGTTCGTCTGCCTGTCTCTGAGCCTCTAGACCGTAAATTCCTCCTCCTGCTGCTGTCGTCGTGGGCGTAATCAGTGTCTGTTCGGATAATCTGTCTGTAGAAAACAACCAAGCTGTTAGCCTCCAGAAGCTCAAAACTCCCCAGATTTTTCTCCCAACTTCTCTGCAAAAAGGAAAAAAAACACCAGCCCGTCTCCTGTCCTTCCTAGCCTCTATCCAACCCGGTCAATCGACAGGGAAACAGGCACAGGCACAGGCACAAAAGAAAGAGAAAACAGCTTCATACCGAGTCGCAGCCGGCCGAACTTCTTCCTCAGTCGCCTCTCGCCGTCGAGCTCATCCTCTGCCGCTCGCTTTCCGCGGCGTTTTTCGACTCTCCCCGCCGCTGCTGGCGCCATTGATCAGGCATCACAGTGCTGTCAGAGACCTGCGCCGTCGAGGAGCATCGCTTCCGCCCTAATATAGCCCTGTCGTGGTGCGTTCCTGCGGCAGAAGAAGAGCGAACGCGCCAGAAACCCCCCCAGCAGCAGCACGGAAGGAAAAAGAAGCCAGCGACAGTTTGGATGGGCGCAAGGTTTGCTTGGTCGCCAAATCCACTCTTGGGTGTGACTCGCTCGCTCAGCGCCAGCTCGACTCTCCCACTCCGCTGCCACAACCTCGCCCTCCGCAGTTCATCGCATCGCTGGACCTGGACGCCGCTCAGGATGGCTGCCTCGACTTCTTCTCAACCGCCCGCCGGCCAGCAGACGGTGGAATGGCCGGCGTTGCGCGTGCGTGACACATTCCTCGACTACTTCGAGAAGAACGGCCACACATTCGGTATGGCTCCTGGGCCCGTTCCCGGTGCAGTCTCTGTTTATACGCTCTTCTAGACGATGGATCCTGGGCTGGGGAAGCCGTATGAGCTGCTTGCTGACCTTCTTTGCAGTGCCGTCGTCTTCGGTTGTGCCGCTGTCAGATCCCACCCTGCTGTTCGCCAACGCGGGGATGAACCAGTATAAGTATAGGCACCGTTGACCCCAACTCCGATTTTGCACAGCTGAAGCGTGCGCATAACTCGCAGAAGGTCTGTCTCCCCTGTGTCTACTTTGTATGACATGTATGCTAACCAGTGTCTTCAGTGTATTCGTGCTGGAGGGAAACATAACGTATGACCCCGCAGTCGCTCATATAAAAATGGCATAAAAAATCTTTCGGCGGGATACTAATGGGTCAATAGGATCTTGATGATGTTGGAAAGGACAGTTACCATCATGTGAGTGCGCCCATTGCAGCAGCAGATGGCCTCAAGCTGACCCGTTCCCCTGGTATAGACTTTTTTTGAGATGCTTGGAAACTGGAGTTTTGGAGACTACTTCAAAAAGGAGGCCATACAATTTTCCTGGGAACTTCTCACCAAAGTATACGGTTTAGATCCTGATAGACTCTACGTTACCTACTTTGAAGGAAACGAGGCTGCCGGCGTTGGCCCTGACATAGAAGCAAGGGACATATGGCGGAGTGTCGGCGTGAAAGATGACCACATTCTCACAGGTGACATGAAGGACAACTTCTGGGAGATGGGAGACCAAGGCCCTTGCGGACCTTGCAGTGAGATTCATTATGACAGAATTGGAGGCCGAAATGCTGCCCATCTCGTTAACCAGGATGACCCGGACGTGCTCGAGATCTGGAATAACGTGTTTATACAATATAACCGTGAGCCAGACAGGTCTCTACGGCCACTGCCTAACCAGCATGTCGATACTGGTCTAGGATATGAAAGACTGGTGTCCATCCTCCAGAACAAGTCGTCGAATTATGATACCGATGTGTTTACCCCCCTGTTTACCGCCATTCAAAATATCACAGGTGCTCGACCATACACCGGCAAATTTGGTGCCGAGGATGCTGATGGAATAGACACTGCGTACCGAGTGGTTGCAGACCACCTTAGAACACTCACCTTTGCCATTACTGATGGAGCTGCTCCCAACAATGAAGGACGGGGCTACGTTGTTCGTCGAGTGCTTCGCAGAGGTGTACGCTACGCCAGAAAGTACCTCCAGGTTGAAATTGGCAGCTTCTTCTCAAAACTTGTCCCAGCCCTCGTAGAACAGATGGGTGACATGTTCCCGGAAATCAGGCGAAAGCAAACGGATGTCATGGAGATCTTAGACGAAGAGGAAGTGTCGTTTGCCAAAACCCTTGATCGTGGTGAACGCCAATTTGAGAACTACGCTCAGCAAGCATTGGACTCTGGCGCTGGAAAACTCCATGGTGCCGATGTCTGGCGACTTTACGATACCTTTGGCTTCCCTGTGGACCTTACTCGCCTAATGGCAGAAGAGAGACAGTTGACCATCGACGATGCTGAGTTTGAAGAGGCCCGTCTCAAGGCCAAGGAAGCCAGTAAAGGTCAGGCTAAAACCGCCTCCGACCTCCTCAAACTTACTGTTCACACTCTGAGCACGCTTGAGAAGAACGGTGTCCCAAAAACCGACGATGATGCCAAGTTTGGAAAGGGAAATATCGTCGCCAACATTAAGGCAATCTGTCATGGAAAAGAGGTCATTGACTCGACCAAGGACATCCCTGCCAATGAGCAGATTGGTATTATTCTTGACAAGACCAACTTTTACGCTGAGCAAGGTGGTCAAGAGTACGATACCGGAAAGATCGTCATTGACGGTCAGGCCGAGCTGGATGTTCAGAACGTCCAGATGTACGGCGGCTATGTTCTACACACTGGCTTTATCAAATACGGCAACTTCTCTGTCAACGACTCTGTCATTGCAGAATACGATGAACTCCGCCGATGGCCAATCAGAAATAACCATACCGGTACCCATATTCTCAATTTTGCTCTCCGAGAGGTTCTTGGTGATGGTGTCGACCAGAAGGGGTCCCTTGTTGCCGCCGAGAAATTACGTTTCGACTTCTCTCACAAATCCGCTATCTCGGACAGTGATCTAGAGAAAATCGAAGCCAAGTCTACTGACTACATCCGTCAGAACTGTGCTGTCTACTCACAGGAGGTTCCTCTCGCAACTGCTCGTGAGATCACCGGCGTTCGTGCTGTGTTCGGAGAGACATACCCCGATCCTGTTCGCGTGGTATCCGTCGGCGTTGAGCTTGACGAGATTCTAAAGAACGTCAAGGACCCTCGCTGGGAAGGTGTCAGTATCGAGTTCTGTGGTGGCACCCACGTCCAAAAGACTGGTGATATCAAGGACCTCGTCATCCTCGAAGAGAGCGGTATTGCCAAAGGAATTCGTCGTATCATTGCCGTAACAGGTGAAGATGCACATGAAGTCCAGCGTATTGCTCGCGAGTTTGGTGAACGACTCAACCGCTTCGAAAAGATGCCTGCCAGCCCCGAGAGGGATGCTGAAATTAAGAGTCTGCAAGTCGACCTTAACCAGCTTACCATCTCTGCCGTCGAGAAGACCAAGTACCGCAACCAGTTCACCCAGATCCATAAGAAGATCACGGATGCGCAGAAGGCCGCTCAGAAGGCTGAGGTGAAGACCGCCATTGATGCCATCTCCGCCTACTTTGAAGAGAACACGGAAAGCCCATCACTCGTCATCAAACTGCCTATCACTGCAAACCAGAAGGCAATTAGCGAGTCTTTGAATCACGTCAAGACAAAGTTGAGCGGTAAGGCGTTGTACGTCTTCGCCGCCGATGCATCCAAGGTTGCCCACGGATGCTACGTGACTCCCGTACGTTTGCCCTGCCAATCCCTACTAAAACCCTAGTACTTGCCACTAATGTATCTTTTAATAGGATCTCACCACCAAGGGTGCATCAGCTAACGAGTGGGCTAGTGCCGTGTCTAGCATTGTTGGAGGCAAAGCAGGAGGCAAGGCACCCGTTGCGATCGGCAACGGTACTGAAGTTAACAAAGTCGACGAGGCTTTGGATGAAGCCACGAAGTATCTAGAGAAATTCAAACTCTGATCAGGCTTCTGGCCCTCGTTTACGCTTGGGTGACAAATTCTGCATTTACTCCTTTTTTTTTTGCATCTGCTTTTAACTTCATCGGAAAGGGTATATCATATCATCGGTGGGGGATCATATAGTAACTATAAAGATAGTGAATGCATCATAGATTTGGTGCCTTGTTCATTAAGAGCTGACGTGTAATAGCCAGTTACAAGTGTAGATAAGCATTTTAAAACAACTCTGTACGACCCCAGCTATGGCTTATCTAACTCTCTTCTTAAATCAAGCTCGTGCATGTTTGAGATGCTGCGCGATATGTGTTATGCCGTATCTGTGTTCGTTGGATAGTTGCATGGGGTCGTATAAAGCTTTTCTAACTGTAGCTATCCGATGCTGCAGGTTCAGCCTTCCTTCACCGTTTCAGGAAAGGCACCTAGTGATAACTATGTCTTTCCACGCCTATCGTATGAGCCAACCCTTTAGGGTTGCCTCATTTGACTAAACTATCATCCTTCATTACATCTCTCCGCACTGTGCAATCACAACGTCCTGGTTAGGCTTATCCCTCGTAGTTCGCGTATTCTCTATCATCCGTACAACATCCATACCATCCACCACACGGCCAAAAACAACGTGTTTGTTGTTAAGAAATGGCGTGGCGGTGGTAGTTATGAAGAATTGGCAACCGTTGGTATTAGGTCCAGAATTCTTCACCAAGCATATCCCGGTTAGAACATATTCAGAAGCAACGATAAGCAATATAGAAAGGAATCAAACACGTACAGCCATGCTAAGCACACCCGGTCCGTCGTGAGTGAGGTTGAAATTTTCATCTGCAAACGAGCCTGTCCCATATATGCATGCTCGACCAGATCCGTCACCATTAATAAAATCTCCACCTTGAATCATAAAGTCTTTAATCTGTGTATACATCAGTATCTGCACCGTAAAACAGTCTGACAATTAATGCATCCTATCGCGGATACAAGACTTACAACTCGATGAAACTTGCAGCCTTTGTAACCCTGCGGCCGGCCACGAGCATTCTTCGTCTCACCGGTACAAAACTGTCTGAAGTTCTCGGCTGTACGAGGTACAACTTTTGAAAATAGCTCTATTTTAATACGTCCAAGTGGTTCACCTGCATATAACGTCAGTATATAAAATGAACTGGTGGTGGAGCGGGTTCATTTATGTTACCTCCAAGTGTTATATCAAAAAACACGATGGGGTTAGGGTTGTCCCCTGCAGGAGTAGACGGCTGCTGTACACTCATTTTCCAAATTATTTATACCTGTGGTGTTGTGTGCTAGAGTAGTTTGTAGGATTGTTGTTCTGATACGTTGGTTGGTAGTTTATTATGCGTGGGCCATTAAGATGTTGGATAACTGGCGAACTAAAATAAGCGCAGCCGCGCACAAGGTCAAACATGAACCTGGACCAGAGTAAAATTCGTATACCCAAACCCAGGGCCCGGTCATGAATCTGAAGATCTTCTAGAAGTGGGTTTTATTGTCCTTAATGAGGCTCAAATGGATTTGGTGATCAGAATATATTCATGATATCGGGTAATTTTGTGTCTATGTATTATCAGTTTATGTACTAAGTGTATCCTCTTATGTCCTCTCCCCTTCATATACACTATCACCAAGGTCCACGATCAACGTAGTTAAGGGCCACCACCATGTTATATCCAGTGTTCCATAAATGTCATTGCATGGTCACCCCAGCTATGGGGTGAGGTCTATTAGCCCGTATGTCCTGCGCGAACCCCCCAATGTCAGAGCTGTCTATTTTCATTCGCCCTAGTGCCAGCCTACGACGAGGGAGAAGGAGTGGCCGTGGGTGTCGGGCTCGGCTGAGTAGAGACGGTTTTACAAACGAAGCTGCGGACTTCGAACTTAAACCTGGAGATGTTCTTCGTATAGTGATCTGTCATTCTTCCCTTGCATTCAGGTTTCCTAACATGTCCCAGTCAGCAATCGGAAGGAGCATAGAGTTTGAATATAAAGAAAAAGAGAAAGGAAAACGCCAATGGTCTGGAGACGATGAAGGGTAGACATACGAATAGAAGACACAGTCATAGCCTTGAGGGATATCTGCGGCTCTGCGTGATTCTAGTTAGTCTCGGCACACGACTGATCCTGTGGTAAGTATACATACTTAATCCAAGTCTTGAAGCCACTGCATTGGCCGTCTTGCACAGCTACTGGGAAAGGAGACAAAGTGCCGTTCGGCGATTCGTAGTAACCGACAACCTGTTGTCGCCTTTGTTAGTACACATTTAGGCCAAGCGTGGAAATAGATGATGAGTCTGAGAGCCAATGTATATAAGTGAATTCCCTACCTTTGGTTCTTGAGCAACAACGGCTGTGGCGCAAAGGCCCAGGGACACTGCAGCGAGTGAACTGAAGAGACGCATTCTGGCAAGGATGGAAATAAGAAAAACAAGAAGAGAAGGCTGGTTAGTGTTAGGGTGGCTTTCTATCAGGCGTAACCGCGAAGACGGTCGAGCCCGTTTATATACAGATGAACAGGCGGCAGGAAGCATCTGCCGGTGCCTCGGTCTTGGAAGGCATCCCGTATTCCTGGGTGCCATTTTAGAAAGGACTGAGCCTAAGCGAAATCCACCAGTAGCACTGATGCGATTCTGCTAGTTGAACGACTAATAGTTAGACTACTAGATCGTCATAACTATAAAATCCAGTGGCGTCTGTCTGACCGCGATGCCTTTTTCATTTCTTAACATTTGGAATATGACTCCGAGTTTAGGCTCAGTTCCGTCCAAGACGGAACTGCTGGCACGCCCAGCTAATATAACAATGGCTGTGGGAAAGGGGGGTATTTGGCCTGAATAATCCCAGTTCAAATCGGAGGCACTACTGACATTCGTATTTCTGTGTGTTTGAAGATGGAGAAGACTTTTTCTCGTCTAATGGAGCTGCCGTCTTCCAGCTATGAAACCGCCCCAGCTACGAACCTATACTAAGGGCGGGACCCCCGTACCCCATCAGAGATCCGTTTGTATCTGTTGTTCCGCTGGAGCCCATCGTTTATCGTGATCATCGTAGACAAGATTGTCGTACTCTGTACTCCGTAGCTGTTCGGTAGATGTACCCGCACAGAGTTTGCGGAGTGGGAACGCAGTTCATCGTCTTCACTTTTGTTCTTTCGGAGACGGGATGATCCGAGGGCCAGGAGAGCCGTCCAAGCCCATCGCAGGAATCCCGATAACTTCACAAAATGCAGTTTTGCCAGGCAGTGCTCCCGCAGAAGGTAGTATATCCATGGCGTTGATGTCGTGTAAACAACAGCCGTTTTCTGCGTTGTCGTTGGAAGAAAGTTGAGGCAGAAAACCAGCAGTCACGTGGTGTCCTTGGATTCCAAAAGGGATTCCCAAAGGGGCATTTTTGAACGTCACTTGAGCCGTTTGTACCTTTTTTGTATGAGCAGTGAATAAGCAACAACATGCACAGCGACGCAGATGATGAGATGCACAGCCAAGCGGGGTCCAGGGCAGCGGCTATATTCTCCCTACACTGACCACCGAGATAGACAGGCGAACGACCGAGTTGCACGCAGAACAGCGCTTCTGAAACGCGGGGGATATACGCCTGGGATACTTCTGCTCGCCGTACCCCGTATTTGCTGGGGGCCGAAAGAGGTATCCGAGTACGCCACCAGAGTTGAGAAAGAACGCCGAAAGGCGGCGTTTTGACGGCGATCAGGACGGCGCTTGGAAAAAGAAACGGGTTCTCCTTCGCCTAGTTGCAAGGAATAGCACATTGTCGCACCGGACGCTCGAGGACTTGATAACTGCAGGAAGCAAGAACTGCTCGACGAAAACCAGCAAGGCGGACGAGACAAAAGACAAACAACTACGGAGCACGCTGAGATAGCGATACAATAGAGAGAGACAAACGAGAGACAGGGGGCGTATACAAGACGGCACGACCACGACTCGCTGCAGGCTGATCCTTATTAACCCTTGACTCAATCGCAGGTGCCAGCTAGTGTGCTGCGTCCTGCTCCACCCCGGACCAGCCAGCCGTGAGATATTACGTTCACGTCTCACTTTTCCTTTACTCGATATATTGTATTCAGGAGAAATACTCGATGGTCGAAGGAGCCAGGCAAGACAGGGGCAGAACAAGGCAGAAAAAGCCTATATGTGCCATCTGAGCAGGATCTTACCCGATTTTTCGCCTCTATCTCTGGGACTCTGGGCCTGGGTCTAGACATTTTATGTTTTTGCTGTCAATTTGCTGGGGCCCCTTCGCTTCGACTCCATATACTTAACCCTTCGCACTCTTTCTCCACAGCCAAAAAACACAGCGCTGTTCGATCGATGAAGAACCCGCCAAGATCGGCCTGTTTCGCCCTCAACGCCCTCAAAGAGACTGCTGGCGATCGTTTTTTTGGGCCAGCCAGCTTGAATCATCGAATTGGACAATTCGATTTAGGCCTGCGCCATTCTCGGACCTGTCACGAATCAGAACCAGCCTGCACTCGAGTGGCTTAGTGTTGACTTATAATCCCCCCTTTATCCCTGCAGGCTCGTAGCCTTCAGGCTTTTTTCGAGCGCTCAAGACCAGTGGTTTTTGCTCTTGTTCTCCTCTTTCCGTCGAGACCCGCTCTCCGCTGTATCATAATCGTCTCCTGGGACGCTGGTGCGGATTACGTTCGTGCTTACGCCTGACTTCTGGTTTCTGCAGAAGGCTTGTCTTTGATCGTTTTTTCTACATATTCGCTCGCTGGTCTGTCTTCCCATTTCCTCACTCACAGACCGACGGCGTCGATCGAACTCGCCTGGTTGTTGTGCTGCTACACAACGGGCTCCCATATCCGTTGTGCCTTACAACCATGACTACCCCTTCGCCGTCGTCTACACCCGGAGCAAGTGGCGAGTCGGGGTCAAATAACTCGCCGTTACTCTTCTTTGTTGCGCTCGGCTTTGGAGTCGTCTTCACGAATCTATGGTATTTCACAACGCTCCTTTATATGACTCGCTTTTATGGACAGGATATTACAGTCATTTGAGTCAGTCGCTAACTTGACCGATGGACAGGATTATTGTTGGCGTGAAATATTGCTTTCGCTATAACCAGCGACATCGCCAGGCTCGAAATGATGACAATGGCGACCCCATCGACATGGTTAACGTCCCTAGGACTCATCGTAGGAGGAGGGAGAAGAAACTCATGTCGATGGAAGATGTAAACAGTCGATTTCCCATCACGAAGTACAAGAGTTGGCGTGCTTCAAGGGCTGATGCAGGCCTGCCTACTGCTGGTGGTATTGACAGCAACATCGACACACATACAAGCCGACAAGCAGGCCACCAGGAATTCGGAACCATTGATACATCTCGCACAACGACTTCGGCAGACCGAGGCGAATGCTCTGGTGCGATGAGCCCTGACAGCATGCTAGGGCGGAAATCGACCGACATTCAGGTACCTCCCGCAGCTCATGTACCTGCGGAGAAATCGACCACTGTACAGCCTCCTGCTTCGCAAACAAATCCATCGCAGCGTCTATCTGCCGATAATCATAGCCTGAAACACACCGACTCTCACCTCCCCGAACACGACGATGATGACCATGACGATCACATCTCTCATGCTATTACCAACGATCTCATCGCCAACCCTGGTGACTCTTGTGCCATCTGTCTCGACATCATTGAGGATGACGACGATGTGCGTGGCCTCACCTGTGGCCACGCTTTCCACGCCTCATGTGTCGACCCTTGGTTGACTAGCCGCCGTGCCTGCTGTCCTCTGTGTAAGGCCGACTACTTCACCCCCAAGCCACGACCTGAGGGCGAGGCTCCCGAAGAAGACCGCCGTGAACGTGGGAGGAGACATGGCAACAACAATGGGGCCAGTGAGGGTGAATCGCCTTATCAGACTGCCCGCATGCCGCCATTTGCTTCAAGAATGGTTTTAGCCGGTAGATTCATGCCGATGCTTCCGGGTGAAGAAAACAATCGCTCCGCTCGTGACCGAGGCCTTCGTGTTGCTGGAGACCATGCAAATGCTGACGCAGGTCAAGATGGCACTCAGCCACAATCCAACGGATGGAGATCTCGCCTACCGCGCCTGAATATCCCCTTCGGGAGAAATAGGACCAACGGCTCTCAGCAGGGCGATGCAAATGCATCGTCAGTTGTAGCTGATCCTCCTACACCAAGACAACTGGAATCTGCCACCCATGTCTCAAGATAGACAAATCCGTCTTGGGCGGCTTATACCCCCGGCCACTGTACCATACGTACTCAAACCTCACCTCATCCTCCAATCTACGACTCATCTATGATCCGATTATCGCCATTCACCTCATCTATTACTGGAACGAATAACGACCAATCCAAAACCTCACCCGAATTTTCTGCTCCCTGAGTTTAGTTAATAGGAACATACCCATATGTCCCTTGGGGATAGTATTTTACATATCTGCCCGACGCCATATAGTATCTTTCACTCCCTGCCTTAACGTTGTTCAATATCGAACAGTGCTGATACTTTTACAGCTCAGCAACTTGTCCATATTAGTCATTTAGCTGTTCGATTTATGCTCCGTTTGCTTTTCCTATCTGCCTTGCCCATTTACTCTCCTGATACCCCCATCTACACACCTCGCTCGTCACTTCCATGCATTGTGTCTATTGGTTTTTCATTGCGCCTATTTTTTACACCGTGACTTTGCTGGTCTGGCTGCTGAATGTTCCAATTTTTTTTTTTTCTCTTTTTTTTCTTTATCTTTGGGGCGTTGCATCTATTTTGCTTCAGGTGCAAAGGGTTTCTTGATGATTAGTTGATTGGCATGCCCTGGGATTTTCGATCAGTTGATATCCAGTAGCTTATCTATCTAATGGGAACAAGAAGCAAAGAATGACATACTCTATATGATATTGTATATGATAGATTTACTTGAATCTCTTTTGAATTACACTATCCCCGAATGCGAGCTTTAGTATATATGTGTTTTTATATTAAGGTGTAACCGTAAAACGCATAATCTAGTAATGTAGATTATTATTTTGGTGCATGTCCCAGGACACAAGGGACATAATTCAATGTAGGGTTGGATATATATGATTGAACCGAAGAGCAGACGTATAGGAAATACTATACAAGCAAATTAACAACCCGCACATAAACTGCAAAATGTAGATCGATAAACACTGATATGAAAAAAAAAGAAAAAAATCGAGGCTTCGTTTCATCACTTCTGTTTGGGGGGTGTGACGCCTGCACTGAGCACACCAGGCAACTCCTCTTCTCCAATGCTGAACAGCATTCCGACACCATAGGCAACTCCCAAAACAAGAACCACACTCAATCCGCCAATGAGCCAGAACTGCATGCTGACATCTCTCTTGGAGCAGTCAGGGCCGCCCCACTGGAGAGTCTTTGTCTTCCCATCTTTGTTGGTGGAAACAACAGTGCGGTGGCACTTGCATGCATAGCAGTCATTTTCGTTACTGGAGGAGGTGGAATTCTTTGAAGACGTGCGTTTCAGGTAGCATGATCCATGACCCGAGCAGTTATTAGTTCGCTCAGTGCAGGTTTCATTTTTGGTGTAGCATACGGGCAGATGGAACGCGGGAGTAGGTTTGGCGGTGGCAGATGGTCTTGCCATGGATGTGGAGGTGGCATCAGCACGCACAGCTTTCTTAGCAGCGGATAAGCCTTGGTGCAGCTTCAGCTTGGGTTTGTCGGCAGGGAGGCGTGTCTGGCTGCGGTTCTTGTAGGTGTCGTATGGGACTGTGATGACGGTGGATTCCACATTGAGGTCAGAGCTAAGAGCAGCAAGGGACTTGAAAAGGGAAGTAAATTCCCCATCCTGGAGAAGAGGAGATTTCTAGTAAAAGTAACTTGTAAGAATGTGATATGCAATGTATCTCGGGCTTGGGTTTGGACTTACGGAAGCTCTAAGACGGATAACAAAGGAAGTATGTTTATATGTAGAAGAGCCCGCAATGACTTGCTCAATAAGTTTCTGAATCGTGGCCGATTTTGACGTACAATCCGGCATCTCGGAGAAAAGTTGGGTGTCTTGGGGGCAGGCACCGGAGTTCTGGGAATGGTTAGTCCATCAAAGATGGAATAGAAACAAGCAGCTTATCTGGTTTGAAACTCACTTGGCTTCTCAGAACTACAAACCCAGTACACGAGGCCTCTTCTTCACCATATAGGCAGGTATTTGGATCATGGCAACTCTGTGACTTTTCTGAAACGAATGAAGATAATATCGAATCATCTAGATAGAATGCTGGCGGGCTTGAAATGGAGAAAGCGTGCGGTGTTTTTGTCTCCAGCGATTTGACTAAATATCATCAAGTTAGCAACCAGATCCATCGACGTCTTCAAGCCCCATACACAGCCATGCACTTACTGTCTTCTGAGCCTACGCCTTCAAGGATCAACAACAGCTTGTGTGGCTGCTCTTTGTTGATGTCGGTAAAAGGCAAGGCCTGCTGACCTCCGAAGAGATTCAATTCCCGGATAGTCTCCTCATCCACTTCGCCAACGGTAGAGGACGATTCAGGCCATCCCAATCGCCGTTCCAGCAGCAGTTTCGCAATATCTGGGCTCCGTTGTCGACTATCTCCAGCTCTCGGCTTCCAAGAATCCACGCCCGCGCTGTCCTCAAGCATATGAACGAGATAATCCTGGGCGAAGGATGTAGCTGTAAACGTGGACAGCACCACCGCTAGATTGCAGAAGACACTTTTCATCGTGATGGCGCTCGTAGTCGTAGCTCTATGGATGCAGTCAGGTCAACTAAACACAGGAGCTTGCCTGGTATCGATCGTATTGATGGCGGCAGCTGGCCACTCTCCCAGCTACCCAACGCAGCCAAAGTCGTCAGCACTAGACAGAGCAGAGGCTATCTCATCTGCTGAACCGTAGCTATCGACAGCCGTCGGCGAGTGTGGTCGATTCTGTCTCTTCGTCGCTGGTTGTCTTGACCATCTCAACCTGCAACTCAGCTTCATCCAACGACTTGAGAGATGTTCACGTGACTGAGATAGTGCCCACCGACTTCCAGAAAAAAAGTTGATAGACGCAAAGAGACGAGGCAGAGAGACAGGATAGAGAGATTAACCATCCAACTCCTGTATTTTTTTTCGCATTGTTTCGCTTATGATTTTGATCGCTCATTTACTATACACTCTTACAGATACCCCATTCCTCTGCGTGTCCATTCTCCCAGCGATTTTAAAGGTGGTCTGACCGGGATCCTCCACATCCACAGCGCGACTCGGCAAAGCGAATGTCAGGACTGACCTCCAGATCTTCAGTATGCTTTTGCGAATATAAATATACAAAAAGACGCCTGGTCAAATGAGTTTATTTTTCAGGGCGACAGGCTTCCGCCGTCCGTTGGTGCTCTTCCAGATACGGCGTTTGACATCCTACCAACCACACGGGCTGATACAAGTACAACGAGTGAGAATAAGGGAAACATGGTTTCGGTGCGCCTCCTCTATATTACTGGGACCAGAGTAGCATACAAGCTTCGGGGTGAGCACTGGCTAACACTTGTTTGTTGTAAACTAGGCGAGCACTTTGGACCGTCGCGGCCTATGGCATAGGGACATACATGTGGGCGGAAATTGCTCTAAGGCCGCTTGATAAATTGGAACTTGATCCCGAAGAAGATGGACCTATGAAACTAGAGACAACGGGAGTACAGAGGCCTGCTCGATCTCTTGGTGTTAATGATGACAAGAATGACACCGAAGAAGCAAAGGAGGAAGACGAACCAATATTTATTCCACTTGGGTTGCCCCGCCTGGTAGAAGGGGAACCATACACTCCAAACGATCCTGAATGGCACACGAATTTCAGGATAGCCCTTGCCTCGGGCAATTTGCGATATATTAAAGGTATGATAGGTTGACAGGCATCTTCACGGCTGGCTTTGATAAGGGGCTAACATGGACATCTAGACCATCTCGTAATGCATGTATTGGAAAATTTCTCCCGAGATCCTCGTATCACTCGCTTCACTGGAAGCCCTCTCCAAGTGAAATTCCTCCATCTAACTCATGCATTTCCATACAAAACGCCCCCAACATATGTGCGGTCTGGGTAAGCTTGTTTTAGCGTCTCCAAGCTTTCAATTGTCCTTTGCTAAAAAAGTTTGCAGATTGGAATGGTCCGATGATGGATTTAAATGGACTTCGCAGCCTGTAACCACAGAAAAAGGGGACATGATATGGAACGTGCTTGAACCATTCCGAGTCACAGCGTCATTCATACGCGCAGGCTATTATTATCTTGCACTAAAACGCGCCAGGCTGGAAAGCTTTCTAAATAGACTGCGTTTCGATAATAACGGCCGTCTCGAAGCTCAGCGCCAGGCGGAAGAATCAGTCAACACCCCATATATCCTGCCCATTCTCTCTTGGATGCCTGGAAGTAGCGAAGACACTTCGACCTTTCAGAAACCCACGATGCTGGATAAACCAGATGTCAGAAGCAGCAGCCCCTTCCAGCCCGTTGTCGTCTACGACTTAACCGACAAAAACAGATATGGGGAGAATGATAAAATGCCCGATCTACGTTCCGCGGTGGGATTGTTCTTGACGATGCTAAGACAATCGCCAGGCAGGTATAAGTCGCCGCCACCTGGGGTGTTCATTATTGCAGGGATGATAACTCTACATGGACCACAGGGCTGGTGCAATGTCTACGCAAAAGGGGTTTACAACCCCATAAACAATAGGGTGGAAGTTGGTATGGATTTGGTATCTATCATGCCTTATTTCCAGGCACCGCGCCGCCATCCGTGATACCATGTTTCCGTCTGATTGGCGGGATCATGCCCTTTTTGCGCCTTTTGTAATGCGTCACAGAGGTCTCCCAGATATTGCTTTGACGATTTTCTTTTCCATTCTATGCTTGTCTTCTGTTGCTCATTCGATAGACGGTGTTTGGAGCGGGCCTCGGTATATACCTCTTTCCCTTGCTTCTCTTCTTTAGGATCGGTTTGTCCAGTTGTATTGATAGAGATACATGATATCTTTTTTTGAGACTGTATATCCGGTGTTGTTTGACCAACTGTTCAGACTTGATATTGTGACTATGACGTAATGTAAATATAGCTACAGAAAAGTCTCGCGGGGTCAAGAAATCCAACAATAACCGCTAACCAACCGATAAAATCGAAATCCCACTCTAACCTGCTTTGAAGTGTACTCAATGAGGTCTTGAATCCATCTGTTAAAGCCGTACCGGTTCAAACATGTCTCTTCAACCAAAATTCGCTGGCCTCAAGATGGCTGGTGCAGCCGAGGCCCGCCATACTCTTGAGATATGTAAGTTTACCATGCAGCTATGTACTACGAGATCTATTAACTAACAGAGATTGACCGAATGATAGACCTGGACTATGTCTGCCCTGTATGAGTACCGGACTTACCCGAGAAAAACACTCTACTTACCAAATTGCATAGTTCTCTGCCAAACTGTTCAAAACGTTTTATGGCCAAGTCCTCCCCTCGCTCCCCGAAGCCGCCTCGTCACGCCTCACGGTGATTTTCCGCCCACAAATACAGCCATGGCACCCATCTTCTACTCTTGCGATTGAGGCAGCACTGGCTGTTCTCAAGCTGGCACCTACAAAGTTCCAGCAATTTAGCGCTGCTCTGTTCGAGCATCAAAAGGAGTACTTTGATGCCAATGTGGTTAATGAGACAAGGAATCAGACCTACGAACGACTAGCTAAGCTCGCTAGTAAGGAAGTGGGCGTTGACGAGGAGGCTGTTATGGGGTTGTTGCGTATATCAGATAAGCCGAGTGCGGGCGGGGATCTGAATGGCGGGAATGGCGTGACGGCAGATGTGAAAATCATGACAAAGGTAAGGGGCTATGAAAGAGGGCGTGGTATACCTTGCGGAATGGACCGACGATGTGACCGTGTATACTAACGATGCTTATAAATATAGGCCACCAGGGTTGTGGGCGTGCATGTTACGCCAACAGTGTTCTTCAATGTGAGTGGATCTGTGCATGCTAGTATTAAGCTAAATGCCGGGTTTCTGGAGACTAACAGAGCTGGTGCAAGGGTATCGAGGAAAGAAGCATCAGTAGCAGCTTCACGAAGGACCAATGGCTCGAATGGGTGGAGAAGAACGTCGTTTGATGAGCCGAGATGCGATGTTGGGTAAACACGTCAGAGACCCAATAGATAGGGTTGGGGTTTAATTAATTGCACTTCTTGTCCAGTGTAGAGAGGGTGACCGTAGCTAGGCGAGATAGCGGAACAAAGTTGAAATAACAACTGAGTATATATCTTAATAAAGATTCGGCTCTGAACTAGTTTTCATCTTTGAGAACAAAAGATAAGATAGTGGTTGTGGGAAAATAAAAGGAATCTTTGAGAGAAGTCGAAAGGAATCTGGCTCGCTAATATGATGACCCACGATGCTTGGGGAATGGCGAAGGTAGGAATGGAGGTCTGAAGTAAAAGAGAATATTTTTGTGGCGGGAGTAAAACGAGGAGAGGAGTAAGAAGCCGTTAATTTAGATTCGTGAGATAACATATCACAATAGACATGAGAAAACGCCGGCAAATGGACAGAGCGAGAAGTATAAGGTAGGTGGTGGAAGGCGGATGGATAGGCGAACTGGGTGGGTTACTGGGAGACGGGCGGTTGGTAGTTCACCGGTCGCCTAGACAAAAATATTAGAAATTGGCCTGCCCGCGGCAACCGATGGGAAAGGGAGCGGCCACTCACTTGAATAGCAGGATGTGCGGCTCCGGCTCATGGACTTCGTAATGTTCCCATCCCAGACTCTGCACAGGTCAAGTCAGCGTCGTGTTTTTTTTACTGTTGTTCTTCGGTGTAGGTGGAGGTAGCCGTACCTGAGTGATCCCGAGTCCCCGCCACTCTTCTTCCCACAACAGCTTCAACGTGCCCTTGGAGTGATCAAAGTATTCGGTGGGGATCTTCTTGAGCATGGGCTTCGGCAGCTGAACGTGTCTGTACTCGTACTCGTTATCGGAATACCTAGTCATATAGCCAGTTAGCATGAGGCTCTCTGCCAGAAGCCGGAGGGGGGTGTGGCCAACCTGGCAGAGTAGTGAATGCCGTCCGCAAACTCCTCGAGTTTCTGCTTCTCAGACTCGAGGAGCAGTCTCGGTTTCTTATTCCGTCTAGACATTTCGATATCCATGGTGTCGTGCGCTTCGTCGAGGCCTCGTAAGGGACAGTTCTGGTGGTGCGGGAAAGCGAGGGTAGTCCAAGTGCAGGGTCTGCTGAGACAGGTGCCAGCCCGCACGGGTTTGCGCAAGGAGCTCCAACAGCAGGACGACGGGCGAGTATCAGCCAAGTATAATGTTCAATGGGTGCCGAAAGAAGAGCCAAAAAGAAGGGCGCGGTGCGTAGGTGTGTAGAAGCAGCTCGGGCGTAAGTCGAGTCGTAGCGACTGAGAAAGTCGCTGGAGGGGTCAAAAAGGGCACAGTAGCGGGTGCTCACGAGGACGGCGGAAGAGCTGAGCCGGCAAAACAACACGCCCAACGTGCTCGCCGGGGTCGCACAAAAACAAGCACTCTCTGACTGTCCGCGATGTCTCTGCTCTCGAGAGCGAGCGAAGATATACAAGTTGAGGGCGGCAAAGCGTTTCGAGACACAGGGAGAAAAGCGAAGAAGAAAGTCGAAAAGGTTCGTCCCGCGCTTAAGCCCAGCGAGGGGCGCAAAAGGAGTAATAAACAAGTAGCAGGCGAGGGTAGTCATTGGCCAGAAATAAATACACAGAGCCAATGAGAAAAGTTTGAAATATAGCTATTATCCAATGACAACGTGGATATATTCGAAGTTCCATCCAATGAAAAGACGAGATTGTCTTAATCAGCATATCACATGACTTCCAAAAGTGGCAGCTTCACGACGCCTTTTCGTCGTCTTCGACTTTCGCATCTTTTGCGACTCCCAAGTCTCGCATCGCCAGGCGGAGAAGAAGAAGAAGATACTCGCCGGCCTCACTTCTGGCTCCTTTGCCCTCCGCCGCGCGACCTAGATGCCCTCGCGACGCCGCCAGTCGGAGAAGCCGCCCGCCTTGCCTCTCTCCCTCCGTCCAAACCCCCCAATCGAAACACGAGGCTAGCTAAGCTCAGGAACCTGTCTGGTAGCTATGTCCACCAAGCGACGCGCAAACAATGGCGGGGCGCCAGAGCGGCCCCTCAAAGAACAGAAGCGGCGCAGAGTCTCGGTGAGTTGAGCGGTCTGTTTAGATTGTCGGCTCCGCGTGCAGAAATGGCGAAGAAGTTGGCCGGTTGTTGTGCTGGTGTGGCCAAATAGTCGTCCGGTTCAATGGGCTTTGCTCGGGTATACATCATAGTTACGGGGGAGGCTGCTTGCGCCCGCAGCGTTGGCCGCAGAGCTACGCCAGCCGGGGTAGTTTCGCGCCTGACGCCGGTGCTTGCTGGACAGGAAGCGTCGCGGAGATCAGGCGAAGCTGGCTGCTCCTGTAACTGGTCGTTTACCCGTAGCGTTGAAGGTCAAATGAAGGGCTGGTGGTCGCGCCCGGCGCAACATAGCTGCTGCACCTTTATTTTTTTTTTCTACGCCTTAATCCTTGGTAGGCTTTAGTGGTTGCTTGAAGAGCCGTGTACTAACGCCCGACTCTTGGTTTCCGTCATAGATCTACACGCCCGAGACCAACGAGACGCCTGAACGAACAACGCGGCATGGCCTCGAGATACTAGATAAGATTAAGACGGCAGTCGATAAATAGTACGTTTACCTGCTGATTGTTTATCGTTGTTCATTACGCACAGAGCTGACAGTGCATGCTTAGTGGACAACCTATAGCTACCGAGTTCCTGGAGCTTCCTGATGGGGTTCGTGGATTCTTATACCTTGTCTTGCCAATTTTCGACTGTTCGCTAACGTTTCTCAATAGAAAGAGTATCCTGAATACTACCTTACCATCCGACTCCCTATCGCTCTTGATATTATCGAGGTACCGACACGCTACCAACTTAATAGCAACCGGCATTGTATTGTTAATACGCTAGCATCTAGAAAAAACTCAGGAATCACGGATATACCCAATTGACTTCGCTTGAAGCTGACCTCCGACGCATGGTATCCAATGCGAAATTCTACAACGAGAAGAGCTCTCTGCTCTTCTCTAACGCAGAGCGGATTCGCAAGATCGTGGTTGCGGAGATGCCCAAGGTTAACCCTGCGTATAAAGACCCAAACTACGCTCCTTTTTCAACCCCATTGCCCAACAATGAGGTAGAAGAAGAAGACTTTATCGACGAGCTCCCGGAAGGAGAGGAGGAATCCGAGAATGAAGCAGAAGCCGAAGCCGAAGCCGAAGTGGAAGCTGAGCCAGAGCCAACACCTCGAGAGGAGCGAACAAGGTCCTCAAGACGTGCGGGCGGACGTATATCGACAATTGATCGTGACCAAAACCAGACAGACGCCCGGAAAGAAGATCCTGATGCTGCTGTTGCAAGTAAATTCCAGGCCGCCTTGGAAGGAATACTGAATGAAGCTATCCGCATGCAAGACGAGGAGTAAGTTGGCCACTCTAGCCAGATTTCTGAGTACCAGTGAGCTAACAACCACTATAGCGGCGAAGAAAAGTTTGCACCTTTCATTAACCTCCCAGATAAACACCTATATAAGGAATACTACGACGTGATAGATCACCCTGTCTCACTGCGAGGTATTCTACGAACAGTTCGTGGCACAGACAGAAGAAAGCCTACAACCTCAAAATCCAAGGCTCCCAACCCGTTTAGGTCTTGGAAAGCGTTTATCGATGAAGTTAACTATCTGTGGACTAATGCACGGATATTTAATGAAGACGAGAGTGACATTGCCATTCTTGCGGGCGAGCTTGAGAAATTCATAAATACCCGGATAGCAGAAACGAGAAAAACGGTTCCCGCACCTGAGGAAGAAAGCAGTGGTACCGGAGGTGGAACGAAGATACGGCTAAAACTAGGAGCAGCCACATCAACACCAGAACCGCCTGCTGCTCCAACGGCGTCGAAACTTAAGCTACGGCTGCCTGCCAGACAACAGCAGACGGATACTGCTTCCGCTACTTCGAAAGTGCCTGGCGTGAGAGTTGATACTGAAGCGCTTAAACGACAACAAGAGCTTGTTAGGGCCGGGACAAACGGGATTGAGGTACCTAAACCGACCACTAACAATGTACAAGCGACGCCAACACGAACCCTGCGAGACAGAACAGGCTCTGCAAGGGCTCCTGTGGCCACAGCTTCACCAGCTCCTATCTCAGCTACTGTCAACGGTACGGGAGCTGCCCCTGCTACCAACGGGCCTTCACTTTGGTCTCGGACACCGCTCACGAGGCGAGCAGAGGCAGAGTTGGAGCGCGAAACAGCCCCCAAGCCAGAGACATCAGCAAAGCCTTCACCAAGCCTACAGGCTGCCCAGGCTGTTACTCCAACACCAGCTCCTGCTGCCCCCGAACCACCGGCGAAAAGTACAAGCACAGGCGCGACAGCGCTATCGACGGCTGATTGGGAGAAGCTATCTCAGGCAAGAAACAAAGGTATGTCACCCCCCGTTTGCCATTAGTATACACGTGTTCAATTGCTAATAACATTGTCATAGCATACGGCAACGGTCTCATATCACAGATATCCATATCATCTCACTCATCCCTACCTCTCCGCCAACCCTTCCACATTTCCCTGCCTTGCTCACCCGTCCTTCCCTCTCAACCCATAAGCCTAACCCTACCCTCATGCATCAACCTCATAAGTTTCAACCCCATCATTGCGTCGTCCTCCCACCGGCGCCCTACGCAGCACTACTTTACTGTCTGTGACCAGAAGAATCCCACTCCACCGACCACCTCGGTTGTGCCGTTTACAGACTATACCCGGTTTGCATACGATGTGCGGCTACGCGAGGGCGTCAACAAGCTTGTCGTCGGCGTGTCTGGCAAGGCAGACGGCGAGACGACGGAGCGAGTCATTGTTTTCGTCAATCTCTTGCGGTCTTAGTCTCCTCCTTCGGTCCTTTTGTTTCATTTCTCTTTTTCCTTGTGGCAGGCACATGGCTCGGTCTTTGGCTAGGTGTTCATGGTGTTGTGGATGGCATCCCCGGTGGCTAATCCTGCCTGTAAATTACTTTACCTGCATTCATCTCTAGCATCTTCTTCTCGTTCTCTCCATTTACGTCCCTTTTGTCCCTTTTGTCATTTTTATATCACGTGATACTAACTCGCCTAGTGTAAATTACGGTAATTTTCATACACAGAAACTTCTTTTTTCGTTTTTTATTTACTTTTTTTTTCTTCTTTTTTTTTTCTCCATATAAAAAAAAATTCCACCGCCGACTCTTTTTTCCAAACGCCCACCACGAAAAGACTACAACGTCCGACTTTTCTTCTAAGTCGTTGAGCAGCGAGAAAGGAAAAGACCACTGAAGGAATCGAAAGAACTAGACGAAGGAGATTTCGCTTTTCTTTTTCGTGGCCCAGCATGTCTACTGAAACTTACGACGGTGCTATCGGCATCGATCTTGGTAAGTGGGATGTCCTGAGCACCGCAAGCGAGGCGAGCAAGCAGTGCGGTAGACCACCACGCCAGAGCCCGCAGACGGACAGGAGACGAGCAGACGAGTGATTATCTGCGGGCGGGCTATTCTGCGTGGTTAGTTCGGGGATAATTGGCTAATTGTGAAAATTTCAATAGGCACAACCTACTCTTGCGTTGCCAACTATGAGGGCGCCAACGTTGAGATCAGTATGTGGGACGGCTTCGCTTTGCGCTGAGGATGATTGTTAACGTGTGAAATAGTCGCCAACGAGCAGGGTAGCTTTACTACTCCCTCCTTCGTCTCCTTCACCGATGAGGAGCGTTTGATCGGTGAGGCCGCTAAGAACCAGGCCGCCATGAACCCTGAGAACACCATCTTCGATATCAAGTGAGTGCATGCAGCTAGTCACCAGAGACAAAACGGGAGAGATCTCAATTGCAAGAGTGGAAACGGGATCTTCTCTGGCAAAGCGTGCTCTCCATGTTTTGAGTGGTGATGGTGGGGAGTGGGGATGCTAACTTCTGTGGCAATTAGGCGTCTTATCGGACGACGATTCGAGGATCCCGTTGTCAAGAAGGATGTCGAGTCCTGGCCATTCAAGGTCATTGAACAGGGCGGCAACCCAGTCGTCCAGGTCCAGTACCTTAACGAGACCAAGGTCTTCTCTCCCCAGGAGATCTCCTCCATGGTTCTCATGAAGGTGTGTATTTATCTCTCCGCAATTGAGGGGGGTTGTCCATTCTAAGTAGTAGAACTAATTGATATCTATAGATGAAAGAGGTTGCCGAGACTAAGCTCGGAAAGAGCGTCTCCAAGGCTGTCATCACTGTCCCAGCCTACTTCAACGACAACCAGAGACAGGCCACCAAGGATGCTGGTGCCATTGCCGGTCTCAACGTTCTCCGTATCATCAACGAGCCCACTGCTGCCGCCATTGCCTACGGTCTCGGCTCTGGAAAGTCCGAGAAGGAGCGCAATGTCCTCATCTACGATCTCGGTGGTGGTACTTTCGATGTCTCCCTCCTCAACATCCAGGGCGGTGTCTTCACCGTCAAGGCCACTGCCGGTGATACCCATCTTGGTGGTCAGGATTTCGACACCAACCTCCTCGACCACTTCAAGAAGGAGTTTACCCGCAAGACCAAGAAGGATCTCTCCGGTGACTCCAGAGCCCTCCGAAGACTCCGCACTGCTTGCGAGCGTGCTAAGCGTACTCTTTCCAGCGCTACTCAGACTACCGTCGAGATTGACTCTCTCTTCGACGGTGAGGACTTCAATGCCCAGATCACTCGTGCTCGTTTCGAGGACTTGAACGCCAAGATCTTCGCTGCCACCCTCGAGCCCGTCCAGCAGGTCCTTAAGGATGCTGGCATTGACAAGAGCAAGGTCGACGAGATCGTCCTTGTTGGTGGTTCCACCCGTATTCCCCGCGTCCAGAAGCTCTTGAGCGATGCTTTCGATGGCAAGAAGCTCGAGAAGGTGAGCCTATACTCCTTTTTCTCTTCTACTCCAGTTCACTGTTAACAAATGTTTAGGGTATCAACCCCGATGAGGCTGTTGCCTACGGTGCCGCCGTCCAGGCCGGTATCCTCTCCGGAAAGGCCACTTCTGCTGACACCAGTGACCTCCTCCTTTTGGACGTCGTCCCACTCTCACTCGGTGTTGCCATGGAGGGTAACATCTTCGCTCCCGTCGTCCCCCGTGGTCAGACTGTCCCAACCATCAAGAAGCGTACCTTCACTACTGTTGTCGACAACCAGCAGACCGTCCAGTTCCCCGTCTACCAGGGTGAGCGTACCAACTGCGAGGACAACACCTCCCTTGGAGAGTTCACTCTCTCCCCCATCCCACCAATGAAGGCTGGTGATGCCGCCCTTGAAGTCGTCTTCGAGGTCGACGTCAACGGTATCTTGAAGGTCACTGCCACCGAGAAGTCTTCCGGCCGCAGCTCCAACATTACCATCTCCAACGCTGTTGGCAAGCTCTCCAGCGCCGAGATCGAGGCTATGATCAGCGGTACGCTCTGCCCCTTCTACCCTGTAATATCAGTTGTCTCAATTCACTAATAAATGCATGTGTAGATGCCGCCAAGTTCAAGTCCAGTGACGAGGCCTTTAGCCAGCGCTTCGAGGCCCGCCAGCAGCTCGAGTCCTACATCTCCCGTGTTGAGGAGATCATCACCGACCCAGGCATGTCCCTCAAGATCAAGCGTGGCAACAAGGACAAGATCGAGTCTGCTCTCAGCGACGCCATGGCTCAGCTCGAGGTCGAGGACTCCTCCCCCGAGGACCTCAAGAAGAAGGAGCTTGCTTTGAAGAGACTCATCACAAAGGCCATGTCCACCCGATAAACGCCTGAAACTATCAACCAATCCTCCCAAAACCAACTAAAAAGACGAAGATTTGATTTGCTTGGCAAGACATAGCCTAATGACATGTGTTTTGTTTATCATTTCAACGACGGCGAAAGCCGCGGTGTGCGCATGATGGGATGAAAGAAAGAAGAAAGGAAAAAAAGCTAGAGTTTGAACATGACCTTGAAAATGAACCGTGTTATGTTTCTTCGCTGCCTTTCTTCTTCCTCTTTTTCAGAATTGTCTTTGAATTTTGTGGGCTAAATAAAAACGGGATGATCTTTACTCTGTTCCTCTTTTTCCTTGTTACGCCTTTTTCCTTTTATTTTATTCCCTATGTGTTTATGTCTGTTATGTGCGTCCGGATGCTACACTTTCTGAGGCTTCGATAGGTAGTACAATGGATATATGCTACAAAAAGTCCCCAATTTCAGTGACAGCTCTGCAATCATTATTTGTCTGCCAAAATAATAATCTGTAGATTCTCGTGTTCAAAGATCTGGGTAGTCACAGTGGCTTTAAAGCAAAATTGGCGGAGTCGGATCTCCTAAGCTAAAACCTTGCAACTTCTAGCTGCGGTATCATCAACTTACAACAAGAAGACCGACACAACACAGGAATTCATATCTCACCATGTCGAGTACAACCCAGTTAGCACAATGCACTGCTTTACGCAGCGTGCTACGAAACAAACGACTCCCTACCGTCTCTCCTCGCCGCTGCATACACACTCACACGACCAACAACCGCATACACAGCGAAAGCAGATACGCCCTCCAGTCAACCATTACTTACCCATCCAGCCGAAATTTCTCCCAGAGTTTTACTCTACTGAAGAAGAAAGGCTCGAAAGAAAGTCCAAAGGATAACGACAAGGCTGCTGCTGCCGGTGGTGCTGGCGCAGAGGACCCGTTTGATTTCTCTTCCCTCAATGACAGCATCAAAGATGCCGTTTCAAGGCTAAAAGAGGATCTTGCAAAACTGCGCGGCGGCGGGAGAGTTACACCTGAAGCCATTGAAAATCTACGAGTGTCACTGCACAAGCCGGGCAGCGTCGATGTCGGGAAGGGGAAAAAGGGCGCCAGCTCGAGCAGCAAGGAGACCGTCAAGCTGGGGGAGGTTGCGTCTGTTATTCCTAAAGGAGGCAGATCAGTGTCGATACTTGTTGGAGAGGAGCATGTGTGTATACGCGTTGGACCCTTTTTTTATGATATACACTGCTAATATAAGTTTCTAGGACGTCAAACATGTCATGTCTGCGATTATCTCGTCCGATCTATCGCTGAACCCCCAAACAGACCCTCACAACCTGCTTCAATTGAATGTCCCGATTCCTCCTCCGACGAAGGAGTCCCGAGAACAGACGGTTAAAGATGCTAAAATAGCTATGGAAAGGGCATCTAACATTGTCCGTAATGGGCGCGCGGCACTGAATAAAAAACTGAAGGGTAAGGAACTTAAGAAGCTTCGGCCGGATGATGTACGCAAGGCCATAGATCAGATGGAGAAGATTTCTGAGAAAGGTCAGAAGGAAGTGAAGGATGTTTTTGAGGCGGCCAAAAAGGCATTGGAAGCATAATGGGAAGGTCATGTTGGGGATTGATATCATTTTCGGCGGCACATTACTTTCCAGCAGTATTGTACATTAGAATTGCAAGTTATCGTGGAAAAAGCCAGTCGGTAAAACTCATACTATGAAATAAGTTATTAATACATGAAATTCCTCTATATAAAAATATTATACACCGGGATGCGCCTGCTAAACAGACTTAGCCTTAGCCTTTACTTTCTTGAGAGGGAGATTCTGCATAAGGCTGCCCATGAACCGTTGAGTGTGCTCGGTGTGGTAGGTGTGGTTGTTCGACAGGTTTCTTAGGACATTCTTGAGAATTGGAGAGGCATCGGCATCGAGCTTGAAGGGTTGGTCGTATGCTCCTCGGATCAAGGAGGAAATCATATGCGATTTCTCCTCTTTGCTCACATTCTCGAACTGCACATCAGCTGGCTCGACAGTTTTTCCCTTCCTCTGGCTAAGCTCATTTGCATGTTCGCTAGCCAGTTGCTTAACGAACTTCATAGTCTCGGTCTTCTGTGTCTCGCTGGAGAAAAGGACTCGTTTTCCCTGGTAGACTCTCTTTGCCAGGTCTTCGGGAAGCTCCTCACATCCCACGTATGATTCACCGAACCACGAGAGTTTCTCACGGATGGTGCTGGTATTCGAAGCTGCGTCTATCGCCAGAGCCGGCCATGTTTCCTTTAGAGTCTCGGCGGTATATGGCTGAGGGTTGTAGCGGACGGCCGGTTTGTGTTTCCCCCTCTCTTGGAATTCTTGTTCATATTCCACGAATTCTTGCACGTCTTCTTCACCCTGCGCCTGCGCTTCCTCTTCGAGCCTCCTGGCGTCCTCCAACTGTTGAGGATCGACTAGCTTCCGTTTTTTGAAAGTGCGCGCCATACGTGGCATCCGTGTGCCGCCTATACCACCCCCTCCCCTACCGCGTCCCATACCTCCCCGTTGTCTAAGTCTTTCCTTTAGTTTGTCTGCGTTCATTGAAAGCATGGGGCCACCGGGTTTGTTGCCATTGCCACCTGGGGGACCATTCAGTCGCATTGTGCGGGCATTGAAGCTTTCATTGTCGGTTGTGAAGCGGATTTTCGATCCTGAGGCAGTATTTTGGGGAGCGGATGTCCGATCAAAGATGTCCTGGACTCGTCGCACTGCCGCCCCTCGGCGGCTGGAGAAGTCGCCTGAAGGTTTTCTTGGAGCTTTACGTAGGAATATTAGCATAAAGACGAGGCAAATGTGCCATTACGGAGAGACGATTTTGCTTACAAGACGGGGGTTTATCTTCTTCAGAACGAAGGCATGTCGATGTGAATTCCCGGGTCGTAACGAGAGAATTTCTGGTCAATTGCAACGCTCCCGTCGCAGGACGTCGGAATATCTGGGCCGCCATGTCAGGCACTCGCTGCAGGTCCTGCTGACGACTGATATCTTCGAGTCGACCGCAGCGTCGCTTCTTTTCCTCTGCTTTTCTTCAACTTTGAAGTTTCGCAAAGAAAGTTTCGACCAAAATTGATATAGTCACGTGAATTGGTATTTTATATTGTATGTAGCTTACATAAAATACGAATGATACTATTAGTCATCACTGCAACCAGCACAAACAGTGCAAACAATGCAAACATAACTGTTTGCCCGATAAGGAAGGCTTTTTCTCTCTATCTCGTTTTCTTTCTCTCTATCAAAACTGAATATGAATCAACTTCCAATGTTTCGATCAAACGAAAACATCTTCTTACTGTTAAATCTATAAAACATCTACCGGTTGGTCGCTGGGTCACAAAACTCCTAGAAACAGGCGATCAGGATTTCCCGGTTTTACGCTGCCAAACGTTCCCCGCATCGAGCTGAGATCCTACAGCTAGAGTCAGAGTTCCAGAAAACAGACAGACAGACATTGCATATTTGCAGTTGATTACAATATCAACTATTCCAACGCAGCAAGGATGCTCCGCCGCAAGCCAACCGCTATTACAGTGACATCCGAGGACATAATTGCCTTCGAAGAAGCGCAGCTCCGCCGTCAGCAGGAGCTCAAAAACAAGAGTTCAAAGAAGGCAAGTTCATCAGGCAACAAGGCTGAAAACGACGGGGCTCGAGATCGCGACGGGGAGTCGATGTCCAGCTCCAATCGGGCAGGGGTTGATCCAAATGACGAACTGAAACCCTTACCTGGCGACAAGGCGCGGATAGTCCGAACTCGAGACGAGAGGATTGGTGTGGGACGGTAAATGGTGGATGGATAATGACATGCATCATATTATCCGTTTCTTGGGGTTCTAGAAGCCGGGCGGAAGTTTCGACGATGGATAGTTTGTTTTAAAAAGGGCGCATGACCGCTGCCACGCCCATCGGAACAAAGAGAAATTCGATAGACAGCAAACGATGTTATGATACCAATTGACTTGTGCTATTTTTGATAATAAGCGGCACGAAGGCGGGATGATCATGATGCCAGAGACCGGATATTGAATAATTTGGCGACTACGAAGGAGCTGAATTATCCTTATTGGTTATAAATTAGGGGCATGTCCCTACCATTCGCTTTTGGGGCGGATTTTGGCCGGGAATGGTGACGCGGAATGGATGCGTATGGAGCTCGAGAATGCTGGGTTATCGTGGTGCTGTGCATACCCCCCATACATAGCAACATGCGTGTGGGCAGGGTTTGGCATTTTTCTACCTAGACTCCTTGTCAACATGCACCTATCCTTGCGATGTATTTTGCTAGCGGGGCGCATCATGCAATCAGGAAGCATGGGAGCAGTTTCGGGATATGCATGCACATCGCTACTTGGGCAGAAATACTGTCATGTCATCTCTCAGACAAGTGTATACTTAAGGGAGGTGTCGCGGACAGAAGTTCGTCCGTCCGGTCCGCCGTCTGCAAGTGTGGCATATACTGAGCTTAGTATAGGGGGTATATTTGCCACACCCTGTTAATAGTTATAATTTTCACGATTCATGTTGACATTATCACGCCTCTCCAGGCCGCACAGCCGACATGGCCGTTTTCTAATTCTTGTAACCAACTTGATCCAACCCGTGGACGGGCAAAGCCATGTATGTATATATTATCCCACTTATACTCCGTATCGATATAAGAAAAAACATCCCAGCAGTAATTTCTTTTAAGAACATAACGAATAAGAAAACCGGGAAATACCCCTGCTTTCTGTTTGCCATGACCATCTCATCTCAATCAGTTGCGTTTCCAGGTCGAGAGGAAGGGTATCAATAATTTGAAATCAGTTAAACCACTCAACATGACATGCAGGCAGGGAATGAACCAGCCAAGGAAAAATGATGTACATTGCCCGAAGCCCAAGAACCCCCTTTCAAACTAGAGAAAAATATGGAAGTAGAAGTGTAGAATAGGATTTTTCGCACGATGGTTTCAACGGCATCCGTCCGTGGGGAAAACGAGAGTATTCTGGCTAGCAGAGAGCAAAGAAAAAAGAAAACAAAGCAAAGACCCATATCCCAAGGCATAAATCGTAGCGTAGATGCAAGGAGCAAAGGAAAGGGGGTGGAATTAAGTATTATGTAGTAAGGAACGTCGGAATAACCAAACGAGTGAGTGAGATGCGAATGCGAATGCAGAGGGTAGGGTAAAGGTATGAAGGGGGTGCCGTGAGAAGTAACAATAACGATGGGAAGCATACAAACCATCCAAAAAGAGATCCAGTATACTCCAAGAAAAATTCGTGAATAGTGGTAAATAGCATCAGATCATATCCCAGGAGACAAGACGCCGGCAACCAGAAACCAGAAACCGAACCCAGTGGGACCACACAAGCGAAAAAAAAAAAATAAAAATAAAAATAAAAAAAGAAAAGAAAAGAAAAGAAAAAGAAAAAAGAAAAAGACATAAAGAAAGAAACCAAGAAAGAAATTGACAGGTATTTGTGTACATGTCAGTTGTAATCATCTTCTCCGTTTAGCCTGTTCGTCACCGTAGCTGTCAGCATCATCCCATCTTCTCTTCGCGCCCTCGGGATCAATAACGCTGGCCACACTACGTTGCCAGTCTCTGGCCCCCATGACAACGGGCAGCATGTTGTACTGATGTGCAGGCATGGAGACCTGCGTAGGCTGATTAGGATCGACCAGTGGCATGAGAGGCTGGGAGTAATCTGAGTACTGGGCGGCGCCGGAGCCTGGGCTGCCATTGGCATTTGCCATGGTAGAGGAAGATGGGTAGAGAGAATGGGGGTCAGGAACAACTGTGCTGTTGGTTGATGATGTTGCGGAGGGAGGTGAGTTAGAGTTTATGTTCCCTGAAAACGCAAGGTCCCATTGTCTATATCGAAGAGTAATTAGTTAGTGTGTGTGGCATATTATGGTAATTTGGGGAGTTTAATACGTACGTTATGATTCTCGAAGGATTCCAGCTGTTTTCATCGACAAGTGGCATGGATGTCATTGGAGGTGGAGCGCGAGTAGTGTCGTAGGGCTGCAGCAGGCCATATGTGCCCGTTGCAGGAGACTCGGGCTTTACGCTCGTCTGCGTGGAAACAGGTGGACTGATGGGGTATGAGTCGGAGAAGGGAAGATTCCCCGTGCCCTGAGCAGGTTCTTGGGCTTCACTGTATGATGGCGACGAATGGTACATCGCATCACTGGGAGGCAGAGACTGAGACGGGGGCCCGACTGGGCTGCCGTAGGGGAAAGTTGGCTTCAGCTCGAACGGCTTGTTGATGTCTGCGGAGAAAGCAAGGCGTAGAGCAGCAAGTTGCGACTGTAATTCCGTCATGGGCCAGGAAGAGCTGCACGATTCCAGAACTCTCATGTGCCGAGTAAAATATGACCTGGAATCTTTGTTGAATTCCGGGTCTGGAGAGGTGATGGCTACAAGATGTAACATGACACTGGTCAGGATGCAGTAGATGGAGAAGTTGATACCTCTCTGCATGCACAGGAAACCTGATACGCCAAAGGAGGAGAGTAGGGCTTCCTGCAGCCGGCAGATCGCCTTAGCCGAGCTGTAGCATATCGAGAAGTGATGTCTCCATTCTCCGCCTGCTGGAAATGAGCTGGCGGCGACAAATTGGGGGCGATGTAGCATGATCTTGGCCAGTTCAAAGTGGGAATGCATGTTTGCGAGAAAATGCGAAGGAATCCATGGAGGCGAACCATCTGGTGGGTAGGTGACCATGAGATCTGGTGGCAGGCTGTTGTACCAAGCCTCGAAAAGAGGGTTGTTCCGGGCAAACTGCGGATTGGCGCCCCAGTCCTTGGTCTTTTTCACCTTGTGGAAGACGTCAACTATGCGACGAATATTGAGAGCATTATGGACGAAGTAGCTGAACTGTCTTGACCGTTCGACTTCGTAGGCATCGAGGTTGGGGATATCCCAGGACGGACGGATCTCTACCGTGTCTGTCTCCACGCCAAACTCCGAGCGTCCTGTCAACTGTTAGTATGGATCTGCATGGTATGCATATGGTATGCATGATATGCATGGGATGTATTTTAAACATCTTGGACGTACCTTGGGGCCCTCCAACCATTATCTCGACAACAAGAATAGTCTGCCAGACGCGGGTGCGAATGAGACACTCCACGGTGTCGTAGCCACAAAGCTTGCCCTCTGCGTGGTATTGGTAATGCTGATGCAGTTCGAGGTCCTTGGCCATTGAGATGATCGTCTTGATCGTCTGCCATGAGCGGTAGTAGTACCCTGGGCGTGGCATGGCTTCTCGGGCCTTCATAATAAGCAACAGAGCCTGTACGGTGGTGAGACGAGGCGCTTCCATGAATTCCGGCTCGAATTCTACCACCAGGTTAGCCAAAGTAGCACTCACAAGGTAAATGCGAGGGGGAGGGGAAAGGAGAGAGAGAGAGAGAGACAGTACGTACTGTTAGCGAGGGCAAGCCACTTGGTAGCCTTTGCGGTATCGTTGAGAGCCCTGGCGGAACAGGCAAAAAGCGCGCTGAGCAGGAGAGGGGAGATATCCCACTTCTCTCGCCGCCATTGCTCGTAGAAGTAGTTCCTAGGGATTACAGGGAGGTAAGGATGTAGATCATCAAAGTAGACTCTGAAGTACTCGAGCGCCTCGGTGTCGGAGGGCATGAGCTCCGCAGGGAACTGCAGGGACGAATTCGCGCCATTGTACAGCGGTGGTAGAGACTGTTCGCACTCGGCCAGAGCAGTCTGTGGTTTTATATGGTCCTTTGACTCTTGATTTATATATGGTGCTAGAGAGATGTGCGTGTTAGTATGCATCTGAAACGGAGGGGGTGTTTTGAGAGCCGAGAGTGCCTTACCAATGCCAGTTTCGTCAATTTTGAGCTCGTTGAAAGCCGTTGTAAGATCGCTCGAGTTTGTTGGTGTTTGTGGAGGTGGCTCAGAAACCTGGATGATAGGCTGAGGCGTTGATACGGGGAACGGTGGTGGCGGGTTTCGATGTATCTGAGCAGGTGCCGGTGGTGGTGATGGTGCTGCCTGCGGATGTTGGGGGTAGTGAAAGGCATGCTGTAGCTGTCCATGGGAGGCGTCTACGGGCGAATGTTGGTAGAACCGCCCGTCATCTGTAGGCGAAGTGAGATACTGGTGAGGCTGCTGCTGCTGCTGCTGCTGCTGGGCTTGATACAGCTGAGAATCGCTCTCGTAGCCGCGCAGGTCTCCGGCCCGTCGTGCTGGCTCGGCCGGGTAATACTCCCGCGCATGGAAGGACGGCTGGGAGGTGGTGTGTATCTGCGAAGACGAGGCCGGGGGAGCAGCAGGCGGCGGCGGCGGCGGCGGCGGTAGCGGCGGAAGAGCACCTGAACCTGCTGGAGGAGCGGGCTGGGAGAAGTCGAGGATCTGCTCGTGGGCGGCCGGCTCGCTGTCCTGGTCGATGGAAGGTGGGATGCAGACAAGCTTGAGTCTAGTACAGGCCGAGCAGGGCCAGATGTTGGTGGTAGCCGAGTCGCACTTGATCTTGCGCTTGCGACAGCCATTGCAGGCTCTCATCACTGCAAAGTGTCAGTCTTTCCTGTCCTACATCTTGTTGATGTGTGTATGTCCGTAGTGTAGGGGTAGGCGTAGTAAGGGGGGTTTCCTACCTTTGAGTCGCTTGTGTCGGTTGTGCTCGTCAACGAAGACTAATC